AGTTATAAAATTTTATTTACGGTTTGCTAATATGGAAAAATGTGATAATTAAAAAAGGAACTAAAACTATAAAAACCATTTCTATTATGAATACATTATAATTGACATACATATCTTATATAATATATATCTTATATATTACCTGAATACTTGTACATTTTTAATTGAAATGCTAATTTCTGCACAAGTTTAATTGTATACAAGGTTACATAATGGTGCATGAAAGAAGAACTTATAGTATTTTGCCAATGCTATTAACCCCCCTATAGTATTGGTAAAATACTAATCAATCTACTCTTTCTCGGTGACGGTAAATGGAATCCATCGTGGTTAATGGTGAATTCGCTATGGTACCCTTACTGATCTAACTACTTTCTCATTCTCTCATTCTTCGCCGACCCTGGTGACCCAGTATACTATCAATGCAGATGGGAATACCTTTCCATCATCTGCCATTAAAAAAATACCACAAAATAACAGAATACATGATCTTGTGAGTCATAAGCAATGGTCACACTTGTGATGCGTCATAGTCGGGCTTGCTTGCGATTTGTGCTGAAGCGTTGACTGCGTGCTACGCACCTCTCAAACAGGCGCAGCCCATGATGTAGCCCATCATAGACAGACGCGGCGCAGGTGGTGGCGGTGGCGGCGGTAGCGGCGGCACGCGCCTGCCGCGGTGTGGCGCTCGCGACACCGCGCCCACAGTTATCCACCACCCTTAACTTGATGACGCCCGCACATCCTGATCTAACCACCTTGATTCACCACGTATAGTCAAAACCCAATTACGAACAGCTGATTTCGTCATCTAATAGACAGGCGAATTTACTTTAATTGCATGGCATCAATAATGGAACTTTTGCCGGAAATGAACTTACAAGGATGTATTTATTTTGTTTTGCGGTTGTACTGTTTAACGAAAAGGCACCGGAATGGATCACAATTATTTCAATTGACAGTGGTATAAGTTTATAATATACGCCACTATAATGTAATGGATGTGTAGTTGGGTTGGAAGTGTTCGAATGCCTGGGGACCACAGCCGGTGCAGCGGCCGCGATCGCGTGCTGGCGGCCGATGTGGATCGATAGCGCCCGCAGGTTCACGTCTTGCCACCGACCGACTTGCTACCATACATAAGTGAAATAAGATATGACTAACAATTCTTGGGTAACCTACAAATTGGTTTCTTTTTCAAATTCATCAAAATAATGTTGTCATTAGAGACTGAACTGAACATAGAAAAGTTTTGAAAACGCATAAAATTTAAATTATGTAATAAGTGTACTTATGAGACACATTTGACTTTATTAACATGCATTCTAGGTAACATGGTTACTTCACAAGATGTACAATACAATAAATTTAATGCATTTCTCTTTGGTGTCCTTAGCTTTAAATAATGCATTATATTTATATCCAATAGCAATTTAAGTACTCATTAACTCTAAACAAAACTCAGAATTGGTTAAACTAAACACTTCACAAGTATGTTACGGGGCAGCTGATATCATTTTCAAGTCCATATTGCAGTGCAAGAATTCAGTTCATAATTTGGAGGGGGTATAGAGACGGCACGTAATGAGAGAATATCGTTGAAGGAATAATATGACAGGTAGAATTAGTGTGTGGGCCGGTGATCGAGTGAGGTTAGGGAAGGCGCGAGGGTCGGCAGGTTTGCGGCAGGTCGCGGGCCGGCGGCGGCGCGGGCGGGCCGACACTGAGGCGCGCGCCGAGGACCCGCGCCCCGCGCAACCCGCACCGCAGCCCCCAATCTAGCCCCCACAGTTACCCCTACGACCCTACTTTCTAACTATACATGTTTTCAAATCTAGCTTGTTGGCTGGATTTTTACAGAAAATCTAGTGTTGAGATAAATATAACTGTGGTTTCATATAATGCCATTTTAATTACAATCAGGCAATAAAGCGATTTTGGCGTCTGGTTAATCCTTACTTGGTAAGAATACTACTGCAAAAACTAAGTATCATCAATTAATCTTACTAGTCTTGAAAGCTTTTTAATTTTTTCTCCTATATTATACTTTATTTTCCTCCAATACTATATTTTATTTTGCATTAATTTCTTGTAACAAAAATACATAAGTACTTATATTTCATAAATAATATTTTTTATATAGTTCTAGGATTCTTCTGGATTCTAGTTTCAAGCTTGATATCATGACTATAAAATAAATCCTATTTCATTAAAAGTACATGAATTTTGACCTTAGACAGAATCAAAAACTTTTTTTATTTTACATGATATTATATATTTCATAACTTGGTAAACGACGTAACTTTATCTTTCACAAGTACTGGGCACTTGGGCAGATCAGAGAATGCACGCACAATGTATATGTAGCACTTTGTGCGGCCGACTCACACACTTAATTCATCACTCATACTAAAACCGTTAATTTAATTCATATATGAACTAGTAGCTTCTCCCGGCGTCCCCCGGGTACTACAATGTACGTCATAATAGCCGCTGTCCACTTGCTATATAGTAGTTTTGGTATCGTGATCGTAAAATAATATGCAGCAATAAATAAAGTAGTCAGGAAATTAGCACTATCGCTTTATAATATTAAAGAAGTTGGTTCGAAGTTGAAGTTAATAATATTTCACTAACTAAATTATTTTCCCTGGAGAGAGTTATTCAGTTTCGTGACTACTACGATTACATATATTCATTACGATTATTCAATAAATTTATAAAAAATAAAATCTTTATTTTCCTTTCTACGAAAATTGCACGGACGGAGGAGTATGAAATCGCAGTTATAGTTTATATATCCTTTTCTATATTTATTAAAAATAAATATAGAAAAGGATATTTCTATATAAAAAACTATTTTAAATAAATAAAAAAAAATTACACACTACCCTGTATATGACTTTTTGATAGGACCTTAATTATGTACAAACTTAGAGTTTAAATTAATTATGATCGAATTTCGAGCATTGGACGACCACTAGTATTTAAAATATAATATTTTTAATATAGGGATCCTGATTTAACATTCACAACATATGTACGATGTAAATGTTTGAACCGACTACATGTTCGTGACGAGCAGGGACGGGGCGGGGCGGGGCGGGGCGGGGAGGGGAGGGTCAATGTTCGACGGCAGTAGGTACTGGCAGGATACTACTAATTCCAGGCACGCGCCCTCCACTCCAATCCAATCGTGTACGGACAACAGGTGCTTTTTAATTACACAAATTTTTAATTACACACAAATTAATTAAAACTCATTAATTATATATATATTAACATACTTTTCACGTGTTATTACCATTTTGGAGATAACTATTACAGTTAGAGCACAAAAAAAACATAAATATAACATTTACTGTGTTTAAATGTTATTAATTAACACAATATAATGAGTTAAAAGTAAAACGTCTGATATTATATATATTTTCTAGACAGAGACTAGACTAGACTAGAGATGCGCCTTCTATCTACACACAAAACTCACTTTATCCACTGTCCTAACTCGTCTCATGATATTATATATATCCATAAAAATAATAATAAGATATCCAGAATACGCAATCTCATTTGTACCGAATAAAAACTCTGTTCCACCATTTTCTTTGTAGAGCAATCAATGCTGACGATTATGTAGGCGCGCGATTATGCTACACTTCTACAAACCAGAACTCATTCGTATTTCTATTTACCGTGCAGTATTGGTTTTAAACTTTCGTGTTTAATAGATATTTTGTACGTCACATGTCTAAATTACGTATAAGATGAGAAGTTTGTTAATAATAAGGACCAACGTGGCTATTGCAAAAATTGTTCCTGTCCAGGTGACCATGTCTATTGTCGTCAATTTCTGAATATCGCCACAAAGATCCTCCACTGTTGCCCCGTCAGCATAAAGTTAGTGGTAGTTAGTGCAGGCGAGTGCACACTTTTAAAATTATAGGTATGCTTGCAGTGATTGTTGTACCGCGATCTCTATGGCAGTAAAAAAAATACCTACTAACAATTACATCATTTTGCTCCAATCTGCTCGTGAGCATGACTACATCCATGTAATGTACTACATACATCGAATGGAATGACATCTTTTAATAATTAATTAAATAACGAATAATTCAAATTCAATAGTTTAGCATAATATACATCCTGTCATCAGCCTGTGTTCATCTGCCATAATATTTTAAAGGTTCAAATGACGCAAGTTAATTCTAAATATATACTAGTGGCGCACCACTCCCTCTACATAATATTTGCGTAAATTGGTGTTAAGACACGACATACTATACTGATAATGCGGTGTCAATGTACTATGTCTGTACGAGACGCGCTAACTATGTTTCGTCTATTGACTAAATAGATAAAAATACTCTTTCGTTAAGTAATCCAGTAACGACATCGAAGAAAGTAATTTACATCACTTACTCTAGACTGTCCGTAACTAAAGTCAAGCGCGAGATAGTTGACTTCCGTTGAAGTAAATATAGTTATTATTCATTACAATAGGGTTGCCAATCTTTAAACATTTAATCCCGTACAAAGAAATAAGAAACTTGATAAAATCTGGTATAAACTTGTACGAGGAGGAAAATGTCCTGGCACCGAAGACCAAATTTCACCTTATACGAGGATTCTAGTACGGTTGGCACTCCTGCATTACAATTAACATCCAAATTGATAATTTGACACCGCTGCGCGTCTAAGAGACAGACGATTGTCTATTGTATAAATAGATTTGACGACCGCGATGGTCTAACGGTTAAACATGCGGCTTTGCTTCCGATAGTCGCGGGTACGATTCCTCGCGCAGTACAAACATTTGTATCCATGAATATGATTATTTGTATCAGTTTGGTTGTTTTCTATATATATATTTTAAAAATATATGTAAGTATTTACATCAGCTGTCTAATACCCATAACTCGGGCTCTGCTTACCTTGGTACTAAATGGCGTTATGTGAATTGTCTACGAAAAAAAAATAGATAGAACTGCACTCACCAATGACGTTGTTATTTTGATGCTGGTGTTGCGCGGCAGCAGCGACGGCTGCTGCGAGCATAGCTTGCTGATGAGCAAGCTGCGAAGCCAGCTGCGCCTGGACGGCGGCGTGCATGCCCGCAATCGTGCGATCCGGGCCACTGATGCCGCCGCTCACCGTGTCGCCTCGGCCGTCATCGCCGTACGTCGGAGACAGCTCTTCATCTGCACAATATATAGCTTTTATTAGCAACGACGATCTGGGTGGTCTAGCGGTTTAGCACACTGCCTTACTTCCGATGGATACGGTCTCAATCCCCGTACAGTATAAAAATCACGAGTATCTCTATTTATATTGGTTTGGGCGAATAACTATGGCATTTGTGAGAGAAACACTAAAGAGTACTCATAAAACGAAATAGTCTATCAGATGTCTAGTAGATATGCCTATAAGATGTCTAGTAAAGGCTCTGCTCAGTTGCAAATTAGACAGTTTTGGGTATTCCAGAGTTATTGATTTATTGTTAAGACAAACGAAACCAAATGCATTTACAGTAATAAATCATGCACGGAATGAAATTACTTTATTGGTCACATTTATACTGTCGAACGGCACGATATTACGATTTTACCGTCACGTATACCGTGACCGCGAAAGCATAGCGAAGCAAAAAGTATGCAGATGTATGAAGACGCTTTTAAATCGCCGTCGACAAGTAACGGCATGCTGAACAAAATTGTGCATGAATAATATCCTAAAGTGAATATAAAATACAGATCATAAATAAGTTAACTCTACTTTGCATCGAATCTTTGTGTTATCTAATGACATTATTGTATTATATATTAATTCGTAAAAAAAATACTATTAGAAACCACTAATAAAAACTACAAAAGAAATAAAGGAAATAATCCAATCAAATCCACTATTGAAGGTGTAATTCACTTTGTGATTCATCACAAAGTGAATTACATAAAGGAAAAAATATAAACATAAATACAAAAAGTAATTTACCGGAAAAAATCCTTTCAAAGATAACTCTATAATAAGTATCTACAATATATTCGCACGGTTAATACAATGCTGTATAAACTCAGAAATACAAATTGTAGAAAGAAGACCTTATAAATAAAACTTTTAAAGTAATTTTACCAAAACTTTTACATTTTGAGTTAATGCATTGTATTAAGGTGTGAATAAAATAATGTATTGTTGTTGTATTTTAATGTATGTTTATATAATATGTAATAATAATAAATATGGTACCATCAAGAATTCCAATAGAAGCAGTCAAGAAGTTTAACAAAATTATACAATAACAGAACTCTAAAAATATATATTTACATAAGTGTAGAGCATATTGATTCACCAGTTACACTATTATTTTGGTATGTATTATATTATAATTATGCTAAAAGTGTTATGGTACATACAAATAAATTCCGTATAGGGAAAAATTTTAATGACTTAGTTAATTAGCCTTGGAAGTGCCATAAGCGACAAATAAACTCACTTTCGTATTCATGTACCTTCCTGTAAAATTTCTGATTAGTCAATGTGTTGTTTCGTTTCCTAGTATAAATCTGACTAATTCTGTTTGGACTCTGACTACATTTTTGTACTAGGATATGTTATAGAATAAAGTATTTTATATGTTTATTAATTATATCATTACTACATAGTACAAAACAAAGTCGCTGACGCTGTCTAATTGTCCCTATGTATGCTTAAATCTTTAAAACTACGCAACGGATTTTGATCAGGTTTTTTTTTTTAATAGATAGAGTGATTCAAGAGGAAGATTTATATTCGCCCGAGTGTATATAAAACATGTACACTCGGGCGAATCCGGGGCGAGTAGCTAGTACACATATAAAATATAATATAGAAAAGCCAGTTTTATGGCTTTTCTATATTATATTTTATATACATACATTTTCGTTACTTTTTATACTCAACAAGATTATATATGTAAGTCAAGAATTACATATTGTATTAATCGAAATTTAATGAGCGCTGTAAATATCTGACGTTTTACACATGGTTAGGTTATGGCGTTATGAAGACTTTTTAAGGTACTATTTCTTGGCTCAGTTCTCTAATGCTCGATATACATAATTTTGTAGAGCAGGGTTTCATAACATTTTCATCCTAGACTCCTAACATATTATAAAATTCTCAACGACGCCTCAAAAAAAGGAACTGAGTAGCATTTATTGATTACTAGCTGCTACTTCGTCTGATAAAACTTTCATGCCTTATTTTAACCCCTTCTATATTTTTATCTCTAATCCCAATAAAATCCGTTTAGGCGTGAAAATGTAACAAACAGACTGACACAAATAAACAAACTTGGATATATAATATCAGTATAGGTAGTTGAGTGATCCAGATTTAAATTGTGGAACCCCAATGATATAGTCCCGGACCATAGGGACGGGCGTCAACAACCTCTAAGAAAGAAGTGTAACGAAATTACTATACCACTAGTAAGATACCACGGTTAATGTTAAGTATGACACAGTAGATCTGTCATTAAACGAAAATAAACATAATATGTATGTTGAGTATGTAAGTAATGCGAGGACTAAAATAAATTGTACCAATCTAAAATACTATATGTCAAGAGTAGGGAGATAATGAGTAATAATTATAATTCAAATATGTGAATTTAGATTTTGGAAAACTCTATTTATCCTTCAAAAGGATTGAAGTAGAAGACTAGAAGGAGAATGATGAAGATAGTGATTGAATAGATTGAGCCTTAGTATTTGCGTAGTGTCAGTGTTAGTAGTCAGGGTTGGTAAGTGGTCGTATTGTCTAAAACTACAGGTATTAGAGTTTTTGAAAAATTAATAAGAGATTAAAATCGTAAAGAAATATGAAATTTGGCATGTACACAGTTTCTGAGATTGCAAGAAAGTTAGGAATAATGGGTAATTATTATATTGGTAAACATGGTCTCTCAAATGATGTCACGGGCAGAAATTAATGATTCTATAGTCTAGAGTCTACAAGTTGAGTGAACAGACAAACGTTTCCGTTCCGTACAATAAAAAATATTCTAATAAGAAACGACCTCCGAATATTTTTCTACTAATTAATTCACTAGGAATCCTCAGCAGCGTAGTTCTAGATTTTATGCAGAGCTCCCCCTCAATTTTTGGGCTCTTTCTTTCGTATCTCCATATAATTATTATAAAATAATTTACATTTAATATAAATAAACATAAAAAACATTTAAAAACGTATAGAACTTAGCGTATTAATATGTTTTTAAAAAGAGAAACCTTCGTAAATATTACACTAAAATCGTTCAACTGTTTGAATACATGAAAAGGTAACAAGCAGACACTGTCACATTTATAATATTAGCATGATTATTCTAATTTTGAACGATCAATTATTATTATTTTAATTAATTTAATATATTTCATAAATACTAGTTACTACATTTAACCATTAACTTTACAAACTAGACAATAAAATTTATTTGTTATTTTCACTCTCAACCTAACTTATGTACTTCGAAACAATATATATTGTTTCGAATATATATAAGAGATAAAATAATAAATGTACTATTATTTATAAATTATAAATAGTATGATGAGGCCATTGACATGTTATATTATAACAGTCAATAACTCATGTCATTATATATATTAATTATGTTGCGCTGTGGTTACGAATGTAAGTCGATACGATAAAGACAGACGGCGTGTAGGTGCCCAACAAATCTTACTGGCTTCAGGGACAGGCGTAACTGGACTCTCGGGCAGCAGGATTCCCTTCTGCACCAACTCATCTCTATTTGCCCGGACGGATATCTTTCTTTCTAGGGCTGCAAATAATAAAAAAACATACATTTAGTACATGATCTGTTTCTCAATCTCTTGGTAGAAAAGAAACAAATTTAACTTAAATCTTTAACATTTGTATCACCAATACTTAATGTCGACATATGTACTTTAAGAAATCACTAAAGAGATAAACATAAAATTTCTCTCAAACATAACAAAAAGTAAAATAATATTTATTTAATGTCTTTGAAATGTAGTACAGTAATATGTAGTATTTGCATATCCCGCATAACAAGCATAAATATTCTTTAAAAGTAATGAGTATTAAATTCTTATGTGATATTCTTTAGAAATAAAGATGGTACCATAGTGGTACACAAACAAATATATACGAATAATTTAGGTACGTATGTACATAATATTATGTAAATTTTGAATGTATTGCAAAAAATATACAGAATCATTAAAACATATAACACTTTACGGTATAGGTAACATATAACATAATTCGAATTAAAAGAAAGAAAATTAATTCAATAACATGTTTAAATTTCTGTGACAGCTATTCTCAGCATATGTGTTATGTTTACACTGTGAATATTCTAATCGATACATACTATGTTAAGATTATTCCTCAAAATATTTCAACTCCACTACATTAAAGATCAAAGAATGATATACGTTATTAAAATGTCTAATTCATTATTCCGTGGTTCGTTATCTTGTAGGTGTAATAGGTTTGTATAACAGTTTTGATATATAGTACTTACTTCTAGATGCAGCTTCAAATTTTTCAGATTTCTTTTTCCGTTTCCACTTCCATGGTTTAAAAAGTCTACCGAACGCCGAGAACTTGGATTTCGTCCGTTCTGCGGGTGGTGTCCGCGCGCCAGAGCCCAGGCTGTTCGTGCGCACTGTTGAGCCATTTTGTTTTTTTGCTGTAACCAACACAAAAAATAAGTTGTTACATATCAAATCACAATAAAAAATATATGAATGTTGTTTAAATTCATTCATTCTAGTTTATAACCTTATGAAAGATCCTGTCTTACAATACATATACTCTTGAATATAATTTCAACATTAATTTAAATCAAACATTTCAATCCTTGTTTTAAAAATAGTCCGTTTTACTGTATTTTTAAACGCAAACAAAAGTAAACGTCACGTTCCAATGTCGTTTCAAGATTAAACGTGTAAAACTTCGCACTTCTTACTGTTTGCCTTTTATCTGGAGACAAGATTTTTAATAGACCTATCTACATTTTAATGATTAGGCAAAGACAGCCTCTTATTAAATAATTATTCTTATTATTTTTCTTACAGGCAATATACGCACACTGTTTTCACAGATTTTTTAAAGTCCATGTAATAATTAAATGAATGAATTACACTCAAAATTATTTCACAATTATTATTTGTAGTTGTAGTGTAGAAGCTTACTCAAAGTTATCAATATCGAAAAAAAATAAGAAGGTTGGCTATTGGCACAAAGAATGCGATGAAAGACAGCTCTACATCAATACAGATAATGGTGACAGAAATCGGTACCCTATTGCACTCACACATGTGTCATACATACACACAATCAATGGCCCCATTACGTCGAGAGTCTATTGTGAAGAACTGTCCGTGACTATCACAATACCAGCAGGAAACTACCTACATACATACCTACGAAACAGAAGACTTTCTCATCTCAATGTCTATACATATGATCTATTTTTATGTATCCCTGAATTTTTAGTGTTCGAACGTAATTTGGTTATATTAAGTAATTATAGTTGTAGATTATGGTACTAAACAGCTAGATGTTATCATATTAAATATAGTACAAAATAAGTATACAGTGGAATACGAAAACATACTACATAAACATCACGTATGAAATAAATCACGGAAGCCTCGGGTACATACATCAAAAACTATTCTGCCCATAGACAATACATATTTCAAAATCTAAAGTTTCCATGTTTCGATGAAAAGCCTCAATTACGTATGTAGTCATGTCTATACATATATGTACGTACCTAGTGAACGTATACCCTATATTAGATAGAACAATGTACGAGTATATTAAGCAGTGTAATGTCTAAAATGATCGCAACATTTTTCAAAGGTGACTTATTTTAAACAAAATATTTATTGACGTATTTCCACCAAGACGAACCACATTACGCACATCCACTCAACCATTACGTTATCTATGTGCATTTTAAGGTGTCCAAATATTAGAGATAAAATAGGTATGTAATCAAGAAGACTGATTCAGACAGAAAACAAGTCGACAAGATAAGACGCACTAGTAAGTACCCTACATGACAAACAAAACAAAACAAATACTATTAATGATTTCTTAACACATATCTTGCACATTAGCGTGATAATTTTGCAATTTACTATTCATAATTGGAATTCTTATTCGTAGTTAGCAAGTAGGCGTGATACATGATTCGGTGTACATAATTCAAAATAATCGCTCGTGTTGGCGTATTTGATATCTACTAATTACAGATGTGTTGTTGCAGTCAATGAATTAGAAGAACAAAACATCAAATGGAAACAGTCAAAAAATATTAAATGAAAGATGATTCATAGACGGTGAGTTCACTATTATCAATGGAGCCCACCAACACACTAAGAACTAAGAACACACAAGACCATGACCGTTATTTAAAGATTATTCTTTCACTTACTACATGTATTTTATTCCAAGTACTTGTATTTGACATGTATTCTTAATTTGAAAATATGCTGATACATGTATTGAAGAAGGCGACCTCTGTATTTTATATGAAGTCCTGCTTGACTTAAAAATACGATTGTCAACACTGAATATGGCCAGTTTTGTGGGATAAAAATAAAATAATCTTTGCTTTGTGCGTCGTTTTAAGATATGAATATTTTGTAAAAACAAAATTATGCGTTTCCTCCAGAGATAGTAAAAATCGCTCATTTTCAATTCAACTAAGAAAGTATATTCAACATAATAAATTTTATTAGGGATACATAATACGAACAGAACTCCCAGAATTGTGTATAAAATCATACTTAATTATTTCACAAAACCTAAAATACTATTTTTTACAAAATATTTGTCACAAATTCTGTTAAAAAGCATCGAGCTTTACAATTCTGCCGTATCTGAAGCTAATTCCGCTTTATTCTGAAACTAGGAGAAGCTGTGGGAGGATATTTGTTTCTCTAAAATTCAGTCTCGATGAGTAACAGTGTCATAAATTCTCAATACCTATATGTAAGTAGATATTGAGAATTTATGACGTGAGGGATTTTTTATATCTTAAAAATTAACATTCAACATTATAATTTAAGTATGTACAAACATCAATCAATACTATCAAATCCTAAACACGCAGATTTGGTGAAGAACGAAAAAATCTAAATACCATGTAAATATATATACATAGACGCCCAAATAAAAAAACTTGATTACTAAATGCGCTTACGTCTCTAAAATACAAAAGTGATTAAACATTTATGTACCTCGTAACTAAATACAAGGGCCTGCGCACCTAGGAATGCAATGAATGAATGTTAATCCTTGATGAATCATTGTCATAAACATCATTGCGCAACAAATATTATTACTATGCTCCTCATGCACACCATATGAGTACCTACTAACGTCGCACTGCAGAGAAGATTAGAAGAGTTTAAGGTTGACATAAACAATCTATTTACAAGCTAATAGAATAAACTAAGTACTGATAATAAAGATTGCACTAGGAATACAACAATAAATAAATATAATTATTGAACTAACTGCAACTACTTACAATGAAATTACAAGACACAATTACAACGCATTCGACATATAGTACCTACCATTGTTGACTTCAATTAAAGCGGGCCAATAGTAGCACGGGCGTGACGGGACCGATTCTAAAACCCGAATATTTCATTAGTAGTAGAAGTAAGTATAAATAGAACATTTACTGCTTATCTGACGCACTATAAAATAACATTCGTTATCAAGGTCATTATAAAAAATGAAGATGACAATCTATCAAGAGAGCGTAGCATATTTACCGCGAACGTTGCGGTTAATCCTTAATCGAACAAATTTGAAGAATCAAAAAATGCAGTTATACTAATTCTGCATATTTTGATTCTTTCCCTGTTTGTTAAATTGTTATGTTGTGCTTATACATATTTAATTATTTTAATGTTTTTATAAGCATTTAAATAACTTTTCTAGAGAATTTTTCGTTGCTCGACTGCATTCGTGAAGATTTTTCTATGTTGTCCTTGTGATATCCCTGAGTCTCAAATGTAATAGCTTTATGGAGTGTTAGATGAACCGGCTTGAAAAGATGAATTGTTATGTACTTTTTTAATTATTACTATCAAATTTCGATAACCGATTCATATGACTTCATATTTAATGAAGTTTAAAGATAGATTTAATTTTACAATTTACATTATACCTCAGCAGGCGTGCTGTTAATTACTGTTTGATAAACATATATAAGCATTTAAAAAAAAATAAGCCAACGAGAGATCGGAGATCAGAATGCAAGGAATACGCTACGAAATGAATATTTTTTGCACTTAGACTGCCTAAGATCAATAATCTCTATATCGATTTACTCCTGGCAATAATTTCCTATATAGTAATTTACAATCAAGATTCACGTCGAGGAAGCAATATAGCTAATTTTACGTAGGCCCATGCAACAGGCAATTATTTATAAAAGCAACTTCAATAGATGAAATCATAGTAATAATTTAGAACCGTTAAGATTTATTCCGTAGTACAAAATTTTCCGATGAATTAAAACATAAGAACAACGAAGTAAACAATTTAAATAATGTATTTCAGTAAGTATAGTGAACTTACAGCTCTAAAAATAAAAAAATAATTAATTTCTATTTATTGCATTTTTACGTTATACACCGTTCTCTGGTACATAATATACCTAAGTATAATCCTGTTTGAGGTACCAAGTCCTTCATCTTATAATTTACAATGATAAAATAAAAAAATATTTTAGTGATGAAAATCATAAATTGACATTTAACTGAACATTAGTCACCACAATACCACTAAGTTCTGCCTAACGGCCTACCGTAGAATATGAGACTCTATGACTTGGAATGAATGAAAATAAAAGCTTTAATGTTGTGTTGTGACAATATTTTACAGTTATATTCATAAATGGCTGTGTCAGCAAAAACAGAGCGAATGACATCATCAGGCCATGAATAATATGCGGGAGATAATATCACGCATACGAAAGTATTGTTTGTCTCGTTCTGGTGCTCAGTAACTATGGAAATAAATGCGTCCATTGCCAAAAAATCTTACACAGCGGTTAATGTTTGTACTAACTAATGTAAAGTAACTACTACTGTATAATGCAAATAGAAATCAAAAGAAATATATACAAATTAATCTTGTTGATGTCTTACGGGTTCAACCATGGTGCTATATTAATGTGGAAATATGAAGTATGATGAGATAAGCAGACCATTGTCTTCGTCAATAGACTTTTCGCTTTCAGTAGTGATATAATTAAGTGAAAACGTGGGGAAAATCATGGTCTATTTATTCCTTTGTTCGGAGATAAAAAAAACATGTTTCTTTTCACGAAATTACAATAAGCAATACATACAGTATTTTATAATATCGTGAACAATTTAAGAGGTAAAACTAACACTGCAGCAATAAATATTTTTGATTTTTTTCTTTGTAAACTTTTGAAAGACTTTTTAGTCATATCATATCACAATCGTAAAATGAAAAGTTATACAGAAAGACACAAAATGTGAATTTATAGTCTAATGACAACCGTCATTAGACTATGACAAATTAAAACCAGTACAATGTTTAGTAAAAAATCTCAAAATAAACCTATTTTGAGATTTTTTACTAAACTAAAGATTTTTTTATTGTACTGGTTTTAATTTGTACTGACAATTAAGATTATACCTGAGAAAGATACGGTAATAATTGTATATTCAATTCAAACACGTTGGTTGCTGGCCTCGTCGAAGGTTACTTTGAGTTCAACTTTAACTATAAGGTCATTTTATTAACCGTGTTAGAATTAATAAAGAAATACCGTTGGAGGCATTTACAAAATAAACTTTTCCTGCGACTTCGTTTATGTGGGCAGCTTACCCGACTAACCCTGTACGTACCTATAATAATCGTTTACCGTTTCCGGTCACGTGTAGTAAGTAATATGGAATCACAAGCCACCTCGTCACACGTTTATATCATGTACTTTAGTGTATCATTGTAAATTTAAAAAGTAAGTTCAGATATATGTAATTCAGTATTATCTACTTATCCAGTTAAGAAAAGGACATAAAGTTCGATAACACATCTAAGTAACAAGGCTTTATTATTATCTCGATGATAGCCCAAATCATGTTTACATTGACAATTATTATAATCATGATATACAAGATGAAGATTAATGATAATATTTCTGTCACTAAACGTAATATTTTTAAAACGCAATTAGATTCTAACCAGGCCTGATAATCATTAGTAGAGAAGTTTTAAATGTCGAACGGCGTGAACAAAGCCTCATTTCGCAAACCTATTGTTAGGAATGTGGCTAGGCGTGTGACGAGACTGAAAAGAGTTATAGCTAAGCTATAGGGTACTGACCGGCAACAGCTGCAACCTCCTTAGCCCCAACATGCAAGAAGTCTGTAAGAGACAACGAGCTCGCAATGAGCTGCCTGCGCTCCTGGAAATCCAGTTGGTCGAGGCTACCGGTCCTAGTCCCGCGCACCGCCTGGACGGGCGCGCTCAACGACATGTCAACTACGCAACGCCATGTTGCATGCACATCATCTTTGGTATATAATCACCACAAAAACACTGACAATTTACACCAGTAAAAGGCACACGCGATGCCGACACGAGAAAATACACTACGAAATATTCATATCAAAGTGCCTGCGCCGCGACAGACGCACAGCGGTGGACTGGTGGCGTGCGGGCTGACGTCTGCGCGGGGCTGGGTGGGGGCCCGCCTGCCTTTGTCCCTCTTGCATGTTGAAATGCACTCGACTCGCCTCGTCGAACCGTGGCGAGCCGACTGGCGAGTATCCCATGTCTCGTCAACGCGTCCGAGTTCCGACACAACAACCGAGCAAGCGGCGCCAAACTGGATTCTATCAATTGTTTTACTTGATTTGTTTTGTAGTCACGAGATCACGAAGGCAATAGTTAATGACAGTGGCAAGGTTGTACCATTATTATTACCTTTTAAGAATTTTAATTAATATTGATGTTTGACACTCAAGTTTAGTTTATGTACGATATTTTCATGGAATCACTCAAAGTTTATACTCTTGATTGCCTTATAGCAATAACAGAAAGATGTTTGTTCGCTAAAGAATTATTAATATTTGTTCAGAATTGAAGCTGATGAATACTGATGTACCTACTCATATATCGCCGTCTCCCGTCATAAACTTACTGCACCCAAAGAAACACAGATTTAATTCAGAATGTCCTTTTTGGGTAAAATAACAAATAATACTGAGAAGCGGGTACTACCTATATAGTTTGTAAAATTTTAAGACTTGTAAAATATTAAAAACGTAAATGCAATACTAAAAACAGAGTAGGCTCCAATACAAATTAAAAAAAAAGAGTAATAATAAACAAAAAGTCTAGTGATGGCAAAGGTAACAATAAAATATAACATTAATTGTATTAAAATTAAAATAATTTTTATTACTTTATATAGCACAAAATATATATAATAATGTATTATTTATTATTTAAAAAATGTGCCTTTATTCGTTATCATTACTTATTATTAATAACATATAATGATGAATCGATTATTACGATTGAATGAATTATTTTAAACGAGGAGTTCAAATGAATATAAAATGTGGAGTTATCTGTAGTTAAAACATTTGAATAAACGTAACACGTATTTCCATTTAGTGAGTGCTTATTCATGTAAGCACAAATATTTTTAATAAGAATTTGTTTTTTTTTTTTTATTATTAGTGCCTATTGGAATAGAGTAGAGCCAATTTTAATAATGTATATTCTCACTAAATATTTTGTTTTATTCTGAAGGCGCTATAAAGGGCCGGTGAATAGATTAGGTTAGAAATTAATAATTATTATGATATATGATGTTGATATTGATACACATAAGTTAATTTTTGTTAATTTGTGTCGCTTCGCTAGTATATTACAATATCAATGTCAAGTCAGATGTCAATGTTTTATGGAAATATACAAGCCTGCTGCAAACTAAAATCGATTTTACATATAGTATGGGTAACTATGTAAGATACGGGTTTTACCTATGTCCAGTATTTTTAAACGTGCGATCGATCCATCGGTGACATAAAACCTGCACCTTCTGAGCAGGTGCACTACTGCAACGACCGAAGCCAATAGTGTATATGAACATACAATGGCCACTTCTACAAATAACTAATAACAAATAACTATAAGACCCTAAACGATTAAATGTGAGATACCACGCCATCGCGATGCATACAGATTAAAAATACTACCTGTAGAGATTCACTGTTTATTTTTTGTTTTCCAATCTGGGGTCCTGTTTGTGTTTTTAAATAAGTATGAATAGTTTCCAGTGACATACCACTTTCGATTATGTAGATCATGATAATCTTAATGTAGAAGTAAACGCAATTATATCTAACGGGCTTCTTGTGCGTACTGGTAATTACGTCAAGAAAATTAGGTAAGTTCTCCTTAGGTAAAAGAATAACTAAACAGAGTTATATCTGACGACCCCTTGCCCAAAAGGGTACCGGAAAAAATCTATTTTCAGACCACTTTTAATTTTTAGTTTACAACAATCAATCTTAGTGCATTGCATATGTGGCGTTGACTATAAAATTAAAATATTGTAACGAGTTTCTGATAACAAATTTTCAATTTTCTATATGCATCTAATTCATTGGTACGAGTATACTTTATAGATATTGTGAAGGATGGAGATCAAGATGACGAGCAAAAAGTAAAACGGCACCGTTGTAGTTGTAGAATATTTTTGTATTAAATTGACTTATGTCATATAAAAACAATATAATATTATAAAAAATATAGACAATAAAAATGTATATAAAATAGTTTCCAACAGATATCCCATATATAACAAATCAGTTCAAATACGATACGATAAAATATATTACTGAGAAAAAAATATTTAATCTAATCTTATCAGTATAATTATTATAATTATACAATTGTATAATTATAGGTTAAACGTGAAAACGTCACTAAATTTATTGTCTATAAGTATGTTATTTATTATAAAAATATTAATCGCCATCCTCAAAGATTTTACTGATTTTAAAAATTCATACACCTATAAATAAAATCAAGATAAGCAAGTAACATAAATTGTATTCTACGTGGTGTAGTCAGATGAGATATAATATATATAATTATTTAACTATATAAACTAAATTATGCGCAATTACATTATCCTGCAATATAGTCTTTATTAGATAGAAGATACAAATTGAGATATATAATATAAAGAAGAAGAGAGAGATTTAGCTGCAATATAGATATTTATGTAGTATTAAATAAAATTAGGATGGTAAAAACAATATAAAATGACTTTCTTTCATATATTATATGGTTAACCAAAAAATTTTGAATATTTAGTATCTTATAAACATATTACTTTTCCCTGGTAAGAAAAGCAGAAATTTTATAAAGAAGAATACTTCTTTATAAATGTTCTGCAATTAGAGACGTTTTATCTAAACTTAACAAATCTTTCTATAATACAAAAGTGGTATATTATATATAGTTTAATAGTTTTAGTTAACCGCAATGTACAATATTACTTTTTTTTATACACACGCGTATAATCGAAAAAAAAAGTGAATCATTCGTAGTCTAATATTGAAATTATGAAATTAAAATAGTTACAGATTGCTATAAAAATATAAGTACTGTCCTTAATTCCTGATATTCCTTGTGTTGCTTTGTAATAATTTTATTTGTAAATCCCAATACAAAGGGATTAAAACTATTTAAAATCAATTAAGTATATATAACATTATTTTAAAATACAATCGTAATACTTATCATTAGCCTACGACTCATAACGTTTTTGTACTCATTGATTATGAAAAATGTGATAACCCAGATAGTATATAATTAATCTGTGTTTAAAACCATCAAATCTTTTCTTTAAATGCGATGAAATATGAAACTGAAGGAACCTTCTCAATTTCTATTGCTGTATCTAATATACATATAACTCCTTAAAAGACACGCAAGAGCGAACATGGCGCAGCAAAAGCATAACAGTGGACCGCGCCGGACTCGTGAAATCAACTTATATCGATTTAACATCTGATGACCCTCGATGCACAAAATATTGTCCAAGAACAAATCTCCCAATTCCTAGTACAAATGCGATCAAATTTTCGACCACTATGACATGAAAAATTAAACCTTTACACTCAGTAACCACTAATACTGTCTTATTATAAATATGGAATAGTTTTTTTTTTTCATATTCAATGAAAATATAGCTTACTTTCCTACAAAATGGCCGATGTAGTCGGTTTTTTAATAGTCCTAGTATAACCTACTCTACATTTTTTCATAGTCCTAGTTAACGAGGCAGAAACTACATGACGGGGTTCATTTAAAAATTGAAAATGACATTTTTGTGTAGCATAGTTTACATTATGTTATGCAATGTACAACAAGAGTATATTTTTAGTTTTAGTACATAACTAACGTTGAGCCGGAACTATTTGTATATACCTGTAGGTACAACTGTTGTGAAACAATATGGATGCTAATATATATTAACATTTTTAATGGATTATTCCATAATTTATTTGCGGTACATAAATCCTAGGACACAAGTTTCTTACTATTGCTTAATTCCCTAAATAATTCTAAAATCACTTGATATACTTTTAATACAATTAACTAAGATATTGGTATATATCTGAAACGGTGACGCATAAAATTAGATAACTTACAGAATTCTTCACCAGCATCTAATGCTCCACTTTCGCTCCTAGTATCATCGTCTATAGGCCTACGTTTATTTTTTCTATTTTGAAATAAACCATCCATTTTCTCACTACACGAACACTTTGGCATTACAATTCCGTGAATTTCACATTATTTGAACAAATTTTATGTCCACATTGAATTCAACGCGATTTATAACTAAGACATTTCATTACATATAAACTTTAAAGAGATAAGATACCACGCGACTGATAATAACAATATAGCTTATCAAATTATTTTTGTACTACGCCTGATCCTTGAATATGTTAAGTAATCACCATACACAAGGTTATTAAAAGGCATACTTTTAGCAACAATTAACAAAACAGTATATTTCAGATATGTATATACGATAGCAACGAAATAAATGCTACTTTAGAAGACTACAACTAATAATGTTAAATTGGTATCTTTATTCTGTTGCAATAATAAAAACACAAGTACAGATGCTATACAACGATTGTTGCCTGGCACGTAAAGAAAATACAACATAAACTAGTAAAATATAATACACGTGGAAAAAGTAAGTACACTTGACCGGTTTATTGAATGTCAAAGTGAAATAAAAAATATTATATAGTGCCTGCTTGAATGATCACAGTGCTCCGATATGATTTTATGTGGATGAAGCGGCCGCTGTGAGATTAACCGTGGAGCTTGTACTTATTAATAGATACCTATTGCCCTAGAAAATAAACGGACCATGTTTTTATGCCTGAAACCTACGTACCGTTAAATGCATGCAGCGAAGCCTGAAGTCAAAAGTATCACCTACCTTTATAATTTTACATTAAAAGTAAGACGAGATAATTTAAAAAGCTTGTATTAGAATTTCATTAATTTAAACATTGAAAAAAACGAATCTATGATATACTAATTTGTGTAATTCTAATATAATATTGTGTTAAGAATTTAGTACGTACTTTAGTTAGAACATTTATGTTTTATGATACAGTAAACTACGCTAAAGTTTAGATTACATATTACAATATGAACACTTCAGTCTAATTAAATAAAGAGGCCGTATGACAGCATCACATTAACTCTGAGATTAATCAATCAGTGTGCTGTTGTTAACTGGCGTCTAATAGGTGCCTACCAACATTATGTATCGCTATACATAAATACCATATACACACCTATTTCAATAAATCATGCTTGGGGTCACTAATTCACAACGACAACACAGAAAGAGGATGCTCTCACCTCTAGCGTAAATGGGAAAATCGCCGTCAGATCGGCTGTGGGTAAGCATGGGTCCGTAGCACCGCCACGGCGGTCTGTCACGCGGCGCCCGAGGGCCCTCCACGGCCGCTCACCTACACCAGGCCATTAGCACATAAGCTCTCGGCACGGGGCCTACATCTACGTAGCACAGTTAGCGTGGCGTCCACCTCACAAAACTAGCATCAACTCGGCGATGGCGGCGTGGCGCCACAATGTCGGGAAAATGAACAGAGGCTGCGCGGCGCATCTCACGCGCGCACCCCTCGCCCATCCTAATTCGAGCTCGGTGCCCTCCGATCCCCTGTATTCAGCGTTACGCCCGACACAACGCTCTTTCCCCCTACGTACGATAATATACGTATTCCGTTTCCTACACGAGTCATTCTTACTAGCCAGCATTCATAATTGTTGTATTAAAATGTAGAGAATCAGAAATAAAACTCTAAACAAATACGTACACAATTAAAATTAAAAATACATGCACTAGAGTAATCACCATTTCACTTATCTATCTATTGTGCTGCGTTGCGATATGTGTAACGTGGTGTTAATGTAATGTTATGCGGTTGGACGTAATACAAGCATTACATGTAACCTATGAGGGTAACCGATGCGCGTTAAATGCAGTTATAACAATAACTAATAAATAATCAAACGTTTACGGGAAAATTATCGCCACACTATATCTAGATGACCTTTCTGTAGACTGTTGTAGATCTTTATTTATTAATATTGTAATACACAACTAATTAAGTATTCATAATAATAATAACGAAAATCAGTTACATGAAGCTCTAATTATTAACTTTATGATAACAGAACAATGCTATACACTATCAAGCACCTGTTAATTAATTTTCGAGACGATTTGCAATGAATCGATTCTCACATTGTGCCTCGTCCATAGACAAGTAGTTAGGTAGAATAATAATATTAATAATTACTACTTGCCTACTTACGATCCAGGTAGAGATCTAAGGTACCCAATTACTCCTACATATCGTCGTTGAATTTAGACGTAGTTTTTTTTTCGAACAACCGTTCATATAGTATTGTTCCATAAATCTTGCATCACTCTTTTGTAATTCATCCTTTCCAGATAATCAAGCCACAGCTACTCTAATCAGAATCAATCCATGGATATCTATTAATTTACATTTTGATTTATACCGAGTTAGACTTTGTAGAAAGTCGCCTGTGTTGTTAAATCAGTTTCACTTATTTCAGCGTTTTTACTTTGTAAGCTGTGTCGATTGCTGGAGTGAAATTACAGCATAAGTTGCATGACACCATTGTCCTACGGAATGGCAACGCATGTTTGGTAACACGGGCATCACGATATCGTGATAGTGCATGGTGATAAGGTGATGTCCGTCGTGATATATATATAGATAGAGAAATAAAAAAAAAATATATATATATATAGATGCGACGGTTACCGATTAGCACCATCAGTATCGAATGTGCCTATTCCCTTAACAGTTAATAGTAACTATTAAACTACATAAATGGGCATTTCCTCGAATCAACTTTTGAATGAGTAGAATTATACGGGTGGTGATAGAGTAGTCAAATAATATTTGTGATTATCATAGGCTTTATAATCTTTAGGTATGTTATTATCGTCTTAAGCACGTGGAGTATAACAAGTCATCCACCTATCCTACAATATGTTATTTGACGGCAAATTGGGTTGTCGGACTGTTATATATAAAAAAAAAATACAAAAATATAAAATGCAACTTAACATAACGGAGGAAAAGAATTTTTACTAATGGTGCTAGTTGACCTATTGCTCACAATTTATTTTATAAGATAGACCTCCAAACGGAGCTTCCATCAACCTCCTTATCCTTAACCATCGTGGTTAATTCTTGATGAATTTGCCATACTTGTGTTCATGAAGAGATAAATAAGGAAATCTTGGCTACTTTTTAGAAAACAGTAAACACCATATTACTTTAACACACTCCTATTACGTTGTCTCATAATAATATCAAGTGTAAGTCTTTGTGACTAGAAATATACTCACTTAAATCACCGTTAGCAGTTGTAGAATCAAATGGAATAGATAAGTGACGACCTCCTTTGCCGACAGCCGTATTCAATTTTTCCGCACTGTTACCTATATGAAAACCACATATTTCAATGTATTAATGGACAAAAGGTTGCTAAATATTAACATTATAATTATTCGAACAATCTTATTATTTTTTGTAAATCTAAAACTAATACAAAATTAAATAATTTTACTATTGAAATATTTTTTTATTTATCCGTAAGTAATAATGCTAAGCAACAATTTCTAGGTATAACATGAATATAAATAAAATATAATATATATATATATATATAGATATATATATATATATATATATATATATATATATATATATATATATATATATATATATATATATATATATATATAATAATAATATAGATATAGTAATAAATACACAATGATTTACAACTCAGTATGGGCAGTAAATCTGAATCCTATCTGTTATTCTGTTATAGCCTTTAGCTGTAGATTATTATTGTACAAGAAAAAAATCAATGACGATGCATTTTCATAAGAACATAAAAAATATATAGCTTCAATGTTAAAAGTCCTTATGAAATTATCGAAAGTCAGTATTTTGTCAAAGCATTACTTTTCAACCTAGAGTTAGAGTTTGAATAGTCAAAGCAATGAAGGAAATAACAATGTATGAACCTTTTCTTTGTCTTTACTTGTCAAAAACTATGACAACTCAGCTAATATAATGCAGCTAGCACAGATACATAGACAAGAAAATTTAAAAGTTTGCTTTACTGCACTACAACACATGTATATTACATAACATAAAACATTTAAGACTTTCTATGTTGTAATTTAATGTTCAATCTAGATGAATACACATGTTTTGTAAAAAAAAAATCTTATAAACATAATAATATAACAAAGAACAAGTATTCCTATTCATATTGGGTTGAAATGTCCTGATGGATTAATCCATAATATAATTACATTTTCCAGTCTTACTGGACTTTTGTTTATCTATGTAATCTATCTTATTCATGATATTTTTACGCCATAATTAAGTTTTCCTAATAAATGGTTTGAAACTTTTCAAAATTGGCAATGAAACATTGAGTTACAAGTGGATAATTATTTATTAGTCAATATAATAAATATCACAGAGTATGCATATAGATTTTTTAAAACCTATTCCAACATTTTGTAACTATACAAAATATTCTTTATTACAACATTGTATTGTATATTTGATCCACTCCTCACTACCATATAAAAAATACATACATATAAAAAACATAGAAACATAGAAAAAACTTTTGTGTAGTTGTGTGTAAATGTTTGTGTAGTCTACACAAACATGTTTTTTCTATATAATTTACATATGACTTGCTACTTTCTTCGTGAATTAGAAATATAAGATGTGTGCAGCTGCCACATTTTTTTACTACTTTGTTACCATGAATTTCCCAATGAGTAAGACTATTCTTTATACTTCTAGATATAGGTTTAACAATAATTTCTTTTGAAACAGATGAAACAACTGTTTTATATATATATATATATACATATATGCAAGGGTGCTATTCCTCAACCCACTCAAAAACCATACATTGAGAGGAATAAAGTGCAGTTTGAAGAGGAATAGTTGACATTATCTATGCATTTCAAATATATATATTTCAGAGGCATACAAATAAGTACAAATAGGGATCTATTAAAAATGTGGCAGTTTTAACTAGTAACAACCATTTTTGTTCCTAATTGCTTAGTGACTAAAGCACATATCACTAAGTAATTAAATATTATTTTAAATATAATTATTGTCAAGTTAAATGCCACATGTTATTATTAAATGTGAAATCTAAATAATTGTTTTCATAATTTTGTCTATATTGTCTCAATTTATCATTTTCCTTTGAAATAAAAATATCTTTATAGAGTGCTCTCCAGTCCTGTCTATCCGATTGGAGCTCATTGAAATCCCTTTTAATCATATCATGCCATAAAGATTCATTGGTACCCAACATATGTAATCTACCACATGTTTTACTAACATTTATTATATCATTCAAAGGTAAATAAAGTAAAATCTTATAGTAAACTTCTTGAGGTAGTCCAATTAAACTTGCACTAGGATACCCACTGTGGCTTATAATTTTACTTTTTACTGGAACTATAATTTTATTCTTGAAATTAAATGTGAGATGTTTTAGATCTCTGAACATCATTGGAATTGAAGAAGCCTGTACAGATACGATATAGCGACTCACAGGCAAGCAAATGGAATATGTATCTATTTTTAACTCATTTATCACTACATTCAACAGAACCATAGCACCCAAAGGCGACATTATCAGTTTTACTGGAATATTCTGAAATCCCATCAGAACGAACTTAGCTTCTTGGCCAGAAAACATCTCCAAGTATGACTTGATATCCATACATTTAAACTCATCTGTGATAGGCATAAATCCATTTTCGACCATAAGAGTAATAATTAATATGAAAAATAAATCCTTTTGTGATAAATCATTTGGTTGTGATCGACCAATAAGTGTTTTGATGATATTCTCCAACACAAGTGGTATTTTTTCGGTAGTACATTCTTCTAAAGCAAAATTCATGTCTAAACATTTAAGGTATCTAATTTAAGTAAAACATGTGGAATTAGCAGTATATTGAAAATTATAAAAAAGATATTTAAGTTAAAACTCAAAATGATATTATATATCAATTGTAAACAGAAATATGTGGTGCGTCATTTTGCTTATGTCACGATTGACATGTCTGACACCGAGTGACATAAAAGACATAGATGAGATTGATATATTAATTATAAAAAGAAAATTATATTTAATTATATATTAAGAACTATTTTTTTTCGTTTTTCCACTTTTATCGTAAATAGAAAGGCTTTACATACTTTCCTATGCATAATGTATAATAAATTGGCGTAAACTTTGACACAGGTGGCGCCACTATATTACAACATAAGGAAAAAGCAGCAGACAGAACAATCTTACTCAAAATATATACCCAGACTATACCACTCTCACAGTATATTGTTCGGGACAGGCAAGCAAACAATCCAAGGTCTGAATACCATGGATATATAGTTAAAATTGTAGAATAGTCTTATCAATTATTGTTCTATTTCGATGACGGTCCTTTAAGCAGGCTCTCATTTGTCTATTAAACTTTTGGAGTCCATAGGTTATACATACATATTATAAATATTATAAATTCCAAAAAAGTAAAAACCTGTCAGTCTGTTCTTACTTTTTACAATTAAACTACTGAATGAATCATAATAAAATTTGATGAGGGAAGTTGTGTCATGGGGACAGACATAGACATATCTATCATCTCAATTACAAGTAGAGGGAGATATTTTGTAAGCAAGAATATTTTATTTATATATCATAACAATTGTATGGCCCGTCTCATGGTAACATTATATTTTAAAGTCCTTAACCCAAAACAAAAAAAACATCCATACACTAAAGAAAAACTAATATAAGTACAAAACCAATATCATTAACTCTCCACACAAATATACCTTTACATCTATTATATGGGTAGTAAGAGACTCCTAATTATTAATGTCATAATGAAACCAACATAAGCTCACCCTACCACCATATCTACATGGCACACACACTATGCATGGTAGGATTATTAGATTGGATAGGATATTTGGATTGTTATTAATATTTCTAATACTGGAAATATAAATGGAGAGAATAAGTTATTACTGTCAGTTAGAATCAAAATCAGGTACTTTGGGATAATAAACCACTAGACCATGTACTTTCTACAAGGCACTGTTTTTCCTGTAAGGTTTTTCAGGTATAAAATGCTCATTAACTCATAATCATCATAAGGTTAATGAATATTTTATCCCTAAAGAGCAATTTATAAATGTCATAAATTTTATTCCTTCTGAGAATTGACAAAAAATAAGATTTTATACATTAGGTTTCAGTGATGCTTTATGATTGTAGGTTCAGTTAATTATATTTAAAAGAAAATGCTGTTTTCTTTTTGAACTTTTCCAATACTTATGTAAATTCAATTTATTTTAACTACAAGCTTAAATATGTGACTGCCGCTTATGATATTTTTAAATATATTCTAAGGATGGGAAATTTGTCATTTAACCCATCTGTTTTAGAATGTATGCTTAATTTCATATGAAATTCCTAATTTAATAAAAATTTGCAATATTTGCATATAAGGCAACACAAGCCCATTGCCAATAAAGAAAAAAATTGCTTCATATTCTTTTTTGGTATTTCTTAATATTCCAATATCCCTTTAAATTAATTAAGAAACAAAAATTGATAACTATGTTAATGTCAGAGTTTGGTAACAGTCAAGTTAGTAATAGACAATTACTAACTGACTGTTACTAACTAATTGCTTAGTTAAAAAAATACTAAAAATAATATATTTTTAGGTTTTTAACTACCTACTAACTATTAAACCCATTTGCTAAAATGTTGATTTTATTAAAGTAAGTTCTCTACAAATTAGAGGCAAAAGACTAGAGATGAAATTGATATCCAGTAACTATCTGGTATCCGGCCTATCCAACGGCCTTAATACTAACCGACCAAATACTGGATAATTATTATTTGGCTGGATAGGCATCGGCCATATTAAAAAAAAAATCTGGGTAATAAAAATATTTTTTTTTAATAATTATTTGCTTTATTTAGTTAGTCTTAGTATTACTTAAGGATAAAAATTAGTTAGTTTAAAATTTTAATCACTCAATAGTAAATGACTGTCATAGAAAGAAAATTAATTTATTAGTTAGCTAAGTTCCGCCGGATATCTGGCTATTCAGTCACATGGTTGGCTGAATATCCTGTATCCGGTATCCAACCAATCTGCTAGTTCATCTCTATAAAAAACATATTTTAATTACTAGCACTTTTTTGTTTAATCTTAGTGTCCATCATTATGGCACTGTTTAGTATAAAAATTCATGCAGAATAAATGTCAATATTTATTTTCAACAATTACTTTGTGATCAAAAAACACTTTTTTACTTACAACTTACAATTAAGGCAAATTGTAAGTCAACAGTAAGATTTCTCAGAAGATAAGTTAGTAAATTAAAATGTATATTTTATTATATCTTCATGGTATTACCTACAAATAAGCAATGTAACAGAGGAAACATTGAAAATGAGAACATTAAACATGAAAGCAAAAAAAAATTTAGATTAAATTGTTTACCGTTGTGGTTGATTATACTGTAATGCAAGGGAGTAAACAATTTTTAATAAACTGATTATTACAACAAAACAAAGCTAGGTTATGAGTTATATTATACAATAATTATACTGGTTAGTATATAGAAGAATGCTTACCGATATTTCTTGCATTTCCATGTTTCATATTACTCTTCAAGGAATCATCGGAGATATTACAAGAACTTTTTTCGCTGTCACTAGCCATTGAAAGGTTTCGAAAACTATAAAATTACTACTACAAGGAATACTATTATCACATTTTATATATAAGGCTTAATTTACTATAAACCTGTATTAATTATTATACTCTCAGTCACACTTCAAAAGTATAAAAGTAACGAAAGTATATATTATAACTATTAGTAATTCATGTTTACACCCTTTCCATCGTAATAGTGCACAGACTGGCACAGATCAACAATATTTATTATTGTTAAATTGTCATCCAAAGAATATACTACTCAAAAGTTGTCATCCATTCTACAATACAGTAGATGAAGTACATGAATTAGAAGCTTGCAGTTCTGTACAGGCTTAAATATGATTCTTATCTCTACGATATAAAGTTTTAGTTTCAAGTATATATACTTATCATAAAAGGTAATTCGGGAATGTGACATTACTATAAGGCATTCTCTTTCATTAATTAAGTTTGCCATTATATTAATAAAATTTCAATGGTTGAAAATAATTCTAAGGAGAGTTGAATATGTAGATGATATTCGTTTTAATTATAAATTTTATAAATATATTGATTAAAAAAAAATATTATATTATTTACTTATTAAATATGTTTAGGTAGGCATGAATTTACTTTCAGTTTTTATTTTGAAACTCCTTTACAAATCACACAGGGATATTACTACAAATTATCAAACTATTAATTGTTGAATTCAAGAAGATAAATGATCAAAATAGTAATATGCTATAAGTGTGGCATACACTACATTTTATAAACCAAACAAATAATTGAGACTTGATTTGACCTTGACATTAATTCTATTGGAGGAAGACGGCAAGACATATTTCCATTAATTACAGAAACAATTTGTGCATGTACAATGTTAAGCGACTATTACTAATTGAGTCAATTAAATAAAAAAATTACAGAGAAACATCCATGGAATCTTCAGGATTGTTTCAGAGTTGAAATTAAATATTTGATATGGCAACCCTAACTGTATTATTTCTACCATATCCAAATTTTAATTACAATTTTCGAATTTTTATCACCACACTGTCGTTCCTGAATATTTTTATGTGTTTCGTGACATAATCGCATGCCTCAGTTCAATTGTTGATTTTAATATTTTTTCATTTTGGAATACAAAGTCTAACTGACACAACATTAATTATCGTATTAATACACATTTTGAGACTCCGTACCTAACTGAGTGCATTTGCTGATGTGATATTCTTGAAATGTCATCGTATATGGCAGGTGTTTTCGATTTAGATTTAGATGTGGATAGTGTTACAGTTGGAGATTCAGACGAAGACGACATTATCGAAATAGATGAGGTATTTTTATTTAAAGTAATGAAAAGTTAAATTATGTTGTTAATTCTAACCTAAAACCTGATAAATATAATGGTATTTTTATTGGAAGTTATAATGAATTTGTATGGTAATTTTCGTTTTATATGTAATTACCATAAATATAAATTGGAATTTATTTTGGAACTTTTGTATCGTACATGGGGTGCAGCATATCCATCCCAACACGGTTTATTGTTTGTGGAATTCTGTGTTATGAATACAGATTCATCATAATGTTTGATCAAGCTTTTGTATTTCATCAATCGCCTGTTTATCTAGGAGTAATATGAGGTACCAAAGTATCCCTAGTGTGTAGATATTGTAAGTACTTTTGTTTTATATGTACATAGTTTTTATAGGAAAACATGTTGCAGTAGTATTTCTGTATAACTTGTTTTTACGACCCCATATAACATTTTACATATAAATTATTCACATTTAATTTTTCAAGAAGCTAAAGGGGAATTAAATTGTATATATAGGATACAATATATATACGAACAAAATATTTAAGTTTTATTAAAATCAAAACTAAACTATGAACATTCTAAATAAAAACCTTATGTATATAAAGTAAAGAAACTAATTATGAACTGTATAATACAAATCAGCATGAACCTATCATTATACATTTTACAGTACAGAAATGTAATATGAGAAATCCTCGCATTATTAATCCACATAATATGAAAATGCATTATAAGAGTACCTGTTATAGGGGGAATTACTGTATTTGTTTCAGTATTAGATAATACAATTTTTTCATTATATTTATTAATGCTTTTGTTGTGAAACCTTTTTTATAATCTAAAATTATTGTTTTAGAATGTTGTCCATAGATTTGGCTGTAACTGATGTGAAATTTACTTTTGTTGGTGTTGAAGAAGACAAGGCAAGATTCAGAAACAATCATCAGAAATGAAAGAAAGATCATCAGAACCAATGTTGAATCTGATGGATGGTATATAGAACGAAAGACAAATACTACAGATTTCTTACTGTTATATGTGCAAAGAATTCTCTAGTGTGGTTCTGAATAGAGTAAACAGTGGTTTGAACTGATTATTAAACTGTATATCATATATTTTTTTCAAAAGACTAATTGCGAAATCTGAAACCATTCTGATTTCGAATGATATTGAATTTGGGAACAAAAATAAGAATATTGATTTTAGAAATTTTCACACACATAGAAATTTGATTTCTTAAAATTAAACACAAATATTTAAATTATTCTACATAGACCTATCCTTACTTAATATGAACAGTTTGTTATGAAACAAACTAGCAACAAGAGTAGATATATTTGACAATCAAATGACAAGGGTGTGTGTGACCAGCGTTAGTTACGGGATCCAACTTTACTCAAGACTTGAAATTCTAGTATTCTGTTGAAATTTCAGGAAACTAATTTCAGAAAAATATTCTGTAAAATTTAGATAACATGGAACTTCAGAGCAAATTAGGTGCATTCATTTTGAAGAATTCTAATCATTAAAAGAAAAGAATTGACATGACTAAGTAAGACTATATTGTAAAAGCAAAATTTTCAGTTAAATTGTATCTGTTGAAAAGACAAGTTGGTCATATGTTAGAAAAGTAACCAAAATATGTGCACAATTGTGATTTTCGGTATAAAACATGAAAAATAAAGAAAGCCCTAGAAAGAACTAATCTGAGAATATACAACGGAAGAAAGCAGAATTATTACCAAAAAACTATTTTATAACTGTTATGAATTCATAAGATTATGAATTTTTGAATTAGAAGCATCTCAAATAAACTTTGGTTTTTCAAGTTAAGATTCCATTCCATATATATACACAATCAGAATTATGAGTATAGGAAAGTCAATAATTTAGAAATAAATTGAAAAATTTGGTGATCCATGTGAAAATCGGAACTATGTTCAAATTGTTAATAATTCTAATATTATACTAGTATTTGTAACATTCCATAATAAAACAATAAATAAATTAATAATTGTTTTTTTTTTTAATAAATATATGTATAATATATTACATACTACACATACTAGAAATTTTAGTAATGTTATAATTACATTATTTATACTGGTACTGGGAATCATCCACCAGTTGTAGTTATATTGTAATGTTTAAATTGCATAGTTTTGTGTTTGTATATTGTAGATTAATAACACATAATTTCTAAAAATAATAGGAGTAAAATCCAAATTATATTTTACAAAGTGAAACATAACTATATTTTTTATAGTCAATTTAGTATTAACATTTAAAATGACAAAGGATAAGTGTTGTGTTTGTGACTTCAAATTTTTTAATTAAACATTTAAGTTACCAGGAACTGTATATGCATACTGTTTTGTTGTTTGTTTTTAACAAACTTATTATAATTATATTATTTTGCAGGTGGATTGTGACCCAGAGTTACATGTTAATAGTATTGTTGAGTAAGTGTACCTTATATTTTTATCTAAATGCATAGAGTTTTGAAAAGAATTTGACTATACTATCACTTATATTATCCTTAACTTTTCAGATTAGAAGGTTCTGAAACCATACAGCTGTCGGAGGACACAGTTAATCCGGGACAGTGCAAACGTCTCGGCCCACAAGATTTTGAATTAAGGAAAGTTTTAGGAAAAGGTGGTTATGGGAAAGTATTTCAAGTTCGCAAGATTACAGGAGCAGATGCTGGAGCTCACTTTGCTATGAAAGTTCTTAAAAAGGCATCAATAGTTCGTAATCAGAAAGATACTGCACATACTAAGGCTGAAAGAAATATATTAGAAGCTGTTAAGGTGATTTGTTCATTAATTATTTGATATACCAAATATAAATTGAAATCTATGCTGTATCAAAATAAAATGATTATCTGAAATGTACAAACAAATTTCTTTAACATGACATGCCACTTAACCTTAGATATAAGCTAATATCTAAAAATATCAAATTACTCATAATTTTTAATGACTTGTAAATAAAATATTGTTTCTGATTGGGCCAATATTTACAATAGTAATATGTATTACAATCTCTACACTTTTTTGTTTCCAGCACCCTTTCATAGTGGAATTGGTTTATGCTTTCCAAACTGGTGGTAAATTATACTTAATATTAGAATATTTGAGTGGTGGGGAACTGTTCATGCATCTTGAAAGAGAAGGCATATTCCTTGAAGATACTGCGTGGTAAGTACTCAAATAAAAATATATGGTAGCATATTGTCAATACTGTCGACATGTTATAAATAATTTAAAAGAGAAGTGGTACCCCTGAGGGTAACAAATTCAAGCAAATATTTTTGAAGTCATTGGTAAAATTATAATTTAGGTCATTCATCATTAATTGTACATCCTGAAATTTATTAGTATTAAAAATAGCTGTAATGTGTGTTATATATATGTTTAATATGTGTATTTTTTGTTGCAGCTTCTATTTGTCTGAAATTATTCTAGCACTTGAACACTTACATAGCCTAGGTATAATTTATCGCGATTTGAAACCAGAAAATGTGTTATTGGATGCACAAGGGCATGTTAAACTCACAGACTTTGGTTTATGTAAGGAACACATTCAAGAAGGAATTGTAACACACACATTCTGCGGTACAATTGAATATATGTAAGTGGCCATAACTATATAATAATATTTTATATTTAAATAAGTGACGTATTCAATGGTGTTGACCACTGAAATCTAAATCTAGTAATATTGTAATGGTGAAGGGCTTGTTTATTTGATTAAACACACTAACCTTAAAAGCTACTATGTTGAGTTGAGTTTTTTTGGTTTTAACCATATTATAGCCCATTTATCTAAGAAAGCTGTAGGCTACAACATATCACGCCACGATCAATAAGAGCATCAATAAAAAAAACATGATGCAAAAAGTAGTAAAAAAATTTTTTTCTTCTCTTATTATATTATCTTTCTCTCTCTGTTAGGTGACGCCGACGATGTTACGCAGACTGGTTATTTATATATATCCAGTAAAAAGTGGTGTTCATGTATACAAATGTTTGTGTTGAGAAAAGTTCGAATTAGCGACCATTGAAGGATCAACTAATGGACTGTTATGGTCAAATTTACTTTAATAATCCTTACTTAATAATATATTTTTATTATTGTAGGGCACCGGAAATATTAACAAGAAGTGGCCATGGAAAAGCTGTTGATTGGTGGAGTTTGGGTGCCTTGATGTACGACATGCTTATTGGTCAAGTATGTGATTTTTTATATATTTATGAATAAGTTAATAAAATTTAATGAGTAACTTATAGTACTTTATGGTTAGGTACTTAAAAAGTATACATTCACATCACCAGACTTTGTATAAAATCGTTTGTATAAGTCTAAACTCTAAACTCACGCAGGGTTTTTCTGTTGATTTATTTAAGATATTAGCTGGCTTTGTAAGCTGTGATTCGGTTAGTGTGAGGGTTTTGCCAGTGAAATTCCAGGGTACGGGCGCAAGACATCTTAGTTCGCAGAGATGGTAAAACATGAGCCAGCATGCACGGTCATGACAAGATGTTCGTGGTGATGGCCATACAGGCGATGGCTTCCACTTTCCATTAGATATGTCAGCTCAGCGTCAGCTTGCTATTGTAATTACATAAAAAAACGTTTCGTCTTTCAGCCCCCGTTCACTGGTGATAATCGTACAAAAACTATAGAAAAAATACTTAAGGGAAAATTAATGCTGCCTGCTTACCTCACACAAGATGCCCGCGATTTGATACGCCGTCTTATGAAGCGGTCTGAGACTCAGCGTCTAGGAGCAGCTGGTGCAACTGCAGTACGAAATCATGCATTTTTCAAACATGTTCAGTGGGATGATGTGTTTGCACGCAGATTAGAACCACCAATAAAACCCAGATTGGTAAGTGTAGTAAATATGTAATAGTAATCTGAGTCTTTTGTATATCAGATCGGTATTGCTGATTTGTTCAATTAAATTACGATTTATAAATAAGGACAAAAAATAATCAAGAGTTGATTCTTAATTCTACTGTATTTTTATGCCTGTATGTTTTATGCGATAGTTGCCTAAACTGAATTCTAAAATAATAAATATCATTCATGATAGTTTTAGTAATTTCAACGTGGCGCGTGAGATCAATTTTGAAATTACTCATGCTTGCTCTCGAGTGGGTCTCACATTAATTTTGTCAAAACATAACAGCTTATTTGTGATGAAATTATTACTGTTCTTTTATTTATATAATAAAATATTTGAATCCATTTTGAATAATAAATAATGGGCTGTCCGTGTAAATGTGCCTTAAAGGATAAGCATAGGTACTGAACAACCCAAGGTTGCAGATTTGAAACTTTAACAACCCCGCGCAATATTTAAACATTCATGATTATGTTGTATTGGTTTATATTATTTGTGTATATGTGTTAAAAATGAATTAAGTATGTTTAATGTCTATCCATTATCTAGTACTTATAATACAAGTTCCTCATATGAGATTCAATGGCGCTGACACTGGACGGTGGATATTTACTTATTTATTATTGATTATATTAACATTCAATAATATCGTGTAATCCTATAGTTATCACAAAACTTAATCGGATTATTGTACGCATATGTAAAGTTAAAATAATTCATGAGCATACAGAAATAAAGTGTGGGATAAAAATATGATGAAGTATAAAGAATTCTTTATCATGCGGTTTTGTAATTAGGTTGTGTATTATAAGATACACATCGTACGGAAGTCAGCTTTTCGGAAGTCATATTCACTCACTTGTAATATTTATAAATTCCAGGCAAGTGAAGATGATGTTTCACAGTTTGATACGAGATTCACGCTACAAACGCCCATTGATTCACCAGATGAATATACTCTTAGCGAAAGTGCCAATTTAATGTTTCAGGTAATATATTATTTCATTTCAATTAAAGTAATTAATTACTTGCAAATGTTAAATAATACTATTTTAAACCATATATCATTAAACTAACTTATGGTTTGGACTCTGATAAATTTGAATAGGTTCTTAATAAATAAAGTACAATATTTTCTCTATTGGACAATTGCGGTTCCATTGCTAAGAGGTTTTTTTATTTTAATTTTACTATGTTTGTATACCTATAACCTTAATTAATGTTCTCATACAAAAAATTATCTACAACCAGAAGATTCGGCTTTGTTCAATGCTGCATACTTTGCACGACGAAAAAGATACATATTTCAATAAAACATGCAATCTGTAGTAAAAAAAGCCCGTCGATTCTATTTATTTTCGATTCTACGTATTATTTCGATTCTAAATAATACGTAGATATTATATTATTTACAATACTAATTACATTACAGTATACAAAAGTTTTCATTTAGTTTAACATATGCATATGATTGCGCAGGGTTTCACATACGTGGCGCCCTCTGTGATGGACGAAATCCATAAGCCTCGCGTTATCACAGCCCGGTCACCGCGACGCCCGCGGCCTCACCACCACCATACTTTTGGGGGACCGCCCCCATCCACCGCCAACCAGCACTCGCATGCTCAACAGGAAGACCTTATGGACGTTCAAGGTCTACCTATATAGTAAGTACCGTATCTAGGATAATTATTGTTAATTAACTTGGTGACCGGGTCAGCGGCTTTATGTTTAACTTATCCGTAAATATTTATCAAAGATTTGCTAACATATTAATGTTAGTTGTTTGTAACATATAATAATGATAGATGTAGTCTATAGGAGAATCAAGTAACCTTGTTTAATGATGATGTTATTAAACTTAGTGAATACTAGAGCTGGAGGATTTGTGTTACGAAGGTCTATTGGAAAATCCGACTGCATTTTAATTATTGGTGTTGTACCATGAAACCGTTGATCCAGTGAGCCTCATCCATTAATAGCATACAGCCGCACACTAGCGGAGACAGAGATGTCTATTCCTATAAAAAAAACAAACTAAATGTCTATAAATTGCATATTATTTTTTTATATAGTTATAGTATTCTTCCATTGTTAACAGACTAATGGAAATATACTGTAAATATTTGATAACATATATAACTATATGCACTCGTTATGTAATAGTATATTATACCTTATATTATATTATTAAGGACTGTTTTTAGTGTGCGGCTGCGCTCTTTCTAGTATAGTATATACTTATAATATTGTAACTAGTACTCCGTACCAAACTGAGAAATTGATGAGTATTGTGTGCTAATTAATTGAAGATGCAGTGCAGAGCTATATCTGATATTAATATTTTAGTTTAATTCATAATTACTGTTATTATATGTAATATTTATGTCGGATCTTATTTGGTTGTTGAAAATTATCTATTATATGTTTTAATAATTATATTTGTACTAGTGATGATGAATCGATAATTTTATATTGTAATTATAATTTTAAAATGCAGTTTCTAAATATATCGCGACATAATCCGCATAAAATATAAGTGTTGTGGTTCATAAAAATCAGGAATTAAACTGTATTGTATAAATCATTTGTCCAATCTATCTATAAAGTTTAGATAAATGTTTACCTATGTAAATGTTAATTTTACTGTTTTACTATGATGATATTGAATAATAGAAAACTATGTAATCTTACAACAGGAATGAGTGGGAACTGCTGACACTATTTGTTACCAGTTTTAAGTAAAGAATATGAACAAGCAATATATGTATATGTGCTTAAGCTCGACTACACCTAGTTTATCAGAGCAATACTGTGTTAAGTTTCACTGAAACGCAATGTAAACTAATAGACAATGGCTCTAAATATGTGCACTTTACGTCATATAGCTCCCACAAAAAATATAAGTACTCCAAATTTTGTATTTTCGTGAATGTGATAGTTGACGGAGAGCGCGATGGTCATGTTTAACAAAATTAACGGAATAATATAAACAAACTAATTGAATTGCAATGAATGTCACATTTAAGTAAGAAGTTGAAAATATAGAGATGGTTATTTTTCTGGTTTGTTTACATGTGTTGCAGTGTAAGTTCAACATAGTAGTATTATGCCATGGTGATATCTAATTATATATAAAATTCGTCCATGTTGATTTAACTTTGATAAATAGCAGTTAGCTTATCTCATTCTAACAATATATATTATATGTTCTCTTATTTTTGTGGGTTTTCACATAATTTTACTTTATGTTCTATTAAATTGTCTTGTGATTTCATTGCCAATATAAGGATATTATGTTTTTTTTTGTTTATATTAATATACTCTCTTCATATATACAACCTATCACAAATATATATAAAGAAAATACCACAACAAGAAAATGGCTTCAGTAAATGTATGACGGCTGTTAATTTGTGGTGCAGTCTTAGATTACAGCTCTTCTTTTTTTTTAGTTAAAGTGGACATTAACTTATTCCACAATACGTAGATGAGCATTACATAAATATTGCGTAGGATCTACCGGGATATTTCCTTGGCTTATGCAGGGACAATATCAGTACTATATAACAAATAAGAGAAAATGTTCTGTTTTTTTAAGTTGCACTTTCACGATTCTTATCCGTAACGAGGACTCGCAAACTAATATAATACGTTAAGGTGTGCCTTAAGGGCGGGCGTTCAACACAAAAGTGTCGCGATATTTGTAGTTAATGTATGATTGCGAGATTTTGGTGCAAGTCTACCATATTTTGCAGTTCCCGCCTCCTATACAACGTCATGGTAGTGGTGTGTTGAGAAACAGGGTTGCCAACCTTTAAACACTTAGCATTATACGAAGACCTATATAATCCGAAAAATGTCGTATATTAGCTGAATTTGGCTCTCTAAAGTAATACATCTTGATTGACATCCATGTTGAGAGAAACCCTCCTCCATTGCAGTAAGATTTTCGTCAGAATTTCCTTTATAATTTTATTGAAAGACTGACCTTTGTTGAATGTTTAGTGAAAATGTATTTTGCGTCACTGATGTGTAAGAATAAAAGAGATAATATGACAGAAATACATTTTGCCCGGCCGGGTATAACTTATATGAAATTAATGTTTTCCAAAATTCTTTCATTATACATTTGTTTCTCTTTTGTTACTTATAGATTTTTCATATAATTTTTAAAATATATACAATGGAATGAACCTTGATTAATATTTGTTCACCAAAATACTGCTAGAACGGGTTTATGATATATATGCAGTGACAAAACTTGTATACAAATGTAATTATTTCTAATTAATCCCAACACAAATATACAAATATATTTATTAATTTTCATGTATTTGGGTACATATATGTATATAATATTGAAATATAATGATGAAACGATTCTATATTATTTATTACATAAAATAGTATTGGTATGAGAACGTTGAGATTTTTTAATAGAATTATAGCTGACACAATGCTGTCAATAATTAAGTTCAATTAAATAAGTACAACAACAATAAGTACACATGGAAAAAAAATACTGGTAGAAATCTGAATTAAGTTACTGTTATAATTATTATATTATTCGATAATAATAATTACATTGTATTATCAATTTCATTGTAATATCAATGCATCGTTCTAACATTATATTTGTAGCTAATGAATAATGTTAAAATAGTTCTTAATTACAAACTATGGCAAATAGTAGCTAACTTTAGCTCCTGTTCCTAACGTTCTGATGTCAATAACAATTTTAAATCTAATAAAATAATATATTTCTAAATAATTGTTATATTTTTTTTTTAGATAATATTCATAACCAGTTTGATGTTTAATAATACTTAATGAAATATTGTTATAATATTTTTTTCTAAGTAACACCTAGCTTGCACTGTATTATTGTTATAATAAATTAGTAAACAGGTAACTATTCTTAATGTATGGCCTTGAAGAACCGACCAAGAGTCATAAGAATAACATGTACTCTATTATCGCAAGTCGTATTGACTACTTACCTATTGTATCCGGTGCAGTTAGAGCGATAATCACACAGACAATAACATATTTTTTTAGATTCAATTTAATGTGTTTTAGTGATATATATCGAATACATTATTATATGTTAACTTATTAAATCTCCGTTCTTCCTATACAAAACTATACTGCAAGTTATATATCAGTAATTGATATAAATATTTATATAAATAAAATAGGTAAATTTAAATATCAGGCATATGAATGATAGGTGCAATTACTGGTACCTATTTATATGAATCAAAGAAAAAAACATGTTGATAATTTAGGAGTTCCGCGCTCGCTATCAAGCAAACTTGTTCAGTAACCATATGTACAATTGAAATGGGTATGAGACCTATTGGTTACATTATAACGTCAACACTTGAGTACGATAGATGATGCTATTGATAAATGTATGATTAAAGGCAATAATTTACACGGATATATCAATTTGTGGCCAGGATTAAGGAATATGAGACATCAATATATATTGTAATAAATTTAAAATAATTATAATCATTACGACGGAATGATTTGTCTTCTTTATTATTATTTAAGACATTGTTGTAGTTTTCTTTTCTGAAATACAGATACAAATACTTAATCGACTGAGTAATGGTATAATTGTCATTGGCAATTACATATAAAACCTACATAAAAGTTTTCTCAAATGAATGTCTGTGAAATATGAAACTATTTTATACTGCTTACGTATAACTAATGTACATTTTATACGAGTTACCGTTTAGTCTAATCTTTTGTAGGATTAATCGCAGTAACAGAAAATGTTCTAACCCCGACTATAAGGGCCTGCGCAGACGAGGGTTAGTCCTCGAAGTACTTTAGCTGCCCGTCGCATTAGAGCACGAATTAGGATAAATTTACCATAATTATATACTTAGAATTATAATTTATAACGCTCACTAATACACCATAACAACCCATTAAATCCACTCACTATAAGAGGGCTTAGTTTACAACGCTGGTCAAAGCAGTCTGATATGGGTTGTGTTTTTGATTTTCTACTCTTGCAGTGGTGTGATGTGCTTCTTCCTCTAGTCCTATGTTACGACATCCTGAGGATGAATTGAAATGGCTATTAATAATTATTATTACTCGGCAATTAAACCAATAATAACTCTGATATATGATGGAAGAAAAATTATGAAAATATCTACTTACACTATTTGAATGAGTATCATACACGAATAGAAACTAATGGTAGATGTGAGACATCATGTTCATTAGAGAATAGATTGAAGTTAAGTAGTACCCCGTTATTGCTCATTTTCGGGTGCCTTGCGACTGATTCAATATGATAACCCACTATTTAACCTATTGAAGAGCATCACAACTTTTCGCCATTGATATCCACTATAGAAATCCTTTGGATTGACAACAGTTACACTATTAGTAATTTATGTTTTTCTAGTTAGTTGCTATTTATGTAGAATAAGTACATGGCAAATTAGAGCATGGATTGTACAGTCAGGGGAGTAATACATATAATAATAATGGTATGTAAAGATGTTTCGTACCTTATTTAAAAATATTGCTACTTAATATGTAAAAACTTTGTAGTATCATTATTGCCACTGTGACAATGTACCAACGTGTTTACATATGCTTGTGACTTTACTTTGTGCGGTAGTGTGTAGTATAGTGTTATATAATTTGGACTTTCATTGCTTTGTACATCTCAGGCTGGTATACAATAATTCCAGTCTACCATAGTGTGTCGTATTGTTTTCTATTTATATTTCTTACTCGAACAGATACGGACTAAAATATGTATCGCGTATATTCTAGAAATAATAAAAAGTCCGCTTTAAAATTACCTCGAGGACTGTCCCTCGTCTGCACAGACAAAATAATAAATTTACATATATTATGTACCTTGTTACCATGCTTGATGAATTGAATTAAAAGGTCATTTTTTATTTTGTATACTGGAGTTTCAATTCACAGTATTTATTCCTCATGTGTCCCCTACAAACGAGATCATTATAAATAAATAACAGTAAAGTGCATATTCAAACACAACAGGAATGTACAGCCTTTATAATAAAAGCTATACTTTCTATTTAATTTACTAGTAGGCATAATTATCATTACATAGTATAAAATAAAGTCGCTGTCGCTGTCTGTCCCTATGTATGCTTAAATCTTTAAATTTACGAAACGGATTTTGAAGCCGTTTCTTTTAATATATAGCATAACTCATTGGTGGTAGCTGGTAAGAGTTCGAGTGTGAAAACTATAGAGGGAAAAACACGAACATTTGGCACGAATTTGTAGGTTTTTACTACATACATGCATTTGACTTATGTAAAACATAAATGGTGTTCCTACCATTTATATTTTACATAAATGTAAGTTGCTGACTTTGTATATTTCTTATTTATAAACGACAACAGATAAAGCTATGAATTAATATGGCACCTACTATTATCTAGATTTATTATATTGCAATTGGTTGTACCTCTATAATATGCACTATAGGGAAAAGGAATAAAAAATAAATTATTATATTATTTATTGGTACAGTGCAGATATTTTTGTACAGAGTTTGGCTTAACATTAAAATCAACATCACAGTCATGTTAATCTGCAATTGTGTACAGTTTGACACAGAGTGTTATGTGACTAAAATACTACAAATAGTTACAACCATAATGCAATAATTTGTAGTATAGTGCTCATAATCTGTCTATAATAATTTCAATCATTTGTTTACTACTTTTTACCTAATACACATTTTTTATCAATAAGTAATGTTTACAGAAATATAACGTTACATGAACAGTAAAACTTTCAAACATTTATAATTTAAATCTTAATCCAGATATTATTAATTTTGTAATGTAATCTTCTGCTATGCAAAATTAACTATATTAAGTTAAATTAACAATTAAGTAACACACACACACATTATTTTATGAACATTAGCAGCTAGATATTCATAAATAATTTCTAGAATTATACTACCATTTGCATTTCCATACAATTATCACAAATAAGATAAATATTATGAGATTCATTTAAATCAGGAACTAAAGTAAATTGAAATTCATTACTGCATGCTGTACTATGATTTTCTAGCATATTGAAGATTTGATATTTTATTTGCTCAAGAGATTTCTCTGTTTTAATGGTACTTTGACAGTTTGAACATGCCAGAATTTTATTCTGTAGAGTACAGTTGAACTTTTGACATACTGGACAAATCAGATCATTGTTTTCCTGTTCTAAGGACCAGTCCACAGTATCAGCTTGTGCCTTCTCATATTCTTCCAACAGCCTGTAAATAATAAAAAGCTTACAACTTTAAAATATAAACAATACTAAAGAAATTATTCACATAGTGTTCAAATGCATTACATTTACTTTGTTATTACATACATTATAAATATTATATAAAAACACCCATATATACAGTCATACTCTTGAATTAAAACATTAATAATGTGGAGGACAGACTGAACATCTATATTAAGATAATAATAATAAATAAATAATATAAAAACAAAAGGAAACTTTATCGCTCAAAGCGATCTCTTACAGACAACCTGGAGCATGTTAATCTGCTATAATACCAATGTATACAAGGTCTTGAAGTGAGTGGGTTTAGAGACGAGACACAAACCATTGGAATTCTTCTTGAATCAATTCTTTTTTCACTTCTTCATGAACTTCAATTTCTTCATCTTCAATTGTATGTGTGTCCGAAAAATTGAACATAGTTTTATAAATGTTATCTAAAGTGTCCTGAATTTCAGTATGTATATGTACACCACGGAACTTAGTCAATAGCATGTTGCGGCAATTTTGTATTTTGTCTCTATAATTCTGTAATAATATTTTTATACATGTATTATTGCTCAACTGGTAAAAAAACAAATGTACATAAATTGTTTTTGTAAAATATACCCTTAATAATGACCAAATAACACTTTTAATGTAATAATGTAAATTTTATAAGTATTTGTAGAATATAAATACTTGTAAAATATTATCTATCCAACATATATTTATATTTTATTCTAATTTAATAGCATCAAAAGTATATTTTCACTACCCTCAAGCAATATAAAAGCATCCACAATTACTCTATAAAAAGCTAACGGCAGTAATGCTTTTAATCTATAAGATGTATATTGAAAAGGTAAGGAAATTGTTTGCATTATATCAATTTTATGTTAATTTCTTATTAAATTTCAAATGCCAAGTTTTGGCTTCTGGGCACTAAATATGGCTAACCAAGCAAGCAGTATTATTAAAACTGTGGGTTTGTTAACAGTTGGAAATCCAAAATAATCGACAGGTGGAATTGAATTACATACCTTTCTCATTTTCTCTTTCAATTCTATGGGCGAACGTTTTGTAAGATTGCATTTCAAATTTTTAAATTTTGGCGATGCAGTAAGTGTTGGCGAATTCATGGCTTTAATAAAGCTTAGCCTGTAGCTTAAACTTTATTAATTTTTAATAGTGATACATTCAATCATCAAATATAATTTATATAGGATTATAAAAGATAAAGAATAAAAAATGAGTATGCGAAAAGAAATTATTTTTAATTTGACAAGTATAAAAAAATTAGAGATGTGTCAATTCGAGTTACCTTGATTTACGCTGAATTCGAGTTAACTCGAGTTGAATTCTGCCAACTTGAGTTGGAAGAATTCAACTGGTAAATGAACGAATCAAGTGAAAGAGTGTTTCGGTATATCATGAAGTATTCCGATCATTTCATTGTTATAATTTTTCCCTGTATTTGTCCGGTTAAGTCATCTTTAAAATGATTAAATTAGCGGTTGTCAGTTGTCATTTGTTTGGTATTTTTAAATACTTTGTAATTTTTATACCACGTATGTGGCAAATAAGCATACGACCCATCTAGTAGTAACGTTAGCTTATTATACCGTAGTATATTTTTATATTTGCCGGGACTTAAGAGGAAATTTCTTGTTTTTTTGAATCGCCAGTGAGTAGATGTCGAAAGTGTAAAACATACTCGGATTTATTTTAAATATGTAAGAAACACGAGTTCGTTATTGAATCATGTTAAAAAATAGCACTCAAATAGGAGAAGTTGACCTGCAGCCATGCATGCGCTCCATAAGTCCTTCCGTGGCTTTAAAGTGCCATTACTACTCGCCCCCTATGGTTCGGTGAAGTTTTCAAGGCCAGCTGCGGCCAAAAATATTAGAATTATTAAAAATATTAAAATAAAACTGTTTTTTCCTGGTAACTCGAGTTAACCGGAGTTACCTGAATTAACGAAGTTAACGACCAACAACGAGTTAACTCGAGTCATGTTTATTACGAGTTAGTACATGTCTAAAAATAAAAAAATAGTACAAAAACTTTTATGGATTTGGAAGTCACACACAGTCAGGGTTGCCAATATTAAATGTTTATGCCTCATAAAAAAGAAATAATCGTACACATTAATCAAGTCATTTGAGTCATTACAGTGAACATACTGTTTTAAATAGGTAGGTAGATAGTAGTTCATATATGTAACTATTTATACATTTCTGGAGGTAGAAATACCAAGGAAAATTTAATACATTCAAACCACTAATAATGTCACTTTTAACATAATAGCAACAGACACAATGCTGTAATTATGACTAGAGTATAAATCATGGCAAAACTATACAGATTTTAATGGTAGAAACGTTTTTTTTATTAATTTTATTGATCATATCAGAGACAAAAACAGAGATTTTTATTGCCATTATAATAGCGTTTTCATATAAAACTATGTAAATATAAAGGAAGATACTTTGTAATGCCAAAATAGACAAGACACAGTGTCTGTAATTCGTACTCTTACATAATTGTCATTTAAGTCTGTCTGCTCTGTGGTTTAATCAGTCACTGTTAAATGTCATTTGTCGTAGTGTCATAAAATGGAATGGAAAAAACAATGTGAATCTATTGATAGATAATATGAAAAATATGGCTAAGTCCAAAAGTTGATTTAATACTAAACTAATACTTATAATAATAATAAAGTGTTTTTTTAAATAATTAGTATACTTATAAATAAAAATGACTCACGTAGAGAAACGGCCATCTCGACCAGGAAAAGAGACGATACATTCTGGGCACTTCATGGTGTCGCATTTTGAAGCTGAGGCTCAAGATGAATTTGATGACTTGGCTGTTCCTGTTCCTGAAGAGGAGCAAAACGTGCAAAAAGTTTCTGGAATCACTACATACACAGTGGCCCGGTCGAGAGAAGTATTTCCGCCTTCAGACAAACATGAAAATAAACAACATCAACAAGTTTCAATAGAAATATCTCTTACAAAATTATTTAAATGCATGACTTTGGCCTACAGGTTTGTATTGGACACTATTCTATTTTTATTATTTTAAATTGTTTAATTCTATTAGTAATCTATCCTCATTTTAAAATTTTAATTACTATGCTTTATTTATTTAGCATAATATATCTATTGTTCTGTATCTGTAATTTGTTTTTCGTCATGTATTATTTATAGACATTTTAGACATGAATAATAAAAATAAATGTTTTAGAATGTCAGTGATGGTGTAATTATATTAAGAAGTACAATGTGCTGAGATTATCAGCCATGTGTGAATCTAAAATGTAGGAAACAGTATGTTTCCATTGCTAAATCAATGGAAACATGCAAAGATAAGAGGAGGTCATCATAGTCCAATAAGACAGGTCATTTGCACAGATAACACAGTGTCTACAAATAATTGTTATTTATAACTGATTATAATTTTTAATACTTTTATTGTTATTAACATTTTTATTCACATTATCAATGTTTGCCTATCACACTGGGTACTACTTCTGTATTTTATCAAGTATATTTGCATCTAGGCAGATATGTTTTTATCATAGCTAAATAAAATATTTAAAGATAGATGATTGACAATTTCATAAAAAAATATCTGAAATACTTATATTTCAATTATTTTTTAAATTATAAGTATATATTATAAATTTACTGAAAGTGAAAATATCTCGTAAAGTATTAGGTTACTTTCATAGATTTGTTATACATAATTAATATGGTTACTTGAGGACAAATAGTAATTGTCTCATTAGGAGATAAAATAGTTGAGTAGACTACTAACCCAAATATTACTATGGCCATATATTATCAAAGTTATTGGAGATAATGTCTTTGAGCCAAATTATTCTAATAATATAATTTAATGCTCTGCATTTAATGCTCAATTACATTGAGCATTTAATACAGTTAAAAGTTTATCCAATGAATTTAATTCTGGGTATTTGTATTATAGAGGAGTATTGCTATTTAGGAATCCAACATGCAGAATAAATAAAAAATCATGGTAATGAATAAGATTTTTAATAATTTATTCTGATAATTGACATGCAGTATCTGAAATTGCTCCATAAGAATAAAGCTATTATATATATATATATATATATTTAGTTAATAATTATATAGTTAATTGGTATAGTTTAAAATGAGTAGTTGCTATCTCAACAATAAGTTGTTACCAATTGATGTATGAGTATGAGTATGATCATGGATAAATCAAAAGTTCAAACTATTAATACCTTATCTTACAAGCAGTGACAACAATCAGTTACCATTTAGATATAAGTACAGTTTAAATATTTGTGTAATCAAACTAATACTTCAAAGTATTTTGAACTATATCTTTACTTGTATAAAATAAATACTATCTTAACTAACTTAACTAAATATCCTTAGAGTTCAAAACAAAAAGGTTTACAATTTGTGCTTTTCAATTTTAAACTTGCTGAGTTGTGTGTCATGCTGCAAAACAACTTATGTCATGGACATTGATCCTACCAAATTTTGTAATCATTATATTTACATAATAAAGCATTAGTAAATGACTAATAGAAATTAATATAATATTTAGGTATATACTACAAAATAATTAATAGTTTCATACTTTGTACTGTAAGTAATAAGTAAGTACATATTTTATACAGCATCTTCATTTACTATATAAATAGTAGTTTTCATCCATTGCCTCATCATGTACAACATATACATGTAATTTTACTATAGTTTGTCAAGTCCTTATTATTATCCAGAATACTTGAAAGAAATTGAATGGTTAATGGACCCATAGAAAACAAGTATATAAACATACATTTTTAATTTATTTATAAAGATAATAGTCCAGATTATGTAAAAATTGTTTAATTATCTGGACAGTAGAGATAGGGTAACAAAATTAGAGTTGTATTAAAAAATCCTCTACAACTATTATTACAATTAATTTAAAACAATATATGTTATACTGTTTTATATTAAATGTAATAGATAGATTCTTTATCATTTTATTATAATGCTTGATAATTTATTTTTAAACAGATACATACATTGAAACTAATAACTAAATAAAAAAAATCAGTATAATACTTATTTAATTAAATTCTTTAATATTCTATACTATACTAATAATAAGAATTAATATATAAATGATGGTGTAAATGTTATGTTTTTAGTTTGCTTTCTAAGTCCTATATTTACAGTTGAAGACTACAAATTAGATAAGATAACAGTCTATTTCTTATCAGCCTGTTATTTACATTAAGCTCCAGATCCCTTTGATAGTGATACAGATAAATAGCTTAACATTTGATTGTCTGCTGACTTTTTATTTCTACAGTACAGTCTCACCACGAAGCCTGTACATTTACTAGAAAAGTATACATTTACTTTTTATCTTTTAATAATGTCTATTTTAAATTATTTTCGAGTGAAAATGTTTCTTATGAATTCAAGGACTTTCATAGTTAATTTAATAATAAAAGTACTTTTATCCAATATTTGTTTGTGACTGTGAATTGATATTGTGTGATTGATAATTGGAAGCATGGTAAGTCAGCATTGTAATATATTTGTTTTCTTTTTTGTTGTATATTTGGAATTCTCAGACAAAAACTAACATCACCAAAATGGAATCGTTTCAAAGGTATAAAACTTCGGTGGAAGGACAAGATCAGACTAAACAATGTTATATGGAGATGCTGGCACATGCAATGTGAGTTTATAAACAAATTATCCTAACATTATCTGATACATTTCTGAGATGTGATATATTAGGGATATCTGATTTCAATTAAATTGACAAAAAAAATTATGATTACTTAATCTATACCAATATAAACGTGTAGTGTTTTTTTGTAATATACAATTATTAGCTTTTCACTAAAGGCATATGAAATTATGTATATACACTATTTATGTACATCAAAGATATATATTAAAAAAATGTTGTCAGATTCTCTGTCTGTATTGTTTTTGCTAATCTCTGAAACGACTGGACATATTTTTACAGGAATTTCACTCGTAGTTAGTTCTTGTCACACCAGCGACATTGTTTGACGACTTGTTTTTTAAAAGGTAGACTGTAAAAAGTTGTCTGCGTGTGAACCTCTATTTGCTGTTTTATTCCATGAAATTGCTTTGTAAGCTGTGTGCAGGGTGCAGCCAGTGAAATTACAGTGTTAGCCCTCTGGAATGGCAACACATGAGTGGAATCACGGGTGTCACCTGATAAAGTGCTGTTAGCGCTACCATAAGTTAGACCGTTAACTGGTTGACCATTTCAATTACATTTGTTAGGAAGTCTATATACTTGACTTGGTAGATTTTTTAATGATAGGGTTTAATTAAAAATCATTCAAAACATCGTTGCTGTTTGGTAATTCTTAACTTTGATATTATTTCTGTGATAAATGAATATATGATATTAATGTTAATAGTAAAAAAAAATTGTGATATGAAATTAAAAAAATAAAATACAATATAAGAGAACAAGAACGATTAAGAATAAATAAGAAGTCATTGTTCAATCAATCAATCTTATTCCTTAATTTACCTTAACTGTCTTAACTAACTAACTTTTGCCAACTTAAATGATGAAATTAGCTTTTTCGTCACGTGGAAAATTCTTCAAAAGACCGTCCACCCGCCGAAGCAGTAGCATGGAGGTGTGGTGGGATATTAACCATAAAAAATGATACGGTGTACATACGAGCGCCATTGCCTTATTACTGCGACTCCGGCAAAATCATATTTAGGGAAAACATTGTCGACTCCCCCTGTAACTATTATATACTCAGGTATGACTAAGTTTGCCGATTGAATTAAATTAGTGCATACATGCTATGTACAATAGAAGTACTCTACATATGTAGTTAAACTATTTTATTATATACTAGCTGTACACGCGATTTCGTCCGCGTGGAATTTAACTTTATTTATTGTAAAATAAAAGAATTTTTTGAAATAAAAGTCTCCTAAGTTGCTTATTATTACATCAGCTACCTGCCAAAAAAAGTCCCGTCAAAGTCGGTCCAGCCATTTCAGAGAATAGCCGTAACAAACAGACATATACAAAAATTGAAAAAAAATGTTATTTTGGTGTATGTAGCATATTTATATTCATATGCATGTAGTAAAAAACGGTTATTCAATATTACAAACAGACACTCCAATTTTATTTATAAGCATTACATTAATTTAAATTTCTCTAAAAATAAAGTACTCCGCACTTGATCCACACTCCATTTCTTCAACTACTAAAGATAACATTGTATAATTAACTAATATAGCGGAAAAATACATGTATCTGCAAAAAAAAACATTATTTTAATATTGATCTAAACGCTATTATGTACCACCATAAACAAAGTTGTCCGGTATATATTATTATTATTATTATGGATTACAATGATTGTTTTTTGTAATTGTTTGTATTAAATTCGGTATATATAGAATCAAATACACATTACATTAATAAGAACGAAATTATAACAGCAACAAAGTAACACTGGAAATGCACATCATATAAAATAAATGTTTTAATTTCCTTCAAATAATAATAATAAATAATCGTTTTTAAACAGAATCCTATATGTAGATGAGGTCATTTTATATAGGTTTATATTGCTTAGAATTAGTATTCATAAATTGTCTTTATGACGAGCTATAACTACATTTACAGTATATATTCCCAATTTTCGTACTTATCTCTTCAATGCATAATAATATATAAAATCAGAATTATTTGACGGCTGAGGTTATGATTACTGTATATTTTTATTTCTTAAAAAAAATCCGGTTGCTGTAGATCAATAGCTACTATATTTAATACAATAATAGATATACGGAATACCGCAGAAATATCTATACCTATATAAAATACAATATAAATATAAAAAGGTATGTCATACACGATTATATTAAATTATTTGAAAATAACTTTTCTTATTCCACTGCGATACCTGTCAAGTATGTAGATACTTACCGGACTTACTATCGTAGTATAGTTGCGTTTAGGTTTAGTCAACTATTTTCGGTTCATAGCATACACGAGAATCATACGTGTACATTATGTCTGTGAATAGTACAGGTGGCAACCATGTAGATATATATTAATATTTTTGGGACGTGTAAGTAAATGATAAGAACCTGTCACGCGTCATCGCCGTGACACGCTGACGTCACATGAACAGGTATAGACGGCTTTATCGTATTTTTTTTACACATAATTATTGAAAAAATGTAGATAATACAATAAAAGGTGATAAGTGTCATGTCATGTTACATGTTAGATTAGAGACGCATATGCACGGGCGTGGCGGGCGTCCTTTCTGCACACGCCTCCTTTTGGAGTTTGCGTGTTGCAGTTTATGAATGAACATAAATGTGTTATGTTAATAACAAACAAAAAAGTTGTCCCCTATGTTATAAAAAATGTAACTTTATTATAGGAAAATTAATACTACATATTAAAATACAAGAAAAGGCTAAGAAAATATATTTCAATGCCCCTGGGCCCAAATCATCCGCATAGTCTCTTCCACTAGGCATTAGACATGTTTAAAGAGAATATTTAATAGAATATTCAACTATTACAGTTGTCAGGCAAGCAGCACAAATGGCTACATTGCAATGACAGAAAATATTAATTATACAAGCTAAAGTTTATTTATTATTTTTAGTTTTCTCAATGGCATATAATCTTGGAGATGCTATTTCTAGGTATTGGTGCTTGATAAAATTTTACGTATAGTTCAGATTGCTCAGCTGTAACACATTTATCCATTTCTGATAAAAAAATACCTATAGATGTTATTTTGTGTGTTTATACATTTATGGTTTTAATTACTGAATTAAAACCATAAATGTATAAAAATAAATTAGTAGGTATACTGATACCTACTAATTTATTTTTACTCAAATATCAGCAATTTTCCCAACACAAAACAATCGTCAATTTTTGTATTTTTCAGTCATAAAGAAACAAAATACATTAGTTTGCCAGTTCGCTTCCCCGTTGGATGTCGATACGCACGTAAAACCAGAGGTAAATTTAGAGTATAATTTAAGCACTTAGTGAAATGTTTTTGAACACCGATTATTGCACAATTTTATTTACATAAGTAAATTAGACACATCTATGTATTATTGCAGACAACAATATTAGAAGGTAAATATTGGAAAAGAAGAGCCGAAGCAGTAATAGCAGAATATAAAAAATGGCGTATGTTTCATATTATGCGTCTTTTTGGCAAGGGGGACTCGACTGTCCACGATTCGGTAAGCATATTATGACCATTGGATTTCTTTGTTTAAAGGCGTCAACTTCATAAGGCTAATGTAGCATTACCATATTGTTAATGTAATTTATTTGTATCGAAACGATACGAGATCTTCCATAGAATAAAATAGAATAGAATAGAAAATCATTTATTCAAATAAACTTACATTGAAGCACTTTTGAATAGTCATTACATTTTTTTTAATCTACCGCTCGTTCGGAAAGCTGTCTCATCACAAGAAGAACGAGCAAGAAACTTGCGTGTTGCTCTTTTAAATAATTTTATTATTACTTTACATTTTTAAGTTTAAGTGTGTGAATACAAACCACCAATTAGCACTAATTCAATTAAATACTCAAATAGAAAAAATATTGAAAATATAACCAACTGGTTAAACAATTAATAAGAGGAAATCAGTCATAGTGATTAGAGCAGACTAGTCCCTACAAGCAGCACCCGTTCACGAGTATGACGGATGAGCCAGCCATCACTGCGCTCGACCATATTTTAGGGAGCCCAATGACCCGGCCCACCACGCCGCCACAAGTCTGGACATTTTAGTGAGCATGACTACTCAAAACACTAGGCCACTTCAAAGCTACTTACAATTGCCATCTGATAGTTATAGTATTCACATTTTACATAAGAATGCATGCGGCAATCAATACAGAAACCGCTACGCTTTCATATTTCTAAAATCAATCAATTAAATCAAGAAAGCAATGAGAAAATTAAATTATAACGTTGTATGCTAATAAACTAATTATTTACTTGATATGTTGTCATCTATGAATTCGTCTATCCTGTAATAGGCTTTCTTACATAAAAATTGATTAATATAAAATTTTAATTACCTCTCTGTCAGATTTAATGCAGATTCTGGCAGTTTATTATAAAATCTTATGCAATTACCATAGATTGAATTACTGATTTTGTGCAGACGGCATTTAGGTAAAATAAGTGTTCGTGTTCTGCTAACGTGTACCAGTGGAGGATGAGGAGCAGTTAGCCCTTCGTGCCAAATTCACCAAGAATGAATCACGATGATGACTCTCTCCCGCCTTTGGAGGATTTTAATTACGCCGATGTATATAAGAATCTCTGTGTTCTTGCTTGTGCTTGGTACATGATCATCACGTGATTTTATATTTACGCCGCTATTTCAGATATCTACATTAAAATTTTTATTTGTGCAGATATCGGAAATGGACACAGTGGAGTCATTCTCACAATGCAGCGACTTCGCAGGCAATATGCTTACAGACGAGGACTATCTCAACTTCATGAGTGACACATTGTTTTCCACCATCACCAGCAATCAGCCGTTCGCTTTTCCAGATTGTAGAGAAATTGGTAAATCATCAATATTAGCCTTCATAGCATTAATTTGTACGAGAAAGTAATACTTTTCTAATAATATTGAGGACACAAATGTATTTAGAATCTTTTCTTATACTGTTTCTCTAGTTGAATCTTATTACGAACTCTACATTAAAAATTGACTTGTTCATTAGACTACTTGTCTACATTGGAGTTTCTATAAAAGATTGAAATACTTGTACTGTCTTCTAAAACTTAATCAAGACTAAATCGATACTATCAGTTAGTTCTTCCATTAAATATGAAATATACAATGAATACGTCACTACTTCCTACGTATAATTCAAGCGTATAAAAAACAATACAAAGTTAATAAATCGTGTATTTTACTCCATCAGTCCATAGTTGGGACCGATGCTCAGCTCAGCTCAGCTCAGAGTAGTAATCGGCGTTTGACGTGATATAGAGGTGATACGAACTTGTTTTACATTGCAGCTAGAGGCACGAGTTTAGCAGACTTCATTCAACCAAGTTTAGGCCCCTTGCAACCTAATCTTGATGATTTTATGGAATTGGAACCTATACAAGGTGAATATAATTAGTAAATTAAATTATCTTTGACATATACGAAATGTCTCTTACATTCATAGTGTGAACATTGATTGTTTGTACATTGACGGTAGAAATATTATATATAGTAATTTCATCTCAGACGTATTTTTGATTAGCGGCTGATGTACCCGTGTCTTTACTTTTATCTTTTATTCTAAAAGATAGCCTCGTGTAGCTATATATCTTTATGTCAAAATTAATATAATTTTGTTATGCTATTAAATAGTTGTACAGAGAACGATATTACTGAATTTACCTTGTATTGTGCAAAATTATATACCATTGTATACTTATTTTTATATTACATTAATTATTTTGGAATTAAGTGCAAGTACATAGATTCATAGTTATTTTTGGGGTTCATTTTAAAATCTTTATAAGTGTCTGCTGCTTTTATTTTGTATTCAATTTCTTACACGAATTAAGTTTTTACAGAACTATTGTCAACGCCTCGCTTGCCGCCCGTACCCGAAGAAAGCACTCTCGCTCCCGAGGATAACCTGTACCGGAGTGGTATGTCCGTGGACTCGTATAGCTCACAAGGTTACATAGCAGGAAATCAGACGTCGAGCCCAGTCACAATGCCTACGAGTCAAATGTCCATTCATGGTACGCTTGTAATAGTATTATGTTATGTATTGTTAATATTTTGATTATCCATTCATGTTTAGAGTCCTTCATCAATGTTGTTAAGTTTTTTTAGCATCTTAAAACAGGTAAAGTTTTTTTTCAGAACCTTTAAAATCATCCGGGTCGTATTATATTTCAATACAGATATAATCAAATTTAATTATGGAAAATTGACCATCTCGATAGAAATTGCCACACAAACATTAAAGCTGCAGGTTAATCCGGACTTAGAAGTCTTGTATACTTACTCAACAACCTCGTATATCATTGTTCTTATTATTATCAATTTCCGTACTTCAATATCACATACAAACTTCTACTAAGATGAAAATATCCCCGTATCGATGATCAAAAATCCCTTTCGCCTTAGAAATTGCGTGTTCAATGCAAAACAAATGTTACGCGGTTCCTGATCATCTTCTCACTTTTCAAATAATTAATGGCGATCTTTCTGTGATATGTGTGGTTTATTACACTTAGTATTTTCCTTATTTTTAGGTACCAGTACCAATACTCAAATGATGACGATGTCTGATCAGACGATTAAAAGTGAACAAATGCGAATGTATGATAATGGAAGACAGTTTATACAAGGAAACTTACAGGATAATATGATTAATGCTCAAGAGATACTGGCATTCGCCCCTCCGTCGTATGATCAGCAAGGCACTACTCATTCTGGCCCGCAAATGAATAGTGTTTACATGGGTAAAACACGATTACCGTATGTAAATACGCCTAAAATCGTATCGCAATCAGAAGTATGCTATTCTAAATATAACAATTCAGGTTTGTACTATTTTTAATTTTGATTTTATCGTTACAGCGTCTTGCCTCTTAGGGCGAGTGCCTTGTACGTTCATAGTCATAAAAACAGGTACTTAGTAAATAATTAAATTATTAATAATATCTTATTTCTCAACAGTCATACCGCCATCGCAAACAGCGCCGGAAACGGTTTCATTGCTCCAGCAACCGCCGTCGAGTCCAAAATATACGTCGACAATAGTATTGCCGGGGCGAAGCGGGTACAACCGCGAGAAGCCGAGACCGCGTTTGACGCACTATGCGAATCAGCTCCCAAATAATCAGTACCAAGGTTATGGCCAGCAGCATGCACAGAGCGCTGCGCCGGTGGTCACTCAGGGTTACGAATCCCGACCAGGGGCGGTACGGCAAAACCCTACACAAATGCAGTATCTGCAACCGAATCCCGTGGAGCCGTATAAACCGAAGTCTATACAGGCTGGAGTCGCCGCCCGATCTTTCAAAATTCCCTCGTCGTCTCTTGCACCACCGATCTCCCAGCAGGTAAGGAATTTGGCTACTGTATTAGCCAATTGGGTTAGAATAATATGTTTGGTAGTCTGCCTTTAACATAGCTACATACTTATACACTTTTATATAGCATTAAGTAAATCAGTGAAATACCGCACCACATGTATCGAGATGGTACCCTTAGCATTGTCGACGCAGATGTCGAGTGTGAGCTCGGCGAGTGCGGGCGGGCGCGGCGGCAAGCAGGAGCAGTTCCGGTCGCAGAGCCTGCCGCTGGGCGCGCAGCTCAACGCCGACTGGTCCGTGACCACCGGCGCCCCCTCCGCCGCCGCCTCCGCGCCCCCCGCGCCCCCCGACCCCGCCCGGCCGCCCGCCACCGTCCTCGCGTCCGCCACCGGCTCTGTGAGGCATACCGCCAGGGTAACTTTCTTACTCGATTATTATGAATCTATTACTTATTTAATACTAATAATCTGAACGTATACATCACCAGTTAATATGTAAGTAAAGCCTGTACCAGTATTTCAGGCGTCTGAAGGCTTATTTACTATCAATGTATCTGATGGTAACCGTAGCATACAGACCTTAATTGTAGTATATAAAAAAATGCTATTGTACTCGTGTATTCAAACGTGTATAGATAGACGCATCAGAAGCCGAGACAATTTGCGGCATGTATGTTTGTTTAGATATATGAACTACAATGTTTATTTAAGTATTATTTCTGTCTATATATTATATTATAAACAATTCTCTTTTATATATGTATATATAAATATAAGGTGTAACATCTAATATTCTGGTGTGAAAATCATTTAACAAGTAAATAAATGTAGGCACGTGAAACGAATCCGAGTGCACTGCGTATGCGGTCCCGTTCGACGTCGAGTGGCTTGATGATGGAGAGCGGAGGCGGCAACTCTTCCGGGCCGGCCCGTCGACCGCCGCCGCTCAACAGCGTTGCATCTGAACCTAGTCTGCCTCAAGAAAGCGTTATGCTAGCTCAACTTCTGTCTTCCCAACACTGTAAGTTACCCTCTGCGTCATCATAAAAGCATCAGAAAGTTATCTCTCTTTTAAAATCAGAACATTCTGAACCTAGTCTGGCTCAAAAAAGAGTGGTGCTTGCTCAATTCCTGTCTTCACAATCTTGTAAGTTACCTTACTGCGTCAACATTAAAGCAACAGATGATTATTAACTCATTTTTAAAATCAGATCACACTGAACCCAGTCTGCCTCAAGGAAGCGTGAAGTTTGCTCAACTTCTGTCTTCTCATGTTCTGTTTCACGTATTATTATAATGATTTTTGTTTCTTAATAGTCATCTATACAAATTAGAATTAAAATTTCTGAAGAAGATTGTTTGTGACTACGCCTATGTTGTATTATAAATGGTAATTGTGTTCCATTTATTTTCAGCTCAAAGTTTATACAAAGTGAACAGTAACAGTGAGGAGGCGTTGGCCGGTGGCGACCCGACCAGATCGCCGGTGCCAAGACTCCAATCCTCGCCCATTGGCAGCGACGTCATGTCACCACATCACGTGAGCGTTCATTTTCGCTTATTCGGTGGATAGGTACTAAACCCCAATTTTATACATACGTAATCTATAGGTACAATATTCGGACTTCTACTTCTACCTGTTATTCTGCTTTTTATAATTATATAAAAAAAATATATACTCTTGAGACATAATTAAAAGAAAACAATCAGCAGTCTTTTATACTACAATTTATAAAAGATTTAATAGATAGAGACGAATTGTTTAGGAAGGACGTGAGCCGTTTTTATTGTGTTGTTTGCAATTGTAACTACCTCCAATTTCAATAAAATATGAAATGATTACAACAATGGTAAATAAATAAATCCCTAATAACAGACGTAACAAATTAGGATGCCAAAGTAGTAGTATTATAATCAAACTTGTAAATTCTTAATTTTACAAAATCTATAATACTGCATTGTAACTGACACGAATTATACACATGCGAAAAGACTTTACAAATGAGACAGACAAGTCGTCGTTTTTTTATTAGGTATGTTTAATCGCCAATAGGTATTATTATTGAATTCGCTAATTCTTGAACGTCTAGATTTGATATCGTTGAAAAAAGGCCTTCAATTTATCATTGCGACATCCATTCGTATCAAAAACGGGATCATAAGTTTCCAAATATATTTTTTAAAATAAAAACTAAGATTACAATTGACTATCTGTAATCTAATCTCTTATCGATTTTCATACATCGCTCATACATGTCGAAATTTTGTTTTTGATTTTTTTTTTGTTGAATATTAAATTTATAGGAGAGAGGGGTTATGTAGGTATTTCTGACTTGTTTAAACTTGTTGATATACAGTCAATTCAGTCAGTTTCTACTACGGCCCTGTATCTAATAGTTAGTCTAATAGATAGTCTATTAATATTGTTTAGTCTTAGTCAGTCTTGTTTGTATAATTAAATCGTAACTTAGATCGTCATATTATTATATCCAATTCGCAATTTGAAAGATTGAGAAGAATACTCATTTTTATATGTTTCAACTTTAATTTTAAATTGACACACGGAGATATCAATTAGTTAGAAAAGATCGTATGTACAAATGAGAGTTTGTAATTTCCGATATTATATCTATCTGCTTCTGCGCTTCTAGATTACGTATGTTTTTATCTGTCTATTAGTTATTACTTCTACATTACGCAACTGTCTATTAGTTATTTTATTGAAAGTTATTTACGATCTGCTACTAGAGTACATTATATAAAAATATATGATCCAGTTCCTGTAAATGACATTTATAACTACGTGACTGTGGTCGTAAAATAATACTGTCATCGTGGGAAAATGACTCACACTTTAACTGTTTTATTACTGGTTTATAATCATTATTAACGACTGATTATTGCATATTAATTTTAACCGGAGTATTGTTACTAATTTCATAAATTGCACAAAAGCTCAGTGAGTTATAGCATTATCTGGGTAGTAATAGTAAACTAATCAGGTTGTCAGTCAAATTAAACACTTGACAAGACTTCCAATTATCTTATCATTATGGTTTACATTTAAAATCAAACTAAATAATATATTGACGACTAATTTCTGGTTTATACCGGTCAATCTAACAATGACCTCTGACAATGTCGTAAATAAGTCGTAATAGTGCTGTTAACTTTATCATACAACCTATATTAGATACAAACTTGTTATTGAATTTTGTGTCATCCAAAGTAATTACTGGTCTTTGCGCATGTTAATATTAAATTGCTGTTACACAGAGCTGATACTTTTGTCATGTTTTCATTTGCCCTAGATCGATTTTGTACAAATTCTGCGTCAAAGCAGCTAATTTCTAAGTTGTGTTTCGGTTGAAGGGTAAGATATGGCAAAAAATTGCAGATTATGAATGCATATTTTAGTCTTCCGGAATGGTAATTCATGATGCGGGCGTTGTGTAATAACATTTGTGGTATTGTTCACATGTCTGCCGGTGTTTCCATATACCATCGAGTGGGCCGTTGTCTTGTCATTCCAGTTACATCAAAATACATATTTTTATTCATAAATCAGTGAATCTTAAATTGTCTTAATAAAATTTGTTATTCTAACCAGTCAAGTAAATGACTGAGTCTGATATTAGGGATAAAACGAAGGTAATGTGGGAAGATACGGAGAGAAAATTACTAATAGATATTTACTTTATTCACATGAACAGATACACACATATACATTTTACAACACCGAAATAAAAATTACGATAGCGATAATGTTATGAATGTTGAATATTAAAATTTACGAAGAATTTCGCCACAGGGTAAATATTTAATCATAAATACGGCACTGTATGTAGCCAACGCGTAGATACAAATAAGAGTGATATACTTTTATTTTAATAATATGATCGATATCACGTTTATTTTATACACGGTTTTAAGGAACCATTGCAAAACTTTTAAAATAACTTGCAATTTATTTCATCAATCTGAGTCTCGATTGTAAACGGAACCTACATAATTTTGGTTTTGGTATAGAGCATACATAAGAAAATACTGTTCTTTTGGGTATCGGTTCGAAACTTATCAGTATGATCATTTTAATTAATTTAACGACGGGTCGAGTCGTACTCCACGTAGTGAGTGTGGTACACCTATATTAATATACACACTAGCTCAATCTAAGAAAGTAATCAATCAAAGTAATTCCAAAAAAACGTTAACATGACCATTACTTACGACTTACTGGCAGAAAATCTTGAACTGTGTACATGTAATCGTTGAAATTGTTGTGTGTATAACTGCGTGTGTGGTGGCGTGTGGTGGGAGACAGTCGCTGTCGCCGCCGACGTCGCCGGCGTCGCCGCGCGCCGGCAGTCCGCGCGAGCCGCGCCGCACGCACCTGCACGCCGAGCAGAAGCGGCGCTACAACATCAAGAACGGCTTCGACACGCTGCAGGCGCTCATACCCCAACTCAATGCCAACCCCGCGGCCAAGGTACGTCATCATCGCACCCGAAACCGCACCTGCTCGGATGACCACTTTGTTCTTTTCTCACTATAGAGATACTCATAATTTCACTAGTTGCACTTAAAAGCGGTGGTTCCAAGTTATATAAGGCTAACTTCATTTTTTTTTTGTGAACTGTTTGGAACGAATCGAACCTTCAATGTAACGGAAAACTTATTGCAATTTATTGTATATTTATTACGTAAATGCATACGATTAATAAAAACTTTCTTTGTCATCAGATAAGTAAAGCTGCCATGTTGCAAAAGGGAGCAGAATACATTAAACAGTTGAAGGCGGAACGAAATCAAATAAAAGAAGAAATGGATAGTTTAAGGCAGCAGATTGAATGCTTGAATAACTCTATTTCGTAAGTAAATTATGGTAATTATTTACCATAATTAAAATTTAAGTCATTATAGTTTTTTTTCTAGGCTTTTTGACAAGGTTGGGCTAGTTGTTATCACGAGCAGGTTACAGTATTGCGATATTATTGTCAGAGATAGATTTTAATAAAATGGTTCACGAATATAAAAAAAACCTACGGTCCATCTGATAATCGCCGTCGCCGAGTACCGGTATTCGGTACTTCTAATTCACATATTCAGTACTGGTATACGGTACTTCTAATTCACATATTTCATCCAATAGCAGTAAATCGTAAATCATAAGCTTAACGCAGCGAGGTACGACAGGCAACATAATGACGTACATAACATTACGTATATCGGTGACGGCGATTATCAGATGGACCGTAGGTTTTTTTATATTCGATGTTGGCAAATAAATATACAGCCCTTAAGATGGTAAGTGGTTACCGTAGGCTATGCACACATAAAATACTTGGGGTGTTACGTGCGCGTTGTAGACCCTTAAGAAACCTTACTATACCCTTCTTGAGAAAACCTCGACAGGTATTTCATTCCACAATCTGTACTGTTTCGCTGCTTAACATTTCATATAAAAATAGCGTGTAGGTACTAGGTGTGATAGTTTAAGTAACAATAGAGATGTAATATCGATACGAGTGGCGTGTGTCGCAGTAACTGCCACTCGCTGCTGCCGGCGACGGGGGCCCCGGTGTCCCGGGCGCGCGCCGGCCGCCTGCGGGAGATGTTCGCGAGACACGTCGCCAACCGCACCATGCACAATTGGAAGTATTGGCTCGTATCCTTTTCTGAAATATCTATTCAGTTCATCGTCTAGTAAAATGTTGTATATTTTTTACAATTACAAGAACATACCTTCATTTGTATGATAACTTGAGTACTACATGGAATTTCGAAATTATTTGCTCTTCAAAAGTAAAATAATAATTATTTAAATAACAATAAGTAATTAATTTAAAAATATATTTTGCTCATTTTCCCTCTATGTATGTCCCGTATGAGCACCCGCAAAACCAGGGGAATTCCAGTTGCGTTGCCGGCTTTTTAAAAAGGATAAGCTCCATACTTGAAGGTTTCAATATCGTGTCGGTTCGGAAATACCATTACTGGAATTGATTCCCTGTGGTTGTGAGTGGCAAAATGTTTCCAGAAAAATGCATAGCGGAGGATCGCCGTTCATCCAGATGATCAGGGTGGTATTTTAGTTTCTGGCGGGTAGTGCGATGTTGGGTCAAATAAAGATTTCCTTAAGAGTGCGTTCAGTTCAGCGTGGTGGCGGCGGCGCTGGTGGAGTCGTTCAGCGCGTGCGTGTCGTGCGGCAGCGGCGCAGACCTCGTGCGGACCACGCTCCTCTGGGCCGAGCAGCACTGCTCGCTGGTTGAGATGCGACCCGGTCAGTGTCAAACTAACTCTAACGTACAATAGTTGTATTTGTATGTAGTATTAAAACGCCACTGATTAATACGATAACTTGTTTATAAATAACCAATATATGTTTTAATTGAGATGTTTGAAAGCTTTATAATAGTATTATAATAGTATATAGTAGCTTTATAACTTTATAATATAGAGATAAAAAGAACTGTGAATTTTGTAGTCCGTTGAAGTAAAATTCAGATAATACTAATTTTATATATTTATTTACATATGTAAAAAATATTATTTTCTGCCACAGTAGCGGCGGTACACCACTCCCTTAATTGATACTTATATTTGAATTGCAGCCGTATTGAATTCATTGCGAGTGCTATGCACGAAGACAGAGATCCTGTCGAACCCCGAGAGGCTGCCAGAGGAGGCGCGGCAGGCCGTCGCCTCCAGCGCTGGCGTCAAGACCGAGCCCACCTAACACTACACACACAGCCACCGTATCGGATTACGTGCCTTTACCGGAAAATATCAAATATCATTTTGATTTGTGATCTCTATCTTTCAATATACATTTTTAATGTGATGGAAAGTGACACTATATGTCAGTAGTTAAAATATGTATATTACAGGTTTTAGCCATTTCATTAATAATACTTTTTGAAAGCTCCAGTCTATTGTGAAGTCAGCAAATGTATTATTAACCGCAACATTACAATATCCCTAGTAACATCAGACTGTTACGCTGTTGCTTTAGAGAAGTTATTATGTTGAAGTTAAAATTGTAATTGTTCACTATAGCAACTATTATTATATGATCTGTTGTATCGTTAAATTGTATATCAACAAATTTATAAAATGTACCTTGAAAACAACATGGAATTGATTGAATTGATGATATATTAAATGTAATTAAACTGACTGTACAATTGACACTAATAAATGCACGTACTGCTATAAAGAGTATACAATAGTGAAAATTGTTTTATAATTTTTTTGCCATTATAAGTACTATTAAGGATTCTTAAGGGCCGGCAACGCGCACCACTGGAGTTTCAGGCGGCCATAGGCTACCGTAAACGTTTACCATCAGATCGACCGTATGATTCTTTACCACAATCGTGTTATAGAAAAAACTACTAATTATAATACGTGTAAACACAATTGCATATATGCCGGTAAAGGAACGTAGACGCGGGAGTTTAGTATTAAGTTGTCAGATATAGGTAATTGTTAATTTATATTAAATGTTATCAGAATTGACGAAAATCGAGCGTTGTTAATAGGTCATTTAGTACAAGAATCTGACCAGAATTTGATTTCACTGTTAATTTTTATCATATAATCTATTGTTTAACGTCAGTTCTGATTATATTGGTCAGTTTTAATTCATACAACAAAAATACCTCAAAAAGTTAAATTGGTAAATTTTGTACCAGTCTTGAAAGATGCACGATGTTTGGTAATTATTTTAAGAGAACCGAATTTATTTCATGCGTGTAATTTTGCTTGTATTTGATTATATTTTCTTATACTTATGTATAACGTATTAATGTACAAATCTAGACGCTCATATTAGTCAGTACTTAACAATATTAACACTGAATATGACTCTGGTAAAAGCAATTGAAAGAATATTTCATTTGTATGTTTAATTCAATTATATACTTTATTAAACGGGTATGTAACTTATATTGAAGTTATATTGTTCATATAATATATAAAAAACATCACATATTTTAATTAAACCAATTTGAGTTTAATGTAATATGTATATAGTAAGTCTTGTAAATATATACAGATTATATTCTAAGAATTATATGAGTCGAAGCCTGAGCAGCCTACCCATTTGTACCTTGTAATATATATAATAATATTAAATGCCAATATTCAGTTAAAGCTTTTAGTAGTGGAGTTGTCACATCCCTCTGTCAGCCTGGTTGATAAAAACATGATTGAACATGAAAACGAATAGCATAGATTGTCATAAGAAGTACTAAAATTTTGTTTCGTAAGCCGAAGTGATTTTTTTAATATATTTTGGTCGATATCTTTTTATGAAGTATTTTATAAAACGCACAAGTTATTTGTTTTTCTTATTTATTCATTCAATGACTCAAATTAGCGCTTGTGTAAATTGATTATACCAATGCTTACTGTCAGATATAGCATCATACAAATATTTATGTCAAATAATATAAAATCGGACAGTTCCAAGTACAAAAACAGTCAATGATTATGGCACTGCGCAAATGTGCACCGCTTAATATATTGGATGTTATCGTATTGGACATATTGTCTTATTTTTATACAATAAATATAAAATTGTCCACTATAACTGTCTGTATATTACGCAGCGCCTAAACTGTAATATATATAAAGCTAACTAAAAAAAAATGCCTGTTATATACTTGTTTGAATGAAGTGTGGCCTAAATTAGTGCCTTTATAGACTATGTTCATACACATTGATAATATTGTCATGTTAATATATAAGACAAAATATATGTCAACTCATGAAATTACCAAAGAATTGTGACATGGTTATTCTACCTGAATGTTCACTGTAATATAATAACACTGAATGTGATATTATGTGTGAAGCATTGGAAATGTTGCCTGCCCGTCCTCTCCAATAACTAAGTGTGATAAGTAAAAGAAAAAAGAATTTAATGAACATGTCGAGATTTTAATTTAGCATTACTGTAAGGATATTTACGTAAGTTGTATAAGTAAATATTTTTATATGATTTGTGTGGTGACACAAATGTTTTTATATAATTATATATAAATCGGTGCCAACGTAAATATTGTTGTAATTTGTTATGTAGTGATATAATTTTATGATGTAACGTTGACTCTGGTAGCACGTTGTGTTTGTTGTAAGCGCGCGGACGTCGCTGCGCTCAATGTGAGCTTTAAACGAATTATGTGCAATTGTTAATCTATTGATAATACAATTTGAAACTAAATTACATTGTTTATATTATTTATTTTTCAATAAACACCTTTACATGTATAATAATAATATGTTAAACGGCAGTGAAAAATCTTTGTAATTGTTTACTAAGTTTTCATAACTCGGTAATTGTACATATTTAACAATACTCTGTTCATTTACAAATATAGTACGTACATTCTGTAAATAATATTGGCGTGTCTAGGTATAGTGATGAAAATAAATATGTAATATTGCAGGTTTTTGGGGTAAATAATTAGTATATTATTATCCCAATTCTTAATTACCAATTTCGATAAAAAGACATGCCATGGTTGTTTACTAAATACACCGAACAGAATATGTACATACACAGGAACTTCGTTGAAATATAAATGTTATACATTAAGTTTATTTCAGTATTTTATTATTGATATAAAACTTGACAAACGTGACTAGGTAACGTTATTATTACGGAATTCTCTAACGTTCAGTTTCATCAACATCACCATCACCAACTGAGGATAGAGTTTAAAAGTACGTATTGATCGTAAATACCATTGGATAATAAATTTTTAACCTTATTTTGATGAAGTTTTTATATAGAAAATCTGCAAGCATAAGTTTTATATTTAAAAAATAAGTATTAAAAGTATTCGACTTTAGTGGTCGTGGAAAAGTATTATTAAGTAATTCATAAATACAATTTAAATTTACTGCTTATAAAGTATAAAATATACGATACTCCTGTCAATCATTCTCAATATTGCCAAATTCAAAAGTCAGTAAGTTTGGAAATTGCTAATAGATTTATAAATAAATAATGGCCTCTGTCTCATTGTCCCAAAAATAATTCAATTGTTATATATTTACACAATATATTTTTTTATTATATTTAATTTTGTAGTAATAATGGATGTCTTGTGTTCAAACAAGAAAAAAATATTTAATGTCAATTGATTTTCATGGAATAGCTATATCTATAATGATTAATAAATAGATAATTACGATACTCAATATAAATAAATATATGAGTTTAATATAACTTACAGTAGGCAGTAGGCTAAAGTAAGTATTATAAAATATACAAATATAGAATTATACCTGTATCAGATATACATAATTTTGTCTTTTATGCGTTATCTATAGACGCACCAAATAACGTACATACATAATATACATCAATGTCGGATGTAACATCGTTTTTCTCATAAGTCATATTTTTCGTAATCCTTAAGATTTTCTTGGTAGTAGGTATTGTAGTTTTATCTTGTATGGTAGTGTTGTCTCTTTGGGTAACTGTCGGTGGTGGCTGGTGTGAGAGTATCGAGTGTCATCGGGCTCCAGCCTTGAAATAAGTAAACATTTATATTTTCATTATATATCATTTGGAAGAAAGAACAATTACTGAATACTGAGTATTAAGGACAAAAAGCTTCCGCGTTTAATATCATATTTATTAACATTCGGTTATTTTCTTTGCTAATTAATAAGTGTACATCATAATTAAATAATAAATAACCCTGGTTAATTAATACAGCGTCATCTAGCTCCCGATACACAGAGCTTGTGTTATGGATACTAGACAAATTATATATATACTTGGATATTTATAATTATACATATTACGTCAATATATACATATTATACATAGAAAACATCCGGATCGATACAAACAATCATACTCATGAATACAAATCTTTGCATTTTGCGAGTAATCAAACCCGCCGACCATCCGTAGTAAAACGGTGTGTTAAACTGCTAGACCACCGAGGCCGTCGCTTTATTAATTTATTAGTTAATTAGTTATACATACGTACAAAGTTGGTCCCGCACTGGTCAACTTCATATGCTTCTAATTGTGTCATTAGCAAGTCGAGATTATCTTTCTCTGTTCACGGTGGCTAACATGCGCGCGAGTCGTGAGGTAGGTTGCCCGAGGAGCTCGGATACTTCTCCTTGTTCCACTATGTGGCCATCCTCTAGGACAATGGCTCGGTCGTAGCCACGCACAGACGAAATACGATGCTGTAATTTTTTTTTAAACTTATTTGTGAGTAGACAAAATATGTTGAAACTATAGAGAAGAAAGAAGTATCTTTAAAAAAATAAAGTAAATGTCAAATTCTCTGCTTTCTTCTATAGAATTTGGAAATCTTTTTTATTCTACTATTACAAAACTGGTTTCTGTTTTTGAAGTTCCATTAAAAATTCTCAATTAAATGGGTGGTCAACTACTATGAAATTATTTCTCCTTCGTCTTCGACACTCGTGCTAGTCCTATAGATTGATTAATTAAAAAAGCTCGTCAGAATACTTCTTTATTAGGGCGTTCTTTTCTTCAAAACCAGAAGTTTGAGACATTTTTGGATACAATTTGAAAAAAATACTAGATATTAATTTACGTGCAGCAGCGCGCACTGAGTGGAGCATACTGTGGGAGGTTACCGTGACGGTGAGGAGGGTGGTGTGCGGCGCGGCGGCGGCGAGCGCTCGCAGCAGGGCGCGGTCGGCGGGCGCGTGGAGCGCGGCGGCCGGCTCGTCCAGCAGCAGCGCGCACTAAGTGGAGCATACTGTGGGAGGTTACCGTGACGGTGAGGAGGGTGGTGTGCGGCGCGGCGGCGGCGAGCGCTCGCAGCAGGGCGCGGTCGGCGGGCGCGTGGAGCGCGGCGGCCGGCTCGTCCAGCAGCAGCGCGCCCGCGGTCCGCGCGTGCAGCGCCGCACGCGCCGCACACGCGCGCGCAGCCCACCCCGCGCTCCACCCGCCCTCGCCTGAACCGGCTGACGCGCTCACGCTGCATTCTGGAATATGTTGAATGAAAATCTGAAATTTACATACCTAAATATCTACAATTTTGACCGCATATTTATAGAATACGCAACAAATATTGAATGGGATAAAGAAGGTGAAGATGCATTTGAACAAAGTAAGCAGAGCTCGCAGAGATCTAAATTTAGTATGATGTCTGGAGATCAGTTTAAAATACTACCTGTTTCGCGTGTGATAAAAAAATAGTCTAAATTCTTCTCTATTTCAAATACTACGTAGGTATATTATGCTATAGCAATAGCTCGTCATATTAGGTTAGCCCCGGAAACGTAATAAATAAATAAACAGACTCACTGTCGTATTTAAAATACTTTAGACGCCAATGGATTGGTTGTTTAATTTTTTTACTAAATAAACAGATCAAATAATAATATCACAGTCTACGATAATAAACTCACCTAGTCCGGCCGGTTGAGCCGTAACGAAATCAAACAGGCCCACAACTTTCAAACTGTGCCATATCTCCTCGTCGGTGTGCATGGCGAGCGGGTCCAGGTTTTCTCGCAGAGTGCCTGAGAACAGTACCGGCTCCTGTGGCATCAGCACGACACGGTGCCGCAGCGCCCGCAGTGGAACCCGCGTGGCGTCCTGTTTGTCGATGAACACTTGACCGCTGCGTATAGTCGTTGCGCCCGCACACGTTAACAAGAGTGATGATTTACCACTACCGCTACGGCCGCAAATTGCAATCTGTGTAAACAGTGTATTTAAACAAAAAAAACCGAGGAGTAAATAGAAACAATGATTCATCGTGTTGTTCAATACATATAATAATTAATTGGTTACATAGCCCCAAAAAATTTAACTATTTTATTAACCAAGCATTAAACTTCCACTTTCCGAGTCAGTTTGAGATTTATTTAAAATTTTAGTACATCACAGACATCACGTTTCATTAAATCCATTTAGTTTTCATTAATAGTAATATCAATTTGGTTCGTAACCATCCGTATTAGTTTAAATAAAACTTATTTTTCAAAATGTATATTATATATACGTATAATCAGTAAAAATCACGGGATCTTAACACGTTTTATATTTATTTGCTGAGTTCCCGATATTTCGGTAGTGTTTCAACCACCATGATCACGGGTAAATGCGTAAAAATAAAGACATATGCGTCTACCTTCACACATCTTCGTTTGTTGCTACTACTGGAACTCGCACGATATTCATCTCGGCAAACTGTACTCACAGTATCTTTACGTCGAGATGAATATCGGGCGAGTTCCAGTAGTAGCAACAAACGAAGATGTGTGAAGGTAGACGCATCTGTCTGCCCATAAAAAGATTTCATTTTTCATCTACCCGCTGCTCTTCAGTTTACCCGTGATCATGGTGGTTGAAACACTACCGAAATATCGGGAACTCAGCAAATAAATATAAAACGTGGTAAGATCCCGTTATTTTTATTAATTATACGTATAAATAATGACCGCGTCAAGTTTAAAACAGTATATGTATATTATATTTAGTGGTGTAAAATGTTTTACTTTACTTTACTTTACTATCTGTACCTAATGATATAAAATAAGCCTAATATCGTAAAAACGTAACAAATAAATGAATAGAATAGAATAGAAAATAATTTATTCAAATAAACTTACATTGAAGCACTTTTGAATAGTCATTACATTTTTTTAATCTACCGCTCATTCGGAAAGCTGTCTCATCACAAGAAGAACGAGCAAGAAACTTGCGTGTTGCTCTTTTAAATAATTTTATTATTACTTTTCATTTTTAAATTTAAGTGTGTGAATACAAACCACCAATTAGCACTAATTCAATTAAATACTCAAATAGAAAAAATATTGGATATATAACCAACTGGTTAAACAATTAATAAGAGGAATCAGTCATAGTGATTAGAGCAGACCAGTCCCTACGAGCAGCACCCGTTCACGAGTATGACGGATGAGCCAGCCATCACTGCGCTCGACCATATTTTAATGCAAAGATTTAATCAATGTAAAGTATGTAAAACAATATAAAACAACTGACTTTTTTTATTAATGAACGCATAATATATTTAGATCTAGTTATCTACCTTCTGCCCAGGACTGATTGACAGGTTTATGTTGTGGAGGATAGGTTGCGCTCCCGGCTCAGGTTGTATTGTTACATTGTCAAATTCTATTTTTCCATCTCGTTGCCAGCCCGATGGTATAGGGCCTACAAATATAGATTAAAAAGTATATGTTACATAGATTTACAATATATTCAGGTAGGTAAGTTGCGCGGGTCAGCTAATGAGTTAAAATATTCCAAGAAGGGCTCACAAGGAAATATGAAGTGATATATAAAAAACAAAACAATACATAGGTATATTTATAAAAAGAACGGTGGACAAGCTGCCAGCAACATCAATATTCATCGTAAGTAGCATAATACTTACAATCGTCCTTGTAATCCTCTTGAGGCACGTGCGTATCGTGAGAGAGGCGCTCAACGGCGGCGAGTTGTAGGTGCAGGTCTGCGCGGCACTTGGCCAGGTGTGCCAGGTACGCAGGCAGCAAAAGCGCGTACGCGCCAGCCAGCCCGCCCGCCGCCGCTCCTCCGCCGCCGCCGCCACCGCTCAACGCCACGCATAGAGACGCGCACACGCTGCCCGCGCCCACTATGTCCTGTACACACAATATACGACAATATTTATTTTTTTGTATGGACACCAAGAATGGAAAGTATTAGCTGGAAAGAAAGTACAAATTGAAGAAGTGCTAACACAGGGTAAAAAAGACAGATATTTAATACTATTGTATCGGGTAAACATGAGATTGATTCTTCACGATAAATACATGAAAATTACCTATTATTGATGGAAAAATAGAAGGAAAGAGCAGGTTGGGAACATGAAAACACAGTTACATCAAGGAACAAAAAGAAAAAAGACAAAATTGCAGTAGCGTATATGTATAGCGTAAATGTAGGGGGGTAAGGGGAGAATGACAACAACATCTTGTTCAGCCCAACTGTCAACCCCTCCTGCACGCGATAAACGGCGGTGACAACCAAGTTGTCACGGTGCTTCCTGCTAGATAACAGACGGGGCTCTGGCGACCGAGGAAGTGGCGGTATAACTACTAACCCTACCAGGCAACTGGATAGGAGAGGCTACAGCAGTCTTGGGAATTAAATGATCTCAAAAATGTTTGGAGCAGAAGACAAAGGGAAACCACTGCTACAAATCTCCCAAGAAATTTATTATGGAAGTGCAATCAGATATACGACGAATGACATGCGAACCAATTAGCAACCGGCGCCGTGATGTGACCGGGGCGCGCGGTGATAATTGGACTACCGGTCATGTTGTGGTAGGGAACCAGGCCACTCATGGAAACTCTGCCACTGGAACCTCCATTAAATTGCGACATATCCAGAAGATATGTACATGGAATGTACGGGGTTTACTCTGTCCTGGAAAGCTTACTATACTAGAAAAGGAAATTACTAGAAACGACTTGACATCTGCGGCCTTAGCGAAACACACTGGAGAAATAGTGGACATTTTCTTACCGAAAACCACGCCGTATACCACTCTGGCAATTATAATTCTAGTGTAAATCGAGTGGCATTTGTAATTCAGAAACACCTTAGGAATTATGTAATTGGCTACGAATTACATAATTCCTAAGGTGTTTTGGAATTAACAATGGCATACTAAGTATCAAACTTAAAGCATGTCCAGTTAACTTAAACTTCATTCAGATTTATGCTCCCACCAGTACAGCTAGTGATGATATCATAGAAAATTTTTATGCTAAATTAGAACACACTATTTCAAAAGTCCCAAAGAGAGAGATACTTTTAATCTTGGGCGATTTTAATTCAAAAATCGGAAATAACTCTCATCAAATCAGCAGTTGCATTGGAAAATTTGGACTCGGTATACGTTATGAAAGAGGTGAACGTCTCATACAGTTTGCCACTGAAAATAATTTTGTTATAACAAAACAGTCTCTTCTAACATCATGTACGCAGACTTTATACCTGGACATCGCCCGACGGCAGTTATCGTAACCAGATTGCCTATATTCTAATTAACTCACGATGGAGAACTTCAATTCAGAATTCCCACACTTTACCTGGTGTCGGCTGTGGGTCAGATCACCAATTACTTGTTACAAAATTAAAATTGAAACTAAAAGCTACAAGGAACACTAGCAAACAAGTAAAGTTAGAAATAAAAGATTTGACAAAGTTTGTTGAAATAGTGGAGAATAATTGCGCTGACATAACATCAGAGCTGCCATGGACTAAAACGAAAGCTGCAATTACTCAAGCTGTGGTACAGTCCACACCAACAACTGTAACAAAAAAAACGCCAACATTGGATCACTGATGACACCCTGGCTCTGATTGAAAAGAGACGTGAGATAAAGGTTGCTGGTGTAAATATCACTGCCATAAATATATTATCTGCAAAAATCCAGACAAGATGCAGGAGTGATCATAACGCCTATCTTCAAAAAATCTGTGAAGAAGCCGAAAATCACGCAGATAGACTTGAGTCCAGCGACCTATTTCGGAAGATTCGTTTAATCACAAGAACATTGTCTTCTAGAACTTGGGCTATAGAAGATAGCCAGGGCACAGTCGCTACAGAAATTGATAAAGTCTCCGAAATATGGCAATCTTACTGTCAATCACTCTTTGCAGATCCACAGTCTCACCTCTCCGAAAACATAAAATCCGAAAACAAGAATTTAGAACCGAATATTCTTAATTCGGAAATAAGAGCAGCAATTAAACATATTAAAAACGGAAAAGCAGTCTGTACTGATTTTATTCCAATTGAGACCATCAAAGCCTTGGACGAGAGAGCGGTCATAATGTTTCATGGAATATGCAACAGGATATGGCAGACTGGAGTTTGGCCAACAGACTGGGCACATACTATCTTTGTACCCTTACACAAAAAAGGCTCTACAAAGAAGTGTAGCAATTACCGACTCATAGCCCTAATCTCATATGCCAGTAAAATCATGTTGCATGTGCTAAATGAACGCCTAAAATCCTGCCTATCTAAGGAAATCACGCCTGAACAGGCAGGATTTGTTAAAGGAAAAGGGACCCGAGAGCAAATTTTCATCGTGCGACAGATAATAGAAAAGGCCCGTGAATTCAATAGGCCGACTTATATTTGTTTGTTGACTTCTCAAAGGCGTTTGACTCTGTGAAATGGCCAGTTCTGTGGAAAACGTTACTGGAAATGGGAACACCGTCACACCTGGTATATCTCCTTCAGTGTCTATACCAGAGCGGAACAGCTTCAATACGCACTGACGAAATACTGTCTAAACGTTTTCACCCCAGTGCTGGTGTTCGGATGTATAATATCACCGCTACTGTTTAATGTGTACACGGAACTTGCCATGCGCATTACTTTAGAGGACTGGACTACCGGCATTAACATCGGTGGTTACAAAATTACAAACTTACGCTATGCAGATGACACGACCTTGTTTGCGACTAGTGCTGAACGTTTGGAAACGTTACTCCAGAAAATGGAGCGAGTAAGTAAAGAGTTTGGGTGAAAAATCAATCGTAAAAAGACTAAGATCATGATTGTTGACCAATAATAATTCGCCCGAAGTCACTCAATTGGCGAACTGTGAAGTGGTCGCATCCTACATTTACCTGGGCTCATTAGTTTCGAATGGAGGAGGTTGCATGGAAGATGTCAAGAGACGTATGGCCATGGCAAGAAGCGTTATGGATAAGTTGAAAAAAATATGGAGGAACCGAAAAATAACAGAGCTGTCGTGCGGTGGATTACATCAGCCTCACATCCCACTACGTAATGACCACGACCGTTCTGACAAGAACGAAGCGAATGAGAAGAAGAAGAAGAATATGTAAAGAGGATGATGGAAGGTTGTGGGAAGTTGCAAGAGCTCTACCGACAAGAGCGTGTCTCTTAAATTATATATGAATGACACGCAACGGTGGTGGCGAGGCATGAGTGAAGGATGTCATAAAGTCAGATTTAATTAGCTGCTTATGAGCGATGTTTACAAGTAGTAACGATAAATAGATAAGTTATATAAGAGGACTATTGCTAGTTTAGTTTTAAACTTAAGTTTTTTCACATAACACTAATAAAGAAAAGTATACATAAATATCTTACCAAACTAAGTCCAAGCCAGCGGTTGGCCGAGTTTAGAAGCAGTAGCGCATTTTGATTGCGATCTAACCGACGCTGAAAAGCGGCGCGCATGTAAGGTTGGAGCCGACCTACGCGCACGGTGGCGCCGCCTGTGCTCGTCTCCGCTGCCAGTGACACCACACTGGCTGCGCTCTGTGCCTCTTCGCGCTGAAGCTCCCTGTTATATGACAATGGGTATTTCCTATTTTACATATATTTTCTAACTAATGATAATATACAGGTATATTATGTATATATTATGTATATAACTAAAGTATTGCAGCCGTATATTCAGGCCATTTGCATAAATTTATTTTTAAACATCATCTTATATTTAATCTGATCTCTCCTCAAATTAGAAGTTAATTGTCGACGTTCTTGATCGTTATTATTACACTATTAGCATTTACTTATCATCAGTCATGGTCGTGACATCGAATCTAGCCAACAAAAAAAAAACTTTGTCAAATAATATTTCTGAACGACACTGGTGATGGAAACACCCATAACAAACCAACGTATTAGTCTCCTGACACGTTGGATTTAAATTAATATACCTACTAAGCAAAATGAACACTTATTTCGTTCACTACTACGTAGACAGTCGACAATTTCTGTGACTACCCAATATGGTAAACAGTCGGGGAAAGTATGATGATTACAATTTACAACTAAAATTTATTTTTACTTCAGAAAAATAAACATTTCCTCCACCGGAACCAACATGCATGACATCAAAGTTATATTGGCGCCAAAAATAAATGACACAGGTAATACATGCGTAAACACATACTAGTTTGTTATATTAATTTTCGGTAACTTTACGATCTTTTTACAATTTAATATAACTATTTACTACTAAATGTACCTGGCATTATAAAGGTAAACTGATTGCAGAGTGAAATAAAATATAACGGCTGGAATAAGGGCAAGGAGACTCCACGGTGCTAAGACTGCATTAACTAACATCGCAGCTCCACAAAGAAGTGCTAGCTGTGCCCAACGACTGGTAGCTATCGGCAGTTTCTGTAAAATAATAATAAAGCACATTATTAGAACATTAACACATATTATGCAATACATTATATTAGTTTCAGAATATTAGAGCTGCTTGTTAGTACTCCCAATGACAGTTATGTAATAGTAAGAATAGAAAGGACTTAGTTGCTTCAGTTAGTTATATGGTTTCATAGCCCTTACATTCCTACCTGTAACTACTTATAATTATATTTATAAGTAGTTATTTGGCAAAAATTTAACTTCTCAGGTTTATTCACAACAAAATAGAAATTTAACATTATAATACTGTCATACATTTGAATAAGTTCGCAAATATAGTTATAATAATAATAATCATCATATTTTTTATTAATTATGTAAGAATTGTAAATAACCTTATCAATAACTTGTACATCAGCAGAGAAGCGATGTAATTGTGATCCGTGTGGCATTGCGTGGTGGTAATGTAGTGGAGCGTGCAGAGATGAATGCAAGAGGCGTTCGTGGAGTTTACGTCTCGCCCTCGCTCCCGCGCATGCGTTCGCCGCTTGTGCAAGTCCGCCCATACTCGCACCGCACACACACCACAAGGCGTAGATTTGGACGCCACTCCACATCTAACATTAATAAGATTTTCTATAAATTGTGTTTTATTCTTGATGGGTCAAAAAGACAAAATTGTAAAGATCCACACACGCTCTAAAAATATTTATGCATATTGAATAAATACTAAGAATACCTGTAATTAATATCATTAAAATAAATAAAAATAACAATACATCGGTTGAAATTAGAAAAAATCTGCGAGGAAGCAGTGAGTCGGTACATTATTTTTTTATTATTATTAAATGACAATTTTCGTATATCGTGGCATTTGTTTAGGGTTTTGGCCGAGAAATCTTCTTATTTAGATTAACGTCTTCTTCCTGCTTATCCGCCTTAACACAACAGAATGTTTACAAGCGATTTGATAGATCAACCTTTTCATCCACAATTATAATAAACGAAGAAAGAAACTTTTTAAAAATAAATATGTTACACACTGATGACGTAACTTTTCATAGATAAATATTTTTTTATTATTTTATAATGTTAGTTTAAATAATAGGTGGCACTTTAATAGTAACCTGTTCCTCTGTGAGTGGCACTTTGGTGTCGGTTGTCGTACGCATGAGCCAGTAGTCAGCAGCGATCGAGAGAGCCTGCGCCGCCGCCGCCGCCACCCAGTACAGGGCGCCCCACCATCCGCACGCCCGCCCGTACTCGCACCACGCTGCTTCCTGGAAACATCCATAAAACCAACGATTTTATTTATTTAAGTATATATAAGGTGGGTGACCCAAATAAAGCCTATGTCTTAATTAATTTATATAACTTTAATGCACACAGTACCAAAGTAACAGTATATTTGGCGGACTTAACATCTTATATAAACAAATATTTATAAAATAATTTATATAACTTTAATGCACACAGTACCAAAGTAACAGTATATTTGGCGGACTTAACATCTTATATAAACAATTGTATATATTTATAAAAATGTATATATTTCAATAATTATATTCTAATTACACCTCTATTAAAATCATAACTTGCTAAATCATAATAAACTTTGCTGAAGCGAGCGTAAACCGCAGGCGCAAACGCTAAAGCATTGAGTAAAACAAACAGATTCTCAATTAAAAAAAAAAAAACACCATGCGGTATTTTCTACCAGTCAACCATAGGTAGTATAGAGAAAAATTGTTGGCGGTGCAAAAATAATCATAACAAAAAAATCGCTTATATTGTGAAAATCAATGCCATCAGAGCGTGATAATTAGTAACTAGCTGTGCTCGTTGTTTCACTCTCGTGAAATTTATTCATTTTCTAATTCGGACCAATCGCATCCATATTATGTTAGAAAACAACTAATAAACTACTAAATGTATCCGCGACTTCGTCTGCGTGTAGTAGTGACCTTGACAATATATATATTTGTAGTAATATGTTTACGTATACTGTAAGCTAGAGTAATTCAAGATTTAGCAGTTAATATACAAGTTACACCCTACTGTGTGTGTTTACTCTCACCACCCCTCCTGTCATCACATGGCGACCGTGACAAAGAAGCTGCATAAATGGATCAAGATATATACTCTGAAGATCTTCGGGCAGCAAAGAGGTATAAATTATTTATACTCAATATACTATGGAAATGTACGGTACAATGTACGGTGGAAATTAATGTTCCTAGGCCATCGGTGTCCAATATCCTCAAATTGAGGTTCACCGCATACCTGTGCCTAAAATTAATTGAAGCATCCATAGATGGAAGTATAAAGATTGAATAAAAGTGTGCTAGCGGTCTACAAATGTTGTAGTGATTATTGTGCCGCGATTAGTGTCATTTCTGAAGACATTTTTATACGTGTTTGGTGTAGTGAAAATATAATTAAGGGACATATTAAGTGGTATATAATATTTGATTGTGTATTTAAATTTAAGTCACTTATTTTGAACAGGAAGTAGGCAAACTGTGACAGACCAATTACACAATTTTTGAAAGAATTTTATATTAGTCTATATATTTTTAAAAAATGGCCGCATTTGATTTAAATATAGCTTTATTACTATTAGGTACATATAGTGAATCGAGATGAGAAAATTATAAAAAGCCTTTTAGATGGCATTGAATTTTACAAAACCATCCTCAGGCCTGATGACCATCCCTTACTAATAAATTTATATTAAAGACGTGACTTTCTAGTTGTGCCAAATTAAAATTAAAATCAAACTACGATAATATTAATAATTTAACAGAGGATATAAGAAAAATTTTTTAAATCGTACATTCATTTTAACACAACTACAAAAATGTAGGCAGGGTAATAGAACAATTTTAGAGTTTGGGGATGAAATTGAAAGGTTGTTTGTTGAATTAACAATTGCCCAAGCGGGGGGTTTGAACACCGCGTATGATATTCTATTGCCCATAAATGAGAATATTGCAATTGCCTAATTAGGCAATTTGCATACGGGCTAAACGATAGTAGGTTGACAATGTACATAATATGTCGAAAAATATCAAATATACAAGAAGCTGTCAAAACAGCAATAGAAGAGGAGGAATTCATTCCTAAGAACTTCCAAACGTGTTTAATAAATAAAATAAATTATGACGCACGAGAATTTGATCGCAGATCAAATGAATGTCAAGCGAAGCGTAATAATACTAAGGCGCGAAGTCAGCAAAATACAATAATGCATAGTAAAGAAGGTGGCGCAGTTTGTTATAGTAAGCATATGAATTACGTCAAAGCGTCAGCTGATAGTAGGAATAGCGATAGAAAGACGTCGTTAGATTTTGTTCATGGAAATAAGAATACCGAAATTTTAGCTTTAAACACAAATAATGTAGTTAAACTTAATTGTTTTAATAATGATATGTTTTTAATAGCAGACTCAGGAGCATCAATGTCAGTTTTAAAGTATGATTGGTTAAAAAATTTGCCTTCAATTAAGATCCATAAAGATAACGCTATAATAAAAGGCGTTTGTGGTAATCTAGAGGCAATGGGATTTGTTTACCTGAATCTTGAATTTCAGAAACTGCAATTTAGACAAAAGTTTTATGTATTTAAAGAATTACAGTGCAGTTCCCATGGTATATTAGAAGAAGATTTTTTAATACAATTTAAAGGTATTATAGATTTTGAATTAGGCTGTTTAAGTGTAAAGCCCCACGGATTACTTGATAGGGTACGTATACCTTTTCAAAAAAGGTAAAATGGTATAAAATGTGTTACTTTTTCTAATAAAAGGAAAACTGGCTATATGGAGAAAAATGTAAATTGTTTAAAAAATAGAACAGCGGACGAATTATCGAAAATAATTGTAACGTCCGATGAGTTAAAAAATTAAACTAATGCTGTTCAGGCGTTATTAAGCAAGGTCCAATTAAAAAATTAAAAAATTACAAGAAAGTCACAGTTTCGTGTGAAATTAAATATTTGTAATAAGGAGACATTAGGAAAAGTGTTATGTATGCATAATATGCATGATAATGCGTGCAATGTAGTTCTATCCGGATCTATAATATATTTAAATCAAACGTCTCTATTAACAATGGTGGGCGTAGATGAATCATTAAGAGAACTTGTAGAGATATGCAAGGATCATAATATTATGGAAGTTATAATTATTAAAAATATGTACAATAAGTCTCAAGTTAATAAGTTCTGTCGGTATATACAGAAGTATGATGAGTTTTTACGATTATGTAGGTATACTGTAAGATATATAGATAAGTGTAGTAAGTCAATAACTACAGAGAATGAAGTGAGCATTGTCACATTGGCCAATAATGTAAAGCATAAAATTTCTTAAAATTGTTATAGAGTAAAAGGCTTAATTTTAAATTTTAGTTACTACTGTTTCGTAGAAAACAAGATCTGACAAATATGTATCAACAATACAATGTAATTTTAACAGTTTTTAATTTATATGTACTCAGGTATGATATACCTTGAGAAATTGTTGAGTTAAATTAATCCTAGTGCTGTTTTTTTTGTCTTTTTGTATGTTTAAATAATAAAATTGTCCTTGACTTTCAGAGGGAGGGGTCACCTTCACCATAGACACCCTACTTTTCAGGGAGGTGTGATATAGTGATGCAAATCAGCACGTTCGATAGTAGATTGTGCCAGTGTACGTTTTATCAAACGACACGTAGGTCACGCAGTACCTCATATATATAGTTTATGTAATTAGTGTAAGCTAGAGTAATTCAAGATGTAACAGTTAATATACAAGTTACACCCTACTGTGTGTGTTTACTCTCACCACCCCTCCTGACCTGTCCTCCCATCCCATCCTGTCATCACAGGATTATTTTAACAATGCCATTCCCCCTTCCGTATTTACGTGTTGAAATAAAAATCGGTAATCATTGCAGTTGCCGCTGCATGTTAGTTTCATGTGGGGTCGGTTTTAGGGTATTGCTGCAAATAGAAGTGGTCTAAAGTTCCTCTTTCTAACTGTAATGATCACATGATAACCTAATATTACATTTTGTACGGGATAATATTACAATGTTGTCGGGTGATACGATATTATTACAAATGATGGTGAGCTGACCTGCATTATAGTACTGATGTTGGGTATTATATACAAAACAACAATAGTAAAATCTAAGGTGGGGTGACACACACGGTTTGAGCAGTGCTTGGTGGACAATATTTATATTTGCCTTAATTGATTGCAAGTGTTGAAGTATCTGGTAACAGTGTCCCATACATTTCGATGCAGATGAGTTGTTCGGAATACCTGCAGACTATTTTATTTTGGTATTCGAGGAGAGCCGCGAAGTAGTGTGGTTAAAATGTTTTTATTTATTTGGGCATAGATCTGATGCTTTTGGATTATATAATTTATAAATAATAATTATTAGTGAGCGTTCCAATGGATGCCGGTGGGAATTGCAATTGTTTTGCATAGGAAGGTTTTAAATGTAGATTAATTATTTGTTTGATATATTATGTTGGGGTCTACTATACATGTTATGTAGTGCAAGGTGCTTATCTACTTGTCTGGCATATTTTTAACATTTGTGCTTTGTCTTAAAATGAAGTGCGCATCTACACTTGCGACCTAGAAGGCAATCTTTTGGTTTGGTGAATTTAGTGTCTAATGAATTTGTTGAAGAAAAAAAAAAAGCAACGTAGTCAAGAGGTTGAGCTGCCGACTATTATATTGCGGGTAGTGTGTCGCTAGTTATGGTTGGATGTAAGGTACAGGAGTGCTTTTTCTGTATGCGGTGTATGGTTTCTATAATATTGGAACGAGAAAAAGGATATCTAATTATATATATAGAATTATTCTATTATTTTTACAGCAATGACAGTGATTAACTTTTAATAATAAGCTATAGTATAGTACAGTGGTGGTGAGTATGTCTTTATGGAATCATATTTAAGATTATCTCTATTTTAAAAATACCAGTAAATTAGAAATTTCACAATAATGGTTATATGAAGTAGAACTACTATTAAGTTCTGAATTATTGTACCTACTCGCCTAATGCATTATGCGGATGAGTGATGGGGTTATTAGAGTGAAAAAATGATTTTTATTTCTTTGAAGTTTCGGGAACATGGAATAGAATATGAATATTCTTTATTCAAAGAAGCTTGAATAAATAATAGGAATAATAGCCATAATTGCATGAATGTACAGCATTTAGTAGCTGTGGAATGGAGTTAGAATTTGTTTTGTGATCACATGCAGACAGCGCTGACAGCTGTTTTTTATGAATGTGACAGGGATGTTGGAGCGATGGGGAGTCATTTTTAATTGACAGTTAATCCACTTGCGGCTGGAGTTGTGTAGTGTCGCGAAAATAAGTATATTAATGTGGTTTTGAGTTTTGAGACAGCTAATAGGAAATGATACCTGCTTTATTGTAGTAGTTGTAAAATATATACATGTATTTGTTTATCGTCATGGTGTTTGGTCGCTCTCTATAAATACTTTGGCCGCATTGCAGGGTAGCTTAGACAAATTAGCGTGTTTTAACTTTTACATACGTACTACAGTGCAACCTCGATAAAACAAATCGAAACAAAGGAAGCAAGTAAAAAAAAATATATAGTATATCAAGTAATTCGTTGAACTGAGATTTATTATGTTGAAGGTACGTTGGTCTAAACTTTATAAAAAGGTAAAAAACCTGTCTGAGCCATTTCAACTTGAATCTTTAACAATAGTGACGAGCAGCAGTGTTTACAAAACTTTACATTACTTTCCATCGAACAACAATTATTGTTCTACGAAAAAAAGTACGTCGAAACATGTCCTGACATGAATCACATTCTATGAGATAAGAGATAAGTAGAGTTAGAGTCATACCATTGGTGGGAACATTATATATAAAGGTTTTGGGTTGAGAAAATTCCTTATAAAGAGGTGTTTTTCCAAATTAAAAATAATAATAATGTCGCTATGTAAATGTATATTTTACATCGATTCTTATGGAAAGTCCAAGGGGATTACAAAGAATTAGTTAAATCAAGGAAGTCGTTATATACGTGGTATATTATTGTGAATGAGGTGCGTTATACTATAGCTGGACGATTATTATTATTACTAGATGCATGATAGTAACAATTACTAACGATACATTATTGGAAAAAATAGTTCTGAGGATACTATTAGTATTCCTATACTTTAGATTAGACTTATTTACTGGACATCCTTGTGGAGTACATAAATCTGAAATATGTTTAATATCAGTCATAAATGTATATATTGTGAAAATTAAATGGATAAGAGTGGCGTTTAAATGTGCTATAATTATAATATTTGGTGTTTTGCAAGAGTTCATGATTTGCTTATAAAGTGACTATTGGCTCGGATGACCTTAAAGAAATTAGCAAAGGAAGAAAAACCATGAGCATAATACTAATAACCAATACTTAAAGAGGATGAATTAAGAAGTTCAATGGAGTTATAATGATGGTGACAATGGCATTGATATTCTAAAAAAGTAGCTACAGAGGTAAGGTAGACTGGGCCGTCAAGCATTAAATTGCGTATTGACGGACAGGTTCCATTAAATTGCGTTGGCTGGGCCATCAGGCATTAAATTGCGTACTGATGGACAGATTGCATTAAATTGCGTTGGCTGGGCCATCAGGCATTAAATTGCGTACTGATGGACAGATTGCATTAAATTGCGTTGGCTGGGCCATCAGGCATTAAATTGCGAACTGATGGACAGATTGCATTAAATTGCGTTGGACTGGGTCGTCAAGCATTAAATTGCGTATTGGCGGACAGGTTGCATTAAATTGTGTTGGCTGGCTCGTTAAGCATTAAATTGCGTATTAACGTCCAGTTTGTGTTAAATTGTCTTTGGCGGGGTCATCAAGCAGTGTATTGTGTATTGATGGACACCATTCATTAAAGTGTAAATTGATAGAATGTTGCATTAAATTGCGGTTGAATATAAGTAATAAAAAATTGCCAGTGTTAATGTGTATTAATAATCGGAGTGAAATGAAGCGGATTCAGTAAAATATAATAAATCAAAAGTCATACGACACAAATTAATTTTGGTTGAAAATATAATTTCTATAAATAATATAATTGAAGATTGCTGGAGTACCTACGTAGAGTCTCCTTGGTGATATATGTTGTATATGTCGATCGTTCAAAGACTGGTCTGACAACCTTTCCTAATATTTTACCACTGAATTAATGCAGGTGATAAGAGAGATAATTTTGGTACGATGAAGAATGGTTATAGTTATACCCAATTAATACTACATGGACTGATATCAGATGTGTAGACAGAATATAGTGGAAAGTCGATTGCAATTGTTGATGCAATGTCTTGATAATATAGTAATATTCTTATATACCACCATAGGACCCATCATATTTTATGGAATGATAATAATAAATAGTGGGGAGTTTTGAAGAAATTCCAGATTATCTTTTAGATAATCACTTTTCAAATGTACATGATAAACAAAAATACTACATGTAAATAACACATTGCATGAGACAGATAGAATGGAAAAAATATAAGTATTTACCTTAAACCTACAAAACATAAAGTAGTGACTACTATGATAGAGATATTCTGGTCATAAACATACAACATTTTTTCAGAAGTGCTTTGTACTAATCTTACATAATATTACACAATAACAAAGTGGAATAACGATTATATGAAAACAAATATAAAAGAAGAAAGGTGAAGTATGTGAAACACAGAGTAAATTGGAGTTAATATATAAATGTAATGTATATTCAAAAGAGGAGGAGTGATTTTTTATCACGGTGCTGGTTACGCTGGAAAGGCCAATCGCACTAGAGGGATTCGGCTTATGTGCGGCAGTATAGTGTCAAAATGAGTCCACCATCGTTGTAACGTAGCACACATGCCTCCAAGGAACAAATACCTAATAGGTTGGATTGATTCATGCTACAAAAGAAAAGAAACTTAAAAAGGAGAGAGATGTAGTGTATGTGGAAACACTAGCAGTTTATTATCTATCGTCTCGAGCCGAGCGTACACGGGCTGCCGTGCGCAAGAGGGGAGGGATTCCCTGCGCAAGCGCCGCGGAGTAAAGACGTGGAGCTGTGGCTAACGAGCCGATATTATGTCGATAACAACTTACATACAAAAAGACATAAATAACAAATAAGTGAACACTATAATAGATTAAAAAATATGTATGATATATTAAGTTAATTGGTTACCTCACTGGCACTGGTGTCATTTTCTTTTCTAGAAAATGAATTTGAAACCATCACGTTGCTGGTCTCAGCGCCATTGGAAGTCAATGACGTGTATGTCGAGTCAACTCCAGTTTCGTTAGCTACATCTGTAATGAAATAGAATATTGTAGGATTATGAATGAACAGGAAAATAAAATACATATTTTTGAATATACAAATTCGACTTCAAACTTATTAAACACGACAATTTATTTACTATATATTTAATTTTATATCTCATTCTCTTCAATCATCTTTTCAATCTTACATTTGGCGCAGCGCAGCAGCATTTAGCTAAATTATATCCAGTTATTCTAACATTGCAAATTAAAACATTATTAACATGGCAAGAAAGTAAATAGAAAGTGTGTTATTTTTAACATAAAATAGTAACTTAACATTAAACTTACGAGTAATCACATAACAACGCATACGTGGATATGATGATAGTTACAAATAATTACCATTATTTAAATTGTCTTCATTGTGTGTGTTTGCTTCTGAACTTAATAGGCGACGTAGCGTTCTCGGTGTCCATCTGGAATATTATAAAATACGATTCAAGTGAATTTCTATCACAACTCGCATAATATAAATAGACTAGCTGTGCCCACGATTTCGTTGTTGTGGAATAGCGATCTTGGACAGCATTTTTAATTACTGTCTTCTTCTAACATTTTCAAACTTGACATAATAAATCTGAAATAATGTATATTTTTAACCTGGCAAGAGTACGATGTGTTCTAGGTCGCAGCAGCCTCCGCAGCAGACTTGCCTCTCTTTGCAGCGCTGTATTTGATGCGTCCGCGCTAACTGCGCGTCGCACCTCATGTCTCCATCTACAAAAATAATCCTATTTTTCGTTTATTCTTATAAATTTGTTACAAATTTTAATATATCTCCTTTCAGTCTTTCTGATCTAAAATTTCAAATAAATGCTGTAATTAGTAAGAGTAGTTGACATTAATTTAATTCGTCGACAATTGAATATCTATTACATTTATGTCAGCTGGTGTTGTGATGAAACAAATTGCCAGCAATTTGAGACTCTTATCATTTGTACGAATGATAAGTTGGCTGATAGATTTAAGGCGGATCATCACAGTTTTTAGAAGTAGGGTAATCCATAGAAATTCAATCATCATTCTTAATGGAAAGTAAACGTGGCTTATCGACTCGGTTATATCTCTCTTACTGTATGTGTATATAAATATATATATATATAGGTATATAAATATAAACATGGTTAATTTCACCATTGAGATCCTAGTATTTACTTGTAATTCTGCAATGAGGGTGGTGGTGAAGATAATTGTCTACAGAGCGGGCGCCTGGTACGAGTCGTGGTTTGCCGCCAACTGCCACCCGCGCACGTTGGCACTTCCGTCAGCAAGTGTGCTCCCGCCGCTTCATTGATGCCGATCTAGCAATACGACTATATTTTAACTTTTATTTAAAGTGATCATGCTATAAAAATATCAGGGCATATTGCAATACGTAGTACATAGGAATTTATGAATTGATAAAATAAATATTTGATTGAAATCACAACGTATCCGTATTTATCGTTCAGATATCAGAATCAATCTAATTTCGGCAAAAGATCGAGATCTTTTAATATGGCTAGGACAAATATAATGTTTAGCCATGAACTCATGAAGAAATAATAGCACGAGCTTACTCCCTTGATAGGGATTTTCCCCAAGTAAAAAAAATCATATGGTTGTTTTAGAGAAACAAGAACAAAAACAAGCTTCATCAATAGACGCGAGTAAAGATTTCATATGCTTAATCGGGCAGACCTTTTATATAAATTTAATTTACCTACCATAGTATTGTCGGAATGACACCTTTGGAACCTGGTGCGGTTGAGAGCTCGACGCAGACGGTCACGTTCGCGAGCAGAGCCTCCAGGCGGGCCTACACCAGAACGAGCTGCAGCCGCGCGTGCAGAGCCAGCTAGTTGTGCCCAACGCGACAGCGGCGATGGTCCACCTGCGCTCGGACGTCCAACCCCACACACTCGACCGTCCTCCATGGCTATTACCTGACATTCAGTACAGTCATTAGCTGATTCTACAGAGACAGACTTTGTAAAAAGTCATCTACGAGCTTTGTAAGCTTTCGATTTGAAAGGAGAGACGGGCAGTTACGAGGTACGGAGTCTTGATTCCTTGGTGTGATAGGTATTATGGGGGTTGCATAATGACGCGGTATCCGTAGTGATATTCATAAGTTAATACTGTCCATCAGGAGGATCAGCTTGATTCCTATTCCAGTAATATGGAATTAGTATCAAATACATGTTGACTGATAAAAATTAGAAACATTCAGCTTATTTTTTTTAACGATAATTCAGAATGATCTTTTCACTAGTACCTTATGATTTTTGTTAGTTGACAACAATAGTTTTTGAGTACGATCTTACCACGTCAGCATAATGTAACAGTTCCAATCTGTTAGTAGCGATTATCACTGTATGGCCGGCTCGGGCAGCCGTGACCATCGCGCGCGCTACGACGTGCTGCGCCAGCCCCGCATCTAATGCTGCGAGCGGCTCGTCCAACGCCAGCAGATGCGCATTAGAGTAGATAGCTCGTGCAACACACACACGCACTCGCTGCCCACCGGAAAGTGGCGTGCCATGGCTGCCAAGGCGAGTCGCATCTCCTTCTGTTTAAATGAACGATGTAGGGTATCTATATTCATATTCTCAAGGTTTATGCGTTAAAACTGACAATTAAATTAGCATTTAGTTTTTATATAATTTTGGGTGGTGTTTGTATACCTACAGCTATACGGAAGAGTAGGAATATTCCCATTACGGATATAAGCGAAGTAGAAATAGTAGCGTAAAATGAGTAATAAATTGAATATAAAATTAATTTATAGAATAGTACCTAACAAAAAGTCCTGGACAATTCACACAGAGCCATCTAGTCCCAAGCTAAGGACAGCTTCTGTTATAGCACTAGGCATCTGATAGAAATACTTTTTCGTAAATACATAATATACATAGAAAACAAACAAGCCAATACAAACAATAATGTCCAAATTTATTTCCTAAGTTCATTGTATCTTTGTATATTTTGATAAGATTGGGATAGATGGCGTTGTGTGAATTTCCTGAGATGTTATTATTATGCATTATACTATACAAATGTTATTGTATAAACAAACAAATGTGCACATCCTGCGAAGAATAGAACCCGCAACCATCGGAAGTAATGTGGTGTAGCAGCGTTAGATCACCAAGGCCGTCAGAAATAACGGTAAGAACATAGTTAACTAGTTTCTTACCAGGCAAGAGTTGTAAATCGGGTCGCAAACTAGTCGCACGTAACACTCGCGCGTATTTTCGTTGACACCAAGCATTGTTCATCACTATATTGTCTCGTACCGATGCCTCTAGTAACCATGGTGGTTGTCCTGCATACCATTTACTGCAATGTCTACATAAGAATGTCTAACAATTAATTTAATATATATACATACCAGTAACAGTTGTAGGCTTATCTATGTAAGTATATAGAGAACAGATAAGATTTTTAATTTGAAATGGATAAACTAAAATAAATTTATAAACTTTGAACATTGTTTCAAATTAAAGGCAGAAATGCATTTTCATAAAAGTTAGTGATAGATCCCTATTCGTTCGTGTTTCGGTTAAAGGGCGAGACAAATGTCCTGTGATTTATTTATTTATATGTCTATCGAAATGGCCTGGCAGGCAGCTTGTTTGCTGTTCCAGTTACATACAAAATATATCCCTAACACTATATACATAACTAAAATACACATGACAAACCAGGTCTTATCTGTAGTCTGAAATAAATGTAGAAATTTCTTGCAGATAACCTTTCTAATCCGTTCTCATTTTCTGGGGTCTATTGGTTTTTAAAACAGCTTGTCTTCGACCTCATTGTTGTATGTAGTTTCGGTATTAACCCATACCTAATTATTATGAGAACGACATGCCCACTCATTCCTATAATATTAGGTATATAAATATATATAACACGAATAAGTGAATATATAGATATAGATACCTACTATTGTTATGCAAATATGATAATCAAATATAACTTACCCATTGTAATTAACTTCGCCTCGCTCTAAATACATTTCGCCGAGTATTGCAGATAACAACGACGTTTTACCGGATCCAGTTGAACCAACCACCATTATTAGTTTTCCTGATTAATAAAATATATTATTAAAAATGATAATTGATACACAGTATATAATAGTTTGTATACTTCAGACAGGCAATAAATATAAATTGAATTGAAAATGTCGTACCTATGTACCCATTAATATTTCTGACACGTTAAACTGTTATATTTCGTAGCTTTATTCTTCAGATATTAATTTTACGGTTTATCATGTACAATATAGGTATATGTATAACAATAAAGATGTATAAACAAATGAAACGACTAATATAATAAGACCTACCTTAACTTGATCATACTAATAGCTTGAGTTCGAATCAGTACCACAAAACAAAAGTACTGAGTCAATTTATGGAAAAGCATTGAATTTAAATTTATGTGAACATCATAAGTGTTGGGTTCACTGCAATATCGCCAGTTGTTCAGTATTTTCAAGCATCTAATGAGATAACCAATTTATGAAAAACTTATAAAAAATCCTCGAATTTTTCTTATATTTCAAGGGTTTCTCAAATTACTAACCTGTTGGAATATCTAAATCATCAATTTCTAATAATGTGCCATTTTTCATTCCCCAAGAAAATACTGCATTTTGAAAACTAACTACAAATTTATTTTCTTGAGCTAGTTTTGTATTTTCATCATCTGAAAATTGGTCATCATCTCCTATTTCTTCTTTAGTAGCGACATTATCTATGGGAAGCGTGTCGTCAGTAGAACAATTAATAAAAGCATTGTTCAAGATGTCTGTTGGTTTCATCAATTCTGTATCGTTAACTTCTTTAATATTATTAGATTCCGGAAGATCTAAAAAATCTCTGATTCTTCTTGTACTAACCTGAAGAGATTTTATTCTTCATTTATTGGTAGCAATACGTCAAAAAATATAATTAAGAGTGTAATATAATACTTGTTTTTAACTTACCATAGCTTGAATGACCATTAGAACGGTCACTGGTAAAATAAGTAATGGTACTGATAATTGGTTAAATAAAGCCAACCCGGCAAAAACATTATATGCAGTTAAAGTATTACTATTTTCCATGAAATAATATGCTATGAATGTAATCATTGTCACCAAAATTGTTGATACTTGAGTAGTAAATGCTGGAAATAATAATAATAATAATATTTAAAATATTGTATATTTTGATTAGCTTAGGTCCTGCGATAGCATACAAATTCAGAAGGTCATACATACTTAAGAAACTCCAATATATAGAGTCTTTATTTAACAGCCTTAGCTCCACTTCTCTTAAATGCAATATTTTTTCATTAAACAGATCTTCCCATACATAAAGTTTTATGACGTTAATACCTTTTAGTATTTCAGTCATTTTGGATATTCTGTGGTCTGTGCATTTTGCTATATCTTTAGAATTATCAGACAACTTTTTGCCAATGAAGAATTGTAGTGGGGTGATAAACATAACACTGACTGCGGTGCCTATTATAGCACTTATACCTAATTTTGTATACAATAAGTACAGAATTACTGTTACCTGAAATATTAGATTAGTATTTATTATTAGATATCAATATTTCAAATTTACTTTTTTATATACTTATTCTATTCTACCTTTAATGGTATAGCCCATAAATAATGACAAATCCAAACACATGACATTACATTGTAAGTGTCTTGTGAAATGAGATTAGTAAGGAGACCAGTCGGAGTTGTGGCCGCAACATTCGGCACATGCAGCAATGGGGATTCTTCATTTTCTTCTGGACTAGCCGAGGACCATGGCGCCAGTCGCATGCATTTATCGTATAACATACTCTGAAAATAAAAAATAGATGTAGAACTTTGAACAATTCAATTATTAACTTTCTAAATAGGATAGATCGAATCTGTGTGGCACACTGTAAAAATAGTAGATTGTTCTGAGGGCAGACTTATTCAGAATATATAATAGGATATATAAGTAAATATATATATGTTCATAATTCAGGTCAAAATAATAATACTGAAAAAGACGTACCTGTAAACTTATTTTCAGTCTTGTGCCCTCTACAGTTACTAAATGAGTAGAATTTTGAGATAGCAACGCTTGTATTATCAGTGCTATTGTTACTATAAATAACATAATATATCCATTGTAGAAATATTCCTGTATGGTAACTTGTGATTTCTGATCGTAACTGTCAAGAGGTTCCTCGATAAATCTTATAATAACTGCTAAACCTAATGCCGGTACCACACTTATTAAGTCACCTAATAATTTCAAGATACCCGCAATATAAAAATTTGGCCACACTGTGTAAAAGTAGCAATGCCATATATTAGGGGTTCCTTCGTCCACTTTTTTATTCTAAAATGTAAACAATTAAAGAGTTTATTTGGAGCAACTAAATTATTTAATATGATATTGTTTTTATGTAAATTTACGTAACAATAGTTTTTACCTTTAAGTCATTATAAATCCTTTTAAATTTTTCATAATACATATTTGATTTTTCATCTTGTGGTAAATCACCAAGTCCTTCTTGGTCCAGAGGTGAAAGGTATCCTCTATAAAGCAGTGGGTTTAGCCATAAGAATGCTATCTTTGAATAAAAGTATGTATCATTGTATTTGTATGGTATATTTTGATTAATGTCACCAGTAGTATGCTTTTGTTGATTTCTGTGTCGTCTTGCAACCTATAAAACATCCACATAATTATTATGCCATATAATATTATTCTATATTGTAGATGGATATTTTGTTACTGTAAGTTAGCGATTACACTAATAAAAACAAAATGGTTATACCCAAATGATGTGTAACTAATGTCAGTAATTCGTTTTATATTATATAAACTTTTACAACAAACTGCCAGAGTCTGTTCTAAATCTGCCTGAAATAAGATTCAAATGTCGTAATAAAACACATTCCTTGCAGAAAAGCTTACTACAACATTTTGAGGTTAGGAATGATAATAACGTTTTAGTAAAAAAAGTTACTTATACATACTGATAATATTAATTGTTCGTTAATAAGGAGGAGGCCTTATTGACGAATACATTGTATAATGTATATATTAGTAATAGTTATAATAATAATTAGCCGTGAAGTGGTCGAGTGCCATGAGTCAGTGATATCATCATTAAATGTCTAGACAGGTGTTGACGTGGCGGGACACGTCATTGAGGTCCCTAAAATATGGTTTAGCGCAGAGATGGTTGGCTTGCCCGTTAAAGTCGTGAACGGGTGCTGTTTTTTAGGGACTGGTCTGCTCTGATGACTATGACTGACCCATTTTGTTAGTCAAATAAATATTATATCTACGTATTTGCCTTTGGCAATTTGTATTCATGCAAAATCTCTTTAATAGCAAACGCAAATTTTTTGCTGGTTCTTTTTATAATTAATCAAAGTCTGCTTTTGAGCGGTAGAACAAAAATATATGATTACTCAAAAGTGCTTATATTAAATTTTGTTTGCATAACTATTGCTTCTATTTCTATTCATCAAACTATTCCTTCAGGTTCACGGTTACGTATATTTTTTGTGATACTTCCTATTTTATATATATTCCTACTTCTGTATTAAATATTTAATTTATAAGACATTGACACTGACACCATTTTTATAAATACCTACTTAATTATTAATATCTAACATATCTACAGTATTTTAAAAATGCCTTAAGAATTATTTTTAAATAATGCCTCATGTAGTATTATCATAACTTAAAAAATATACATTATATAGATAGATACTTTAGTCTTTTTAGTCAGGTACATACAATACAATAATATAGATATAATGACCTACACCTAAATTTCCTTATCTATTACCTACTAACAAATCTAATTTTGGTAGATATGTACGTATTTAATATTATTATGCAAATAGGAACTTAATATATCTATTATGGATAATTTAACATTGACAACTTGATAAAATTTGTGTTACTTTAATTTTTGACAGATTCTCAGGTGATAGAAACATATAATTATTTTTTCAACATCGGAGTGTTGGTTCTGAAGCTCGTGTTCCTCCATGCGATATCGGCTGTGTTTCTTTATAATATCAATGTAGATAACTTGACTATAATCCTTCTTCGTTTTATTGTAAAATGTCCTATTTTAATATCCCATAGTTCACTTAGCAGACGGCCGCCCGCGCCGTCGCGGCGGGGCCCTCTCCAATCTGGCGCCACTGTTCTAATACACCTTATGTGTTAGAACTTTATATTATATATATAGAACTGGTTGCTTCGATCTTTTGATTGTATAAAATATCTTCTTTATTAATCTTTACATATAACAAAACGGTGGCCAGGCGAAAATTGTCTTTTTTTGTGATAAATTTTCACGTAAAAAAGACCTAAAATCAGGCAGAACATATTGTCAAATAGGGAACGGAGATAATTAACTCAAAGGGATAAAATAAATATTTACAGTAAGCTATATATGTATTACCTACTTATTGTATTCATTTAGTTGATTTTATCAGCAATATATATACCCCTCCGATCGATCCCCCGTCCGATTCAAACGGGGATCGATATTACGACGGCCTGAGCCGAGTTCGAATCCCTAGTGGTGCCCTCGAACTAAAGTCGTATCCGTCAGGCAGGAATTGGCCTTCAGCCGCTCCATAAGTCCTTCCGCGGGTTTGGAGTGCCATTTGCACTCGCCCCCTAATGTCAGGTGAAGCTGTAAAGGCCAGCTGCGGCCAACAGCATTAGAGTAGTCCGAAAAAAAAAATATGTTTATAATTATAAAAACGTAGCAAAAAGCACAACTAGTTGAACTAAATGATATATTATTATCTATATATAAATTAGTTATTATTTATATTAGTAATGTATTAAGTATACGATGCAGAAAACCAGTTATCATTTTTGCACGTTATATGAAAAAGTTTAACCGATTTGAATGCGGTTATCACTTATTAGTAATGTCAGCACCAACGTTCCAGAACATAACATATAGGTAAGGATCTATAGTCTTTATATCACTTTCAGAACAGTTATTTGGTTAGTTTCATATATGCAGGAGAGTATATATATATTAAGCATATCATTTTCCTTTTTTATTTATCTGAAATGACGTATGTTGTATAATTTGATAAGTATTGTAGAGTACGAATTTACTCGTACTTCTAAATGCATCGAGTTAGCCGATAATCAGCTTAGCATCGTCATCAGAGTCTGAGTCATTTGTTCTTTGTTTATATCCATAGCCATTGCAAGTGTACAAGGTAAATTCAATATCTATATAATTGGGTTTAGATTAACATTTATAGTTCTTTATAAGATCCAATTTGCGGGTAATATTTTAATTGCATTAACTAAGGTTATTTACGATTTTCATTCCAATATAAAGGACCGTCATAGGACAGAAATTATGAATAATTTTTAGTAATAGGGGAGATGAGTCAAAAAGGAATATCACTGGATTCATACAGACGTTGATAAATAATAGGTGCATACATACACGGCCCATTATGAGTTTAGTTTATTTTCGTTTCAGAAGATTAATTATTTCGATTCAAGATAAAATTTATGACAAAAAGTAGTTAGAGCAATGTAGAAGCAAATATACATTAATTTGTATGTATTAGGTATTATCAATAAATATTCATTTGTAATATCAAGAGTAGTTTAGTGGTGACAACATTACTTCTCTTGTTAAGACTTTTGTTTCTTCGTATATCTTGCTTATGATAAAAGGTCACTTAACAAGTTGTCTGTTACTCGTACTGGCCCTACTTTTAGACATGTTCAATATAATGATTGTTGAGGGTAGAAGAATAATATATTTTCTAATATTATCATGAGTATTATTATCATCATAACCAAAATACACATTGTTACTACATCAATTACAGAACAATTATTACAATATCTATCTATTCAAGAAATGGAGAAACTTTCTCTCAACATAATTTCATCCATCCGTTCATTCATTCCATGAACATTTACATATACTCGTAGGTATGTAAAATTATGAAAAAAATAATTTGACTTGTGTAGTAATTACATACGACTTTGAAAGCGTAACAAATACTCTTTGGCATTTTTAAATATTAGTATGTTATGTTGTTATTGCTCAGGGCCGCGTAACTTAACACAAACGTAATATAACATATAGCTATGCTTTTGTGCTATAAGCCATAGCACTACTATTTAAGCAGATAGTATATTCTCAAAACCGTATTTATCGTTTATACCTAGTTTTATATAACGATAGCGTATTACTGGGTGAAGCGCGTCGCGGTGCCGTTCATTTACATACATACTGATTCCGTTCAGCGGCGTCGTAGTTCCGTTTAATAAAAATTACTGGTATGCACGCCTCTGCGGTACATCACAATATCATATTAACATGTTATGCGTGTTTAACACTCGTCAACAAAATTGCTTGGTGATCCACTTTTGAGCACGCTTATGCTGGTAGTGGCTAGTAAATAATTTTCTTTGAAGTTTTACAGGGAGTATTATGATGCGTACAGTTGGCAATGCAATTTTGGAAAATTATAAAATATAAAGTATACTTGATATGGACTTCGTAGCAACAATAGCAATATTAGCTATTCTTGTAACTACGATATAATTATATGAAGCTGACTGTACTTCTCGATTTTAGTTACCACATCATTAACCTGTGTTATTTATGTAATTTGGTATAGTATTTATTCACCCGCAACAATACCTAAATAAAAATAAAGTTTAAATAATTACCTCATCATAAAAACAAACACTGTCAACTCCCGCTATAAATACTGCTAATATTGTAGAAATCGCCTGAATGTAAACTTCAATGTGATTTAGGCTGACTTCAGTCTTGATGTGCTTCCACAGAATGGCTGCTGAGGAAATGGCTGATAAAAGCCAATATACAGCGAGGTAAAGGATAGGTGCAGCCGAGCGACGGCTCCACAGTGTAGCGTGTAGTGCAGCAGCGGCCAGCCACGCCAGTGGGGCTATAATTGCTGATACCAGGTACACCGTCTCCGCAGGCCTCAGTGATGCTGCAGAGGCACCACAGCACCAAGTTACGCCTATGAGCACACTGGCCACTCCTCGAGCTGTTTGCCCTCTCCAATGCTTACTATGCCTGTAGAAAAAATATTAATATGTACATTGCTACATAACATACCTTTGTTTGGTTACGTTCCTATATTAATGTATATATAAATTATATATGTATATGAGTATGGGAATAAACTTCCATCACTTCATTCGCGTGGAATTTGTGTTGCGTCGCGTGAACGTTGTTTTATTAAAATAAATAAAATTTCTAAAATAAAAGTACATACGAGTTACACTTTATAGCATTAGCCATTTGCGAGTGAAATTTTCTTTAAAATCAGTGCAGCCATTTCAGAAATTAGCCAGAATAAAAAGACAGTTTTTAATTAAATTTTTTGATGTGAGTAGGTATTGTATATTCCTTCGTATGCGTTTAGTGATAAGCTATTAATTTGAAAATACAAACAGACAGCTCAATTTGTTTTGTTTGTATATATATATAAATTGAAATTTTTTATGACTCTACCGCCAATTATTATATTTGGAGTGTATATAAAAATTGTATAACTAACTGCTTGTGTTTTGTCTTGGTTCTATACCTACCTAATAATTGTAACTTATAACAATGATTAAATGAGGTTTAAGATCAACTATAGGTACTATTATCAAATTAACAAATACATACAAAGAAATAATATATAAGGTAAAAAAGGACCAGAAATTCCTTCTGTATTTCCTTTCCAGGGAACCCTAAATCTGATTTAGATATGGTTGAATGCGTGTTCGTACCAATGCGGATGTACCGGCGCACAGAAGCAAATGAGCGCAGTGGATATGGAGGCGCAATACAGGTGCAGCGAATGAAGTGCAGCCGCCAGCGCGCGGACCTCGCACACGCCCTGGCCGCGCTCGCACACCGCATCCATGCTGAACGCAACATCATGGATCACAGAGATTGAATTTATACTTATAAAGAATAGATAAACATTCAACAGAAGGTTCTATTCACCTTTTCTTTTTTGAAGTAGGTTAAAAATAATTTCCCAAAACGACATCGTCAACTATTGTGTATTTACGCGTTAACGAGATACATTTATTTATCGGCTTAGAAAGGAACTTAAGTCCACCTTCAAAATTATTTTAACTTTTTATTTTTATATAGAGAAAAATATATGTACATATTGAGTACTAGCTGTACCCGCGACTTCGTCCGCGTGGTATATAACTTTATTTTTCCAAAATAAAAGTAGGCTAAGTTACTCCTTAGTACATCAGCTACCTGCCAAAAAAGTCCCGTCAAAATCTGTCCAGCCATTTCAGAGATTAGCCGGAACAAACAGACTGATAGACAGACAAAACTTGTGAAAAAAAATTTTGTGTATGTACTGTATTTATATTCATATGCATGTAGTAAAAAAAACTGTTATTTCAATATTACAAACAGACACTCAAATTTTATTTATATGTATACATTAAAATAAGCTATAATAAAATTGCTTGCACATAAATGTTTTATTACATAAAATTTTACGTCTACATCGTACCTACACATTAACATTACACATATATTTTGAAGTTTCTAAATATTTATTGACAAAAAAACCCAATGTTAACCCAATATTAATATGTAATATTATGTTCTCTGTGGTATTAATAAGAGTTTTGGAATTCAAAATTCTAAATACATATATACCCTTTAACATTAATGAAATCTAAATATTAAAGTTAGTACTGGTTTTGCAGAGTACTGGATTCTTTAGTACCTAGTTGATGCTTGTCATCCACTGCTGCATGTTATTGTGTACTACCTATCTGAATATTTTGTTTGTAACTAGGCAACTTCATGTAACATAGTCAGTGTCTAGTGAGACGAGATATATTTTGATTTTACACACGTACCTAGAAATTATATTCGATGCAATATATTAAAAGTACGTCGGAAATTACGATTTACCCACTTGTAGATTTAACAATCTTTACTTACCTGTTAATAAGAGGATAAGTATTTCAGATAAATAAATATTTTATTTATATATATATATATATAAAGGATATTTTATTTACGGTGTCAATTCATGCCACAATTCACAACATAGCACACTTTACAATTACTCAGCACTAACTGCAGTGTTTGCTATTTCACCGGGCGATGTCGGTTAACAGTTCATGCACATCACGAGCGGGATGTTAGGATGATTGTTTTGATTTTACGAGATTATTGTCGAGTCGAACTTCATGTCTCAAGTCCTTTTAGACGCGCGTGAGGCCGCTCTGCAACCGCACTGGAGACTAAACTGAAGTTGGACTGTTGGACTGGATCACGACATGCTGTACCGTACGATTAGGAATCCACCGGAGCGCAGCGCATCCTAACGTGACCATTATTTTCTTACCAAAGTGGGATTATATGAGGATAACAAATAATAAATCAATGAATACATGCAATACATCAATGAAATGAATTTACTTTAATATGTAGGAAGTGTCCTGGTCTAGAGGTCTGGTAGAGGTCCGCTACCCTAAATTACAACAAAAAATATTGTAAGTTCAAATTTAACCAACAATAATTACTTTGTCTACTCCCGTGAAAGAAACACCGATATCAAAATGATAACTAATCCGAGATACGGTTGTAGGCCAGCCCCAAGTCCCGTTTATTATATAGATTCAATACATATAATAAACAATATATCCTGCAAAATTTCATTGTTAACTGTTAACGTTCACCATGACGTAGATTGTGAATAAGCCTTCAGCTATACTATCTGGTATAACATTTTTAGTATGTTTTTCTATTCTTTTTCTTAGTCCCCTAGCATTCCATTCATATATTTTTATATATCACAGACATTTTATGAAGTTTGTTTGCGAAATAGGATCTTTTACCTCTAACTGGGGACCGCAGGATAGACAGTCTGAGAGCGTGACTATCCCGTCAAAGCGGAACGAATGGTCACTTTACGCATTCATATATCGCCGGCGACTCGCGTACTATGTCGGAGTCGACGCACTGTCGCCCCGTAGTCGTGTACGTATGTGAAATGGAAGAGCGGTGACCTGCGCCTGCCGCATTTCAATTTAGTTCATTGAAAGTATTGAAACAGGTTGTTTTTACTAGCACCTACTAGTACACTTTCAAATGTAATTTCACAGTGTAGCGGGAAACAGGAGAAACGAGACGCCGCATAGGCTCTTTAAGGAAACATTTACCTGTTTACGTTTATAAAAACATGATAACAACGTTCTGCGTTGAATGTGTAAGTCTATACGTGAATAGATTAACACGATTTGGAGATTCCAAACAGCGGGTTTAAGTTGTATTAAACCCGCTATTAAGTTGTAACAAATTTTGCTATTGGATGTAAACCTCTGTTTACCGTGGGACAAGATGGCGCTGGGTTAAATGTCTAGGTTTTTTAATTATTTACTATTATTTTGACGCGTGTGTAGACCCAAACTCATACAGCAAGGGCGAGTTAGAGGTAGACGCAGGAGAGAGAAATGGGGGGAGCACAACGATTAATAAGAATAATAATTAATAATCGTAATAAATATATATTATTTGTGTACGTACTTATCCATATTTTTTTTTAATTTGTAACAACACCTCATTAAACTTTCTCTAACATGTTATTTATTTAATAATTTACATAACAAATATATTTGTAATTGTTAGGTTATATGAGTGTACAGTAAAATCACAAAAATACTGCTAAGTTAAAATTAATATTGCATGTATCAATACGAATCAAAATACTGCAGACACTGCAGTGTAAGATAAGTGGAAGAGTTGTCTTGACAACAACCATTTTCCATATATTCTATTAAATATATATTTGTTTCTTTATTAGAAGTTTATATCCCAACCAGAATTTTCATCGGGCGGTAGTTTGTCTTTAGGGTATTTTTCGAAGTTCTTTAAATCCGAGTTACTGGCTACAGGTTGGATCAATGCTGGCTTTAGCTTCATCTGTCGGAGAGCTTCCCAATCAAACCCAAGGAACCACCTGAAAGAAAATATAGTAGGTAATAAAATATCATTATTTCATAGCATAGGTAGTTACAAAAAAATCTGATATACTACAACGCTAATAATAAATAAATTGAGTACAATAATATCTTATTATATGCATAATCACAAATTTTAGCACAAAAGTGTCTACCGTGCAATGTTCATTACCTATATGTACCTATAGTTGGTAGGTACTGAATACGCTATTGTACTATATATTTGTAGTGTTATTTTATTCAAGTAGTTTACAATTTGTTTGTTTCCAACATACATTGTAAAAAAATATCTACGTACTTGTGACTTTTTATATCAGCTATACCATTCTTCAGATAACCAAGTCGTTCGGCAGGCACAGGGCGACACAGTTTACGTATAAGCTGTTTGGCTGAGTTAGGGATGCGTGGGTGAAATGCCACAGCATCTATTCCTCTCAATATAAGATTGTACGTCTTCATGTGGTCACCGCCTGGTGCCCGGAACGGTGGTCTACCCACTAACAATTCGTGAACTAAAACACCCAATGCCCAGCAGTCCACTGCGCGGTCATGGCCCTAGATTAATAAAAAGATTTTATAAACCATAAACGTACCTTTCTGCCTTTGCGGAAAGTAACACAAATGAATAACGTTGAAGCGTTAACACAAACATTGTTGTTCATACATTTCCTGTTTTGTGAATGTCAAGTTTTCTCGTTGAACATTGAAACCAATTTCGATAGATAGAGAATCAAACTAGCCCACCTCTACGTCGTCATCATGTGATGTTCGATGATACATCACATGCGCTACCATTCCGGAAGCACTACATTGTCACGTCTCTGTAAATACCTGCCCTGTAATTACACAGGTCACTACCTCACAGGTCTCAACTGAAAAACACTTGTATCTTATAAAGCAAGCTGACGTCTACAATAGGTGAGACAGAGTATAATAGAAAAGACAACTTTCTACAAAGTCCTCCTCGATTAATATTCTAATGTATATAAAATTGAAATCTAAAAAGAAATATATTAGGTAGGTATACCTGGTTGTAACAATTACCTTATTTAATACTATTTCTGGTGCAACATATTCAGGCGTACCAGCAAAAGTCCACGTTTTATTATTTGATGTTACTTGTTTAGCAAATCCAAAATCGACCTACAACAAGGGTGAAGTGACGTAATTATTTTTTTAAATAATGTTAATGATGATATTGTATTATTATATGAAAGTTGATAACATTGAAATGATTTGAATCAACATAATGATACAAATATTTACGATAAACTGAATCATATAGTGATAACACACAAGAAATAAAACATTCCGTGAAAATAAAACTTTATGACGATATATAAAAGTAATATACGTGTATAATAACAACTTATATTTATTTATTTATTTATATACTCTTTTTTGCACCAGGAAAATTACAGTAATAGAGTAATTAAAATTAAAGGGTACAAAAGGCGGCCTTATCGCCTATGCAATCTCTTCCAGGCAACCTTTGGGTAGAGGAGAAAAAACAAAAGGTGGGTGGTGGCACTAGAATAGAAGAGAAAAAAAAAACATAATAATAATAATGAATAATATAACATATTACATATATAAACAGTATACACCAATATAAATATTATATATATATACATACATAACAACATGCAATAAATAGATACAACATAACACAAAATAATGCAAGCAGCAAGTAACTGTGATACACGCATAGGAATAATACCTACTAGTAATATAACAAGGGTGACGACAGAAAAGAAACATTATAAGGAAAGATAATGTGATTTGACCGAGTTCTTAAAACTGGGTAGCGATCGTGAGCTACGTATGGAGGAAGGTAATGAGTTCCATAGTCGAACGGCATGTACAGAAAAGGATTTGGTGTAGAATGAAGATGTGTGGGAAGGGATTTTAAGACGGAGGTTTGTTGCACTGCGTAAGCCATGATTTTGTGCCTCACCGAGAAATAAGTAAGGTAGTTAGGAGTAACAGGATTAAAGAGAACGGAGTAAAGAAGAGAAAGAATATGCCAGTCACGGCGAAGGCGTATAGGAAGCCACTTAAGCTGTACACGATAATGTGAGTCATATTTGCGAAGTCCAAATATAAACCTGATACAAATATTTTGAAGACGCTCAAGTTTGTTTAATTGGTCTTCGGTGAGGTCCTATATACCCTACTTCTTCCTATCCTTGATTACGCCGACACCTGCTACCTAAGCAGGTGTCGGCGTAATAGAAGTAGGGTAGGGTTGTGCAAGCGAAACTTTGGTATCGACTGGCAAGAAATTGCCTAGTCTCCTGAGTGAGCCTGCGGCAGGGAAAATCTTACGACTCACTTCGGCGATCTGAACTGTCCAAGACAGCGTCCTCTCGAAGTGGATGCCCAGGTTCTTGACGCTATCACTGTACTCAATGCATACTCCATCCAACACTATTCGAGGAAGAGTGCTCCAATTAATTTTTGCTATATACCGAGGGCTACCAATAACGATGGTCTGAGTTTTTGAGGCATTCAATGTTAGTCCAAAATTTTTACACCAACTAGATATAAGATCTAGATCTGCAGTAATTGTAAGGATGGCAGTGTCAATATTATGTAATGGGGCTTGCGAATAGATTGGAGCATAAAGGTGGTAGCAGGAATGAAGCTGCATAGTAATAGAATTAATAAAAAGCGCAAAAAGAAGCGGAGATAAGCGGAAGCGGATATATTTATGTTTTTATTTTAACTAGACACTTATATCCACTCGTGGAGAGCTCAAGGACCACCGATATGAAGTTAAATATAGGTAGATGGTATCATGGTTACACCTATTTACATATTTACCAATTTGATGTATCCATTTTTGTCCATCATTAAATTCTCTGGCTTAAGATCTCGGTATATGATATCTTTAGAATGCAAGTAATGAAAGGCCTCCACGACACAGGCCATCATGAACCGCGCTACGTTTTCTGGGAAGTACCCCCGTTTTTGAAGAATCGTCCACACGTCACCGCCCAATACGGGCTCCATCAAGAAGTAGATGTATTTAGTATCCTTGAACGTTCGGTACAGTCTGAAATATGATTTATTTATATTATTATTTCGTCAAATAAATGACAAATGACAGTAGTAAAATCATGTACTATGCACTTGAAATATTTACTTGCAAATGAAAGGGCTGTTGCATGACATCATGATATGTTTCTCATTGTAAGCGTTTTCTTGTTGATGCAATTGAACCATATCGATTTTCTTAAGGCATTTGAGCGCAAAAGTGGTCGATGGCTGAGGTTTATATTGGACCAACTCCACACGACCGAATCCACCAACACCTAATGTTCCCAAAATTTCCAGGTCATTCAACTCAACGTTTTGGTGTTCTGTATAAGAAATTTATTACACTAATTAAAAATGGATTGGATATTTCTTGATTATGGTATTAAAAAAATTAGTCATATTGTTGGTCATGGGATACGACAAGGGTTTTATTTAGAGGAAGTTTTAGAACTCTACTAATAATGTAATGTGCTATATTTTCCTAGTCGGTTCTTATACAGTGGTAATACATGGTCACGGAGTTGAGATTTACTTAACTTAGATACTTTAATTTATATCAATAATATAAGATGTTACTTGCTACTTCGTATTATTTATTGAGATACAAAATAACCTCAGGATACAATTTATTTTCACATTAAATTTTAATAAGACCTATTCAGTCTTTTAGTCGGGAAAATATAGTAATTGTAGATTACTTTGTCATTTATGATATTTGTACGGATAATAGTTATAGAATATTACAAATTGACACTCAAGTAGCTACGGATTCAATCAAATTATGTTTACCTCTACCTGTATTAATTTGAGGCTGTACACCGCTACCATCCGGTTCTTTTGTAATTGATTTATTTTTAAGTTTATCTAAACCACCCAACAGCTCATTGAATTGTCTAAAAAATAAATTTAATTGCACTTTAGTAACAAGACAATGTTAAACTGATCTGACTCTAATTAAACTTTAATATTACTCTGTGAACTTTAATATAAATCGTAGACTTTATATTCAGTTCAGCGCTTCTGTCTCGAATCTGTAGAGATTTCGGTATAGATATACAGAATACAGTACGTTCTGTACAGAAAATAAAAAAAGCGCCAACCCGATCTGGAATGCGGCTAACTGTCACTTCGAAAACTACTTTAGAAAAAAAGAAGTAACACTTGAGTATAAGATAATGATTAAAATTATACATACAATCGATCGAGTGTTAGACATTCAACGCCTGGAGGCAATGCAGTTACAGTAGCCAGACGTCGGTCTTGATGCAGCAACGCCTGTTCGCCGAAATAGTCACCTCGGAAGAGGGTCCCGACACGTTTTTCACTACCGTCATTTTCACGCTTTGTTACAGTTACGATGCCACCGCGGATTATGTAAAACTTGTCACCATAGTCTCCTTGTCTCACTACTACTGTGCCCGCCGAAAAGAATTCCTATTTAAAAATGGCGGAAAACAAACACTAAATATAAAAATTGGAGTACAAATATTAGTAATTAATTATAAACAAAAAGGTACTGTTTATATTATTTTAGCATCTGTGATACATAGTTGTAACAAATGAAATACTATCAGCCTTCTCTCAATCTCTAGCAGGTAGGTAATTATAAGTGCAAGTAACAATAAAAATAGCTAATGAACATTTAACTTAATAAGCAAGTAATTAAGTATACCTATAAGTACAATATCGTGCCATGACATACCCGTTTTAGACACTCCGAAATTTTTACAAGCTCTTCATTTTGGATACCTTGTAGGAACGGTACGGATGACAGAAAACGGATGTTGTCATCCTGTTCTTGTCGTCCACTGCGGACCATAATCTTTTGAAATATTCGTCGTTCTAAAGTCCATACTTGCGCTTGAGTAATACCTATTAAAACCGAAAAGAAATAAACTATATAATATTCACTATAATTATACATACAACTATAATACAAATACTATTTGAGGTAGCGCCTCGATAAGTGTAAAGTAGGAAACAGTACATTAGTGCATTGTTTGTCTAATAATAGAAGCAAGTTACGATGTTTAGACGATACTGAATTGTATTATTAGTGTAAAAACGCCCAGATTCATTAACGTAGCGTAGTTTTAATAAACTACTCAGGGTTAAAGCCGCCATGCCTCTACTTAAATAGTCTCAATAACTATTCGCGTATAAGGTTTCAAATTTAGTAATATATTATTCTTAGTCACTATATACCTATCTAGTTATTGTGTTTATATTGTGTCAGTTGTTACATTGTTGTGTTTATTGTATGTGTTATGGTGTAATGTTAAAATTTTCTAAATACTTAACTAAAATTCGGTTTCCTTACTATGTAATAATAATATATACTATAACCCTTTAAATAAGTATATAGGCGGTTTGTAAAATTAGTAATATTGCAGCTAAAACAGGCGTGACAGGCGGTACCTAAGCAATTCTAAATTAATGGTATGGTAAGGGGGTTCACTACTAAAATATGACTGCAGTTCTCTTAACATTATTATTAAATAGAACCAAATATCAATAAATTAACACAATATATTAATGCGTAGGTATGCTACTTACATCGAATTGAAGCGAAGCGTTTAGCTCTGTATAATATGGCTAGTTCACCGAACGCCACACCTGCTTCAAATGTTTTCACAACTTGTCCGGTTTTTAATACTTCGAATTGCCCATTAGCCGACACAAACAGATGAGTTCCACTCTCCCCTTCGCGAATTATTAAATTACCACCAGAGAATTCCTGTGGACTCATTGCTTCTGTTACCATATTAAGACGTACATCGTCCATTAAATTTTTCAAAAAGTCATTTTCCATTATTGCTTTTTTGATCAACTCGACTGACCTATAAAAAAATCGAGCGGCGCAATTAGGCTTTGATACCAGGTATACAAATATTTACATAGAGGATCTATATATTGAGTATATACATAGGTGTTGAAGGATTTTATACATAGGTATTTTACTCCCTTTGACAAATGCTTTCAACCTTTAAACTCACCGTTCGTCTTTATCATATTTATCATACTGCAGATCAGAAATGTCAACGTGCATAGGGGGCGGAATTGCCTCGCGTTTCTGTCGGTGCTGCATATCGGGGTTTTCATGTACTATTTGCGCTATAGTCTTTCGAGCCATGTTGTGGCTACTACGATTACTGTGTATTTCATTTTCCGAATCTAAACTTTGATTTGATTGTTTACTTAGAAGACTTGGCTTTTTACTCGATTTTCTACTAACATCATTGTGTGGATTTTCTTTTTGTGGTTCATGGTTCCGACTTCTGGTCTGTAAGTTAACGTTATTACAACTAATTAGTTTTTATTTACTGTAATCACAATAAATTACAGCTTTGTATGTTAGTGAAAAAATCTTTCGGCTAATATTATATTAGTACCTATAAAATACTGACCTACTACTAACTGACTACGAAAATTACTAACTAAATGACTGACTACCTACTACAAGTTTTCACCGTGATTGAAATTACGATAAAAAGATGTAGAGATACCATAACATTCATTTGGTCGGCGTTCCAAACATTTATTTTATTATTTTTGGTTTCAAATTGCAACGACTAAAATGTTTATCAAAATAGGTAATAACACAACATATCTATGTATTTCGATTTAGTATCCAATTCTTAAAACGATTTTCTGTACAAACATATGTATATCTTAAGAAACCAATTGCTATCATTATGTTACATTTTGATTTTAGTAGGTTAGGTACAAGAGTAAATTTTCTCAGGTAAAATATAAGGTTCTAGGGCGCTACGGTACGGATTTTAGTAAATAAAAATTTGTTGTTTGTTGTAACAGTACTGTGACGTAGATGTTTAAAAATATCTACACTAAAATGTACAAAACACATTGTAATTGGGGGGTGGGGTAATTTAGAGTAATCGTGTGATCTGCATGGTAATTCGTTGCAAAGATAATAAGATGTAGGTATACTTTTACAATGATATATACCTAAGTAGATATTATCTTTGTCATTCAGTCATCTTTAGAAAATGAATAGATTTAATTATTTTCTTTATACTTTAGTTAAAAAAGGGAAGGTATCCTATTTCGTAAAATATGTTTATAGTACGCATAAATTTCATATAATATTCATAGATCAATGTCCATGTTTAACTAATGATACGTCAATGAATACCTTATCAGTGCTGTGATCTATTAGGCAGTGATTTATAACAATAGGTACTAATATGATAAGACTCCACAGTTGTTTTTATCATAATTAAAATATTTTAGACTTAATGAATTTCCAGTTTCCTAATATTAGTGTAAATAATAAAACATGTATGAGAATACTGCACAAATAATCATCCAAATCGGTTTAGTATTGGTTAAGCTACGGGATAACTCTTCTAGAGTTAGTTACAACAATCCCGGTCACCCTAAAAAATCATCGTGGTTAATTCCTAATATATTCACCACTATGGGCTAATTAACTTCATGTTTATATTATCATCTTCTACTAATAACCCGCTATCTTATACCGGTAGCGCAACATTCCAATATTATCCATAAATAAAGTCAAGTTAACTCAAATTCAAATTAAAAAATCATTTATTCATGTAGGACTTTTAGCCGCTTGTGAACGTCAAGTTTTACATTATATTTTTTTTTCCTACCGTCCAGTTCGGTATATATAGGTAGATCCAATTGAGAAGAACTGGCAAGAAACTCAATTGAATTACTTTTTTTTAAAAGCCAGTTTATTTACAATGTATAGGTATTTTGGACTTTTTCTAAACGATACTTGGGGACAGCAAGTTTATCTTTAAATCTAGTATTAATATTATGAATATTGCTGTTTTTTGGCAATAAGTCAAGATTTTTATGAACATATAGGATATTTGAATATATAAATTGAGAAGCAACGGTGAGAATATGGGCCTCTATGAATTTTTAGACAAGGAACATCTCTATTATCTGGAACTGAAGTAACCGGCTAAGTTAGTTACCTATACCACTGATATGATAATATTACATAACTTTTTTTGGATAATAATGGAATGATGGTTGCCGTGTCAATTCGTTTATGTATCGTGTTTTACTGAGCTAGACTTGATAAAAATAATCATCTATTTTGGCGGCCAAGTAACTTGTTTTGTAAGACGTTTAATACGTGTACCTAATTTCAGCCCCTTATACCCTATAAGGGGATTAAATTAGGTACAGATCTTAGTTCTCCAGAATGGCAATACGCATGAGTGTTATCAATGGTATCAAATAGTAACGTACTGTCAGGAATGCTTACTATAGTGTTCACTTATTTGTTATTTATGTCTTCTTGTATGTAAGTTGTTATAGACATAATATCGGCTCGTTAGCCATAGCTCCACGTCTTTACTCCGCGGCGCTTGCGCAGGGAATCCCTTCCCTCTTGCGCACGGCGGTCCGTATACGCTCGGCTCGAGACGATAGATAATAAACTGCTAGTATTTCCACATACACTACACTTACCATTCACCATGAGGTCGCCGTGTATGTTTTCTATTTTAGGTTATAAGCAAATAACCTCTTACCTACTAACAATACTATACTCACCTATAATTACGAATTATAGCGAGGAAAATAAGTAGGTAGTACAACAATCAAATTTGCCAGTTTTAGTCATATTTGGAAAATAATATCTACATACGTGCAAAAAATATATGTTTTTTAAAATATTATAATGTTCAGCGAAAAACATAGCTTGCAGGCTAGCTTAGCTTAGCCCCACAGGACTACAGGTTAACTAAAGTAACTACGTATACCAAAAAGTAAGTTTAAAAGAAAATGTAGTCTCACTTCCTGAGTAGGTATTTGTACTTAATTGCCATATTGATATACAAGTCATGCTTGCAATTTCTTGCGCGTGAACTGGTACCAACTCGTTGAACTGACTGTATTAAATCATTGTTTTATAGTTTTCCAGGTATTGTATAAATGCCGATTGTATGTCGATAGATATAATATATATTCGTTCGCGCTATCTTGGTATTATTTCCGGGATGTATTTATGACATCATTATTAATTCATTAATGCTTCCTGTTCCCAATATCATGCTATATCTAGCTATCTATTAGGTACGTTCCGACAATGGAGATTTTAAGATTCATAGCAGAATTCACCATTCTACCCATAATAATATATTTATTTATTGCCAGAACAAAAGACACATCGACATAAATTCGAATACGTCCATTGTTTATTTAGAAGAAAAAAACTATAAAGTTATGAGCCTCTCCAACTACGTATAAATTTACCGAAACAGTACCTAGTACCTCATATTCTGAGCTAAGAGGCTGCCTCATTTGAAGCGGCAAGTGTATAGTTTATACGTACGCTACACTGCAGTCCAGGAGTTAACAAATGTTATATAATACAAACAAAAGAATATATTATATCTACATATATAAAATATAAATAATATAGGTATATGTAGATATATATGAAACCTTATCTATCCATCCTGAGGGAACTATGTATATAACGCTACAACATATATGCATAAAGAATTTACTTATTACTATTTTTTATATTATTATAAATTCTATTTACTTATTACTATACGCTACACGGGATGTCATATCCAATTTATCCAAAATAAAAAAGTCATGTAGCCTATAAATAACGAACGTTTCAAATTTTTCTAATGATACATACCTTAGACAGATAGGACATATACAATTTGTAAGAGTTTCACAGGTACAATTATCAAGGCGTCTCATCCTCGCAATTGGGTACGGGTGACGAGACACTAAAGTTGTGGAAGAATTTATTATTATAATTGAAATATTAATTAATAGAAAAAGCTACAGGAAAACGTAGTTTACAAGTTACCTACAAGGGAAAAGTTATAAACATAGGTATATATATATGTATGTACCTGAGAGATTGATTCACCCTTCTTTTTGCTTGTCTGGTAAAAAACGTAAAATATAAAACTACTTACAAAATACATTATTTAAATTATTAACCGGGTCTTAACACGAATAATTTTATGGCAAATAAAGGTATTTTGCCATAAAATTATTCGTATTAATAATTTAAATAATGTATATTAAACACGAAAGTTTAAAATTACTTACAAAATGTACCTTCACTAAGTAGGTAGTTTTTCTTATTTCATTTCTTAGTTTCACTGTGTACGTGTAAACATAATAAATACAGTTTTCTGTCTATAGCAAGTTACAATATTATTAACTGTAATAATTATCTATTTTCAAATATGAATATTAATGTCGAAAGGAGATAGATAAAGTTATATATGTTGCATCTCCTTTATCTCTAGATAAAATAGATTAAGAATAATAAAAAATAACATAATCAGTGATTAACAAATTGGAATCAATGTACTTTTAATATAATTTATTTAGTTAATGTTATACTATATGAACTGAGTGTTCCTTTGGACTAAGCAGTGCATTGTTTGTTGTGATGTTTTTATATTCAAATATCAAATAAAATGATTTCATACTTATGATTTAAAGTCCGGAGATAAAAAAGAGGTTGCAGTTGTTTTCTTTGCTTAAAAAAACGGTTTTTTTAAAGGAACTTAAACGAACTTCTTTTACTTGACACCCTACAAAAACCTTACTGATCTCATTGTGAATGTGATAACAATCCTGACTAATTGTTATTGATAATATATGCCTCCTATGTTTATTTTATGATGGATGTTATATATCTAGGTAGATATGGCTATACCAGAAATTAATTACTACTATGGTAAATGTAAATTTATTAAAATCTATTAATCTAATATACCTAGTTAAATAAACTGGACATATTCCTACATCTTTAATTCCTGTAGGAATATGTGCTCACATTATGCCATTACTCTCTATCTATTACTTCTAATATTTACAGTAATTTGTCTTTCTAACTTCCATCAAATATGAACCTAGTTTGTCAGAATAAGGTAATGAGAGGATAATAATGCACGTTTAATATTAGCTATAGTTGTGTTAATCCCGGATAAACTTCTTGATTTAATAAAATTTTTCATACTTATGTATGAAAAAACTAATTTGATTAAGAAACAAACAACCAAATGTTGTTATAAACATTCATTACCTATTTGTACACGTCATATTAGTATAATACTGAAATTTTAATTTGTACCATATCTAAGCATTATCACTGTTAACGAGATACTATACATAACGCCATATAACGTATACATAGGTAGAATTTTAAGTTAAAATTGAGTTCTAATTCTAATAAAAGTATACCTATATATACCTATAAAATTTATATCTATTCAAGAAGTCATTATGACGCTATTTTACTTACATCTGTCGATTGACCTGAGGATCTACCAGCTGGATTGGCCACTGGTTTAGTTATATTGATTCTGCCTTTCTTGGACCACCTGAATGGCGGACACAACACCATTTTAAAAAAAACTACTGTATTTGTAACCAAACACACTGTTCCATATTTTAACACAACTAAAGACAAACTCTGATTAGGTGCGCATACACACTGAGCGATTAACAATCTAACGTATTTTATCAGTAGGACCACTAAGATTACCTTACAATACCGATTTAATTATTCAATTCTATCATTACCTTGTTATTATATTTATCAAGGAACCTTGCGATCTTATCAGTATTGTAAATTGTCATCGCTAGCATTACTGCTCACAGAATTGGCAGTTGCAGCCTGACGTCGATAGCGTATCGGAACCAATGGTCGTAACGAATTATGTAGAGAAAAATTTAAAATTATATTCTTGTTCTGGTTTTGTACTGAATATAAGCAATATATTTTACCATTCTTTAATTATGTATGTACCGTCTTGTTTAGATATGATTTTTTTTAAACTAATTATAAATATGCAATAAAATACTATTATTTTTACTCTGTCGATATATTCCTAATATAATAAAAAAAGGGATGTTCATCAAAGAAAAAGCAAGTTCATACTATAATTTATTAATAACGTAAATGAGTACACAACGCCAAAGGCTTTAAATGATTCACTTCATTCATTATTCTCATTGGAAAAAAATATATATTTACAATAAAAGAGAAAAAAATCAGCTTCGCAATTTATCACAAAATTGCCACACGAAAAAGGAAAAATTCATCCATTATTAGTTTATCACAAATCGTATGAGGGAGCTCGCTGTGCACTTGGCTCGATAAATGTTCATACTAAAACCGCACTCTCCGCAACGGGATCGACGTGCAACAATAAAATGTGCGATGAATCTATATAAACTGTGCCAAACGGAAGACATTCATTATGTAACAAATCTATTGTAGGTAATATTATTTTAAAAAACATTTAGTTTTAACATTACACGTACAACATACACATACGGAAATTGAGCACGGTATTGTAATCGTATCCAAATATATGTCGGCCCGAGCCGCGAGCTGGGGCTTACGCGGCGCCCATCTGCGGCTCCGTAACGTAACGCATACTCTTGGCCGGATAACACAAACCATCGTACATCTTATTAGTATAACCGGCCAAGAAAACAGCACCTTTAGCGGAAGAAGCCTGTTATACTCGGGTGGTTATACAAAATAATCTTACTACTCTGTAACATACGCTTTTTATCCGTCCTGTACTCATCAATATTAGTATTATTGGATATTTAACATATGTGTATATAACATTGAGGTAATAATTAAAGAGCGTAGGGTCTAATAATAAAAGTCACAAAAAATGTGCTGAGTTAATCTACATAATGATGTTTATTTTTGTACCAATTTTGCATATACAAATTCATTTTAGCTCACATAAATTTCGATTGGAGTTATACTATTTCATACTAGCAAGAATAGCAAAGTCGTGGACCAAAGGAAGACTAGTGCGTGATTCTTGCAATGTTTGCATTTTTGGGACTTTTATCTCGGACTCTTCTGTGCATGGACCTAATGATGAACTGTACTATTTCCATATGCTTTGCGACGGCAGAACATCGATCGGAAGACGACCGAATGCACTTTCAAACAATTAATATCTAACATGTAATAATTGTATTTTGATATTTTATGTACACTTTAAATAAACTAATGATTATATCTACATACATAGTTAATATATAAGCATTTGTTCGTCTTCTACCGAATCGTTACCGATCGTGCCTGTGCACGTCACAAGACAATGAACAGCTCATTTACAAATCTCTATTGACGACCAGTATGCGCTACGTCTACCGATGTTCCCTCTTTTTATACAAATAACAAATCATCATTAAATTCATAGACATGCCTTTAATTATGAGGTGTCATATTATGTGTAACGTGGCACGCCTACGACTTTAATATAATATTAGACACTTGGATATACAGGCATAAATGTTATAATAACCCTGCTAATATGAGTACAACTACTACACTAACTGAACAGCGTCGACGAGTGCAATTGACGAACAAGTGATACTTATCAACTCCGGCTACGTTAACAATATAAACCCGAGGTTACAAATCATACGCACAACATGCGGCGGCGACTCCGCCGCGATAACACTATATACAGTTGGCAACGCGAGTAGGCCGCGGCCACCACTCTGCTACCTCCAGCCTATCCGGCACTAAATGTTTTATGACAGATATATCAATAGTCGTAATGATATTTTGCCTAAATGTGAACATTTAGATCGATTGCTCAGCGGTTGAAAACCCCGCTTCGTAGGGTACGCAACCATAGAATTTACTTTGTATAACCCGCCGATGCAAATGTACTAGTCCATTAATACTACGCCTTCAGCGCGAGAGGCCACTTAAACTGGGAGGATTATACAACGTAAATACTACTGTATCGTAATGAAGGTTTTTAACCCCACGCCATTCCTATGAGTCAATTTTGGTAGCGTAAGAGTCTCGAATTTTATTGCGTAGTAGGTGTAGTTATACGTCAATCAGTTCACACCGTATCAGAACGCGAGTAGGTGCGACTCGAACGATACAAAAATAGGTCGCACCCAATATTGTGAAAATTGCCAGGAGGGTAGCAGCTACTGGGTCACAGCAGACCCGCGACGCCCGGGCCGCGGCCTCACACACTCACACGCCCCTTATAACAGTAGTCATTGTTGGTTTGGTGTTGCCAGCAAATATCGATTTTCGCTAACAACACTATTGATATGACGTTTTATTATGCACAATATAACAATTCGTTTTAAATCTAATGATTAGAATCGAAGCCGTCGATCGTATAATTTGTGCACAGCATAAAGAAACGAGAATAGTATGAAAATTTAATTTAACATCTCATAAAACCGAGAAACAAATCGCGTTACAAAATACACAATATCCTTAATTTAATGATTATCATATTTATAATACATTGTTCTTGATGATTATTTTTTCAAATCTTAACGTAGCACACTAACCATTTTGTCAGATATGTCATTTAAATTCAATTTTTCCCCAAGTAACAATTTGACTTTGATCTTGAGTCTTTCAAAAAAGAATATTCCATATGATCAGATTGCTATTGTGATTTAAACAAATCGTCCTTAGAGCCATAACAGAATATAATAAAAAAGCAACAATCATTATGATCTAGAGAGACGATCAATTGAATTGTGGCGACTTTTAGACTTGGGCTATATTAAGAGTAAATTGAAACTCAATGTCGATAATCAATCAGTCCAACATTTGGTCCAAACACTATTTCCGTCCGCATCCCAAGTCTAAAACACACCCAATTTATATGACTTACGTATAACATTGGTGGTTCGAGTTGTAGAAAATTATAAAAAATTGTGACATCTATTGTCTCTAGACAAAATATATATAAAAACTACCAAATTAAAATCATTTAGAAATCACATGTACTTTTATAATGTACTTAAATACAAAACTTGCATTAAAAAAATTAAAACAGGTAATGCCTAAAAACTAAAGATATTCACTTAAAATAATGCATTCACGCATGAGTATTCAGCGGTAAAGCGCAAATTATTGTTCGCAGCTGCAACAGGACTGACTACAGTCCGATAAAATATAACTAGAACCTATGCATAATCAATATAATAAAGCCAGTGGCACTAAGAGGTGAGTGAAACGATCGTAATCTACCAAATGAATAATATGACACGAAGACCTTAACAAATAGATCCTACAGAACGAAAAGAGTATATACCTACATCAAAACAAATTCGGAAAGGCGTATGAAAATATAATTCGTAAAATTCACATATTTACGAACCAGCACCTTTAACTATCTTAGTTTGTGCGCAAAAGACTAGAACTGCAAGTTAAAAATATTCACGTCATGGGTTCGCTATCGAGCTACGTATGCTAAACTTGTGTGCCTATGAACTTGCTACCCAACTAGCACAACAGGTGAACGCCTCCATCATCTTAACTTTTTAAGTAATTAAAGCTATCATAGTAGATGTCACCGTGCCGAAACGTAGCTTTTTAATATACCAGGGGAATATTTCTGTTGATATGTTAGCATAGAACTGTTACGCGGGATCCTGGTAAATAAATTTAAAAAATACATATTTTGAATGATTACATTCAAACTGAGAATAGTACTGAAGCATAAAATCATCATTGTAATGCGATTTTTAACACTACAAATTTACAACAATATCAATAGAGCAATAGTTAACATGAAACGAATCATTTCAGATCTATATTTATATATCATATCATTGAACTATGTAAAAAACTACTCTAGATGGCAAATAGATATGTTCAGAAAATTACTTTACTATAACGAAATCACTTAAAACGAAGATATTGTTTGAATATATAAAAGACTCACAGATTTTGTAAGTTTTTCTGAATGAAAGACTATGAAATCTATGGAGAATAGATGAATGACATGCAAACGCTCTGATTACGTATGAATCGATGGGTTTTGTGCTTTGGTATAAACGTTGAGCGAATTCAATTTTTATGTTATTTTTACAATCCTAATGCAAATGTTAGATCTAAGTTACGACGACGTCTAAAGGGTTGGACCCGTACGCGTATTTGTTCCACAAATGAAAGTATACCAGATAAAAGTATTAAAATAGCGTATAAATACACACCGTACACATTCAGATCTACGGTATCGAACATAATTACAAGGAGAAATCTCAATGATATGTAAGAACTCGATGGAGTTCCCTTCTTTACTTAAACACTACATCTAAAGCGTTATATCTACGTCTCAGTAAAATATTAAACATTATATTACCTAGCGATCAATAATTCGATTTTATAGAAAACGAAAGTAAACATTTTTGATACATGTAGGTACTACAGACAAAAAGCATATTGTACATAGCGAGTACTAAAACAATTGCTAATTTAACACGAACAGGATTTGGCTTTCCACAGCTTGTGGGTATAGGCATGTTGCGAACTTTAAAGGCTATATAAGCACAACTTATTGAATTTAATCACATGACTGTAGCATATACGCAACGAACAGCACCTGACTGAACTGAACGGTCGAACGTTTCTAAAACTATGTAAAAATAGTGTTCTTTCAAAATATAGGTAGGGTCGAAGATAACTTCCCAAAAATTATCTTTGTAAAATAACAACCAAGTAAATAATGGCACCATATAAAACTGCACCACGAAGACTATTTTTGCCAAACTATATTGAATAGAATTAAACTGTATAGAAAATTTCATGTCTTTTTGTTAAGTGTCACCTGCACTAACAACAAGACTATATTACTTTTTCTAACTATGTATCCAACATGAGACGAACTAGCGTTCAACTGTAAAATTTATGACGTCCGATGTGATATTCCGATAACAACAAAGCATGAAGTACATATATCTAGCAAACACACACGTGTTCCAATATCTAAACTAAAATGTAACGAACTGTAAAATGTATTCAGGATTCAATATTTACATTTTTCTATGATATGCAAGTGCAAAGCTCACTAAATATCGTTTACATGAAATATTCTTCTATTGTCAATTATTACAAATGTAACATCTACATTATACCACATCGTAACATTCACTAAATGTAGATATTCACATTCACTCTCGTGTATTAGTAAAATATAACTCTTACAAACATCTAAATAGAACGAAAGCACTTACTTTAGCTGCTCGCACTTGTATAGCATTAGATACACAAATAATTTACAATACAGTTTAACTTAATAAACTATTTCTGTTAGAAAATTTAATGACTTTGGTATTATCATAAGTTCCTCACGTCCGCCGTGAGCGGACGAATTGGACACTTGGGTGACAGCCGACGGGCGGCTGACGACGATCCGAGAGGCCAGCGCCGATTCGCCACTAGTTACATAGTTAAGCTATCCAACTTTAGCAATCGGCTAGCACTATTACGGTTATCTTAAATTATGAATTAATTTTGTACGTTTACAAAGAGAGTTCATTGTCATGTTAGGGTAAATGTGAAAGACAGTTCTATATTCGAGTAAAAACTTTTTTTGTTCCACTGGCTTAGTAGGGTGCAAATCTGTTGTAACCGCTCCTGTAGACAGCAGTCTGGAAGTATAGAATAAAAAGAATATATAGACACAACGGCATATCAAAATAATAAATTGTACACGAATATTACAAAGTGAGAGAAGATAGAAAACGAGTTTTGTGATTACTCTAATCTACACAGATTAGGGAACTTATCTATAGAGCAGACGGGTAAAAATATTTAAAACTGCCCTTGCCGCATTCAACGCAATCGATCAAGTCCATTAGCATTAATTAAAACAAAAAAAATTGATCATTTTATCAGAAAAGCATATGCTAAAAACGTGTTTTATACAGATTAACTTACCCCATAACCTGTGACTGGTCCTATACCATGCCCTAAATAAGGGTCTGCATATTCTCGACCATACCTGAAAAAAAACAAGAATAGTTATTATATATATATAAAAAAATTTTGACTAGGATATGATTGGGATACGAACTTTTTCATAATATGCATTGACATTGTAAAACGTATAACAATCGTTCAAAAGCAGAAGTACTATATTGATCAAATTTATAAAATAACTACACTATAAAATAATTATCAAATTGGGTAAGATCAAGAAAAAGATTTCTTAAGACAATAAAGACAAAGTCGAATTGCGTATGTTCTTTTTTTTTGAAGTCGGTTCAAATCGTGACCTTAGCTACATTTACACGACACATTTTTTCACGCGATTAGGAGCGGGAAAGCCAGCGTGTGATTGTAATTTGTACGTAAGTATGTCTTCACATGTCATTTCAGTTTCTTTTAAATACACAAATATTATTTTCTAAAAACACGCTGCCGATTCGTTTGCACTTTATCTATTTCTTTTTGTCTGATTTATCACGCACAATATTTCTTGCGTGAAAGCTGATTCGTTCGTGAGAATACTTAGAGGAAGAGGATTCTCAGTAATGTGGACTAATAACCCTATTGCTAGCAATGTAGCATATCAGGCCACACCTGGAAATCTAACAAATCTAAAACCACCTGGAAACTATCGTGATAAATTCCTAGCGAATTTGACCACCTGACCTGACCTCATCCTATCATGCTCATCTTATAATACTCCACTAGGCCCCGCCAGCGTAGGCGAGGGCACCATTCTATTATGATTCATAAGAAAAAATAATATGTGTACTGACGTGGCGGCGAGGGGCGCGAGTGCTGCGGGCGCGGGTGCGGCGCTGACTGCGGCGGCGGCGGCGCGTGCGGCGGCGCCGTAGTTGGCGGCCGCCGCCGCCGCCGCCGCCTGCTGCGCCGTCGCCAGCGGGGACTTCAGTAGCGGCGCTGCCGCCGCTGCCGCTGCCGCCGCGGCCTGCAAACACAAACCGCGACACACTTAATTGTATTTACAGCAGACACCGTATTTTTAATACAAAAAGTTGCGGCGACACTGGTATTTGAATCTGTATTCAAAGCTTGAAAAAAGTATTTCCGTTTTACGTTTTGGAACGTCATAGTGTCGGTAGGTTGCTCTGCTTGCGTAAAGTCTAATTGCAAAAAAAGCAGGCATTTTATTCGAGGAAACTTATCTTAATTTTTTTACCACATGTGCCATACCTGTCGACGGGATTACATATTTGTTGTACTGCTTTTAAACTTCTGATTACCCCATAACACCGGCAAAGATTTTTTTAAAAATTCAATGGTATAAAGTATCTGTCCATACAACTTTTAAAACTTTTATTTAATCCATAACTGAAAATTTTATTTAAACCATAAATACTATCTGCACGAACAGTGAGCCCACAAAGGCTAAATTGCTTGGAACTAAAAATAGACGTCGCGTCAAGTACATCGCATTTCGACAATAATGAACACCAACACTTTAAATTATGATTTCTGATTTTAATTCTGATGAGGCGTAGAAAAAAGTATGTTTCTTAACAGCTTACCATTTTACACCTGCAGTGATATAATGCTGGGTGAACTCTCGTGTGCCGACGGTACTGGTACGATTTCTTTAGTCTTGGAGGACATATTAAATCACAAAAGCTAGGACGATGCAGAGTATAACGCATTGAGCTATTTTATTAATACACGAAAAAGAACCAGTGAACATTTAACTGTGATATAGTTTATTTACAATAAAAACATGCAACGTTCTTGGCACACGCACCTACAGTTTTAAATGATTCATGTTTCTGCATCAAAATAACGATTTCACAATCGTCGAATAGTACTGTGTTAGTTTTGTTGCAGAAAATATGTGTAAAATGATGGGAGCGACGAGCATGCACTATATAAAGAGTAATAATGATGTTGGAAACGATACAAACTATGACTGTAACAATATTGATAGAATAACTATAAAACTAGTTCTACATACTTGTGATTGTTAGTATATATAGAAAAGTTGCAATTATTTGTGGGCTCAATGTTCTACACGGAGCATGATATAAATTAGCATCTGATCGAGTCAACTCATAACTTGAGCAAACGCCTAAAACTAAATCACCCACCACAATACCAACGAACAAGGATATGAACTCAACAAAGCAATCGCCGCGGCCGGCGCGCAACACTGTGCCGCTCTGTACGGTTACCACAAACACATGTGCACCCTGCATTACGGTGGATACCAAAAGACCATACGAGTATAATAAGGAGCAAACAAAATCCCAGCACTCACTCCGCAATGATATACAACTTATACTATATAGCGTGGTAGTACATGAATCAGGAAGCGATTGGGATACATATATATAGAATATCGATCGGAACCGAGCTCTAGAGGCGTGATGTATTACCTCGGCTGCGGGCTTCGCCGCCTGCAACAACACACGCATATCACCTCGGCTCAGCATTGTACCGTTCATATATATCGGTAGCACATTACAATATAAACAGAACCAGTATATTATTATAATATTGTCAAATTACCATGTACTATAAAAATTAACATGTAATATATGATTATGGATATATTTTAATAGCGGAAATTCACAAAAAAAAAATAGTTCTACCTATAAAAAGGTTATTTATATATAAGTGGTTACTTATAGAAATATCACAATATAGGTATATTACCGGTGGTATAGGCTGACACTATTTACCATTGGCTGTATTCGATTTCTAATATTATTATGAAACTAAAGCAATGAAGTCGCAATTTTTTTTAACAGTTTCATCGAAATATGTACTGCAGCCTAAAGGCAGAATAGTTAACATGTTTAACAGAATATAAACCATCTATCATGTATTTCTGCACCAAGCAGCCTGCTTTGCAAGTTGTGTTTGGTTAAAAAGTGAGAAATGGCGGTGGATTTTTGAAATACGGAGGCATATCTTATTCCTTCGGAATGGCAACAAATGAGGGATGACCACGAGCTTCACACGAAAACGTAATATCCGTAGTGCTGTTGATGTATATATACGCCTATATACCACATACTATCACGTGTGCTGTTACTTGATTTGCTATTTTACATAAATAAATAAACAAAGTACCATACTACCATTAATATTTGGAATTCTAATTAAAGAATGTACTTTATTTTGTGGCTAATTAAATTATAAATAAAACTGATCGTATTAGAATATATCTTATCTTAAGTGTAATTAATTAAAAAAAAAATGCATTTATTAAATTATGTACCTGTAATCTGTAGTTCGAGTCAGCAGTTGCAGCCGCCGCTAAGAATGGGTCGTAATATACACTGTAAGTGACGAAGATACACAATTAAGGTTTATATAACATAGTAAAATTGCAAATTATATTCAATTTATTAATAATACATATAATAATAAATAATTGGTACATATCTGCAGCATAACTACTTATGAATATATAGGAAAAGTCTAATTACAAAGTAATGAAAGAAGAGACTCAAATACTACTCTAATATAGAAATAAACATTCGTAGTCTAATAGAAGGATCATAAAGAAATATTAAATTGCGACACTACAGGTAGGTACAACTACGTGTGCATTTTACAGTGAGCACAATCTTTTAGTGTGTTGAACGGAAGTGAGAAGCACTAAACGGCCAAGCTAATCCATCCAATTAAATGTTACTCGAGTTAGTTACGTTTAACATATATTATTAATGTGCTATCTAAGGGTACGAACAAACTGTGTAGGTTAATTCACTATTAAAAATTAATTCATACCATGTGGTTAGGGTTGTAGGAGCGAAACAGGATGATTAAGGAGAAAAATGTTTCGGAGGGTAATAGGATGCGCCTTGTCTCCTGAGATGTAGAGATATGATGTAATTTTTATTATTTTTTTTATACTCGAGAAGATATTGTTAACATTACATACAGTGACCACTTTATAATATTTTTAGAATATATGTATGTCATCATCATCAGCCTTACTTGCAACCCTACCTATGTCGTCTTTCCACCTCTGGACTTACACTATGTTTACCTATTTATGGTCACTCTGAACACGTTTACCCCAGCGACGCTTCAGGTCCTAATATAGCTGAGGTATGTCGAAGAATATGTCTGGCGAAGCTTAGACGTCTCGTAGGCGTCCACGTTACCATATCGTATGGCATAAAGGATGCATTGGTTATATACCTTTGCATTGTAATAAAGGCGACGACACAACTTGAAACAGTTTCCCAAAAGCTACTTGGACTAGAATCTGATATGGATGCTCCGATATTATTATATAACACTTTCTTCACATTATCTCTATCTTAGATATTCTTCATATTACGATATTTGAAAGTACGAAGTTTATTTAATACTAAACTGACTGTCTACTGTTTTGAGCGCGACATTGTTTTCAGTATGGGATGAAAAATATCATAAAATTAATTATAGAAATGGGTCATGTATAGATCTAGATTTAGGTATAAATAGGCACACCCATTGAACAGTCAGTGAAAACGCTTACTTAATAATGAAATAATTAAATTTAGACCATTGTTAATACAAAAATATCATGCCATATTTTCTAAGAGAATACAATAGTTTTAAATCGTTTTCTAATTAAATGTTCAAAACGAGGCATTTATTATTTTTTTATACTATGATGGTGGCAATCAAGCATACGGCCCATCTGATAGTAAACGGTTACCGTAGCCTATGAACGCCTGAAACACCAGGGGTTACACGTGCGCGTTGCCGACCCTTAGATTTATGTTTTTGTTCGAGATAACAGATAAATAAATCTATTTGTATATTCGTATATTCGTTTCGTTTTAGGTATAGAATGAGTTTTTAACGTTTAGAACGAAAAACGTATGTCCGATATTTCAGTTGTCGATTCACAGCTCGAGGGAGGCGTGTGTTGGGAGTTTAGGGGGTGCGTGAATGGTGTGTGGTGTGGGCGGTGCAGGGGGGGGGGGGGGAGGTGTGAGGTGAGTACTCACTGTGCATATGCGTGCAACGGCGACGCGTAGGCGGCGGCGCGGGGCAACACAGCGTGCGGGAGGGCGTGCGCGGAGGGCGGGGCGTGCGCGGCGCGCGGCGGCCGGGGGCGCAGCGCCGGCGCGGGGACTACATGCAACACACGGACAGACTAGCATGCGCGTACCTGCGTCGCTGCGCGGCGCGCGGCGCCAACACCAGCGGGGGCGCGGGCGCGGCCGCCGGCGCGGCGCCGAGCCACGGCCACGTGACGCCCGACACCCGCAGCCCTGCGCACACACGCGCCTCTACACTCACTACCTTGCGCACGCTCGTATACCACGCGGCGGCCGGCGGCCGGCGGACTCCCGGACTTCGCGGTCCATTCGGGAGACCCCTTTACGTTTCGCACTGTCATTCCCGGGCGCCCGGCCTCCAGCTTGTTATCGCTATGTATGCACTAGTGAGATCGAAGCACGAGCGCTCTCGTACTCCGTAGTATTATTTACTTAGCTATTACAGATTACAGATATTAAGGCCATGCTACATTACAGCACGTAGGACATACGTAGCTAATTTACATAACTTGTTACCAAACTTATAGTTAGATACCAGTAAAATACGTATGCATATGTAAGTAGCCCTTGTCTTTCAGCTCTAAAGAAGCATGGCCGACAGAAAACCTTTACAAATGCTGTAGAGTCAATCAGTGACATACAAGATCTCATCGAGCAGTAGAACTAACAACCACAGTCCTCCATCACATTGAGTAAAGAAAAAAATCATGCTCGTATAAATGTTATATATATAATGTAAACGCAAAAGCTTTTATTTCAGTCGAAATATGTATAATATTTTAAATATATTGCCTCACCTTCAGGCCACTGGACACAGACTGAAACAAAACGAAAATAGAAAATTAATATAAGCAAAATTGTAATATAAAGCCTTTCGCTTCTAATGCAGACATCGCTTCTAGTACAAATAAGACATACCTAACAGACATTCCCCACTACAAATTTAAATATTAATAGTGCATTAATGAAGACATTCATTCCAGCAATAAAAAAAAGGAATAAACAATTCTTGTATAGCATTAGAAAGTGTATATTGTTCTAACAAGCCGACTAGGGTTGGTGTTATCCGTTCATACAGAAGTGTTAATTATTCAGGCAAACACTGACGCCGGAGACAGCCCTTTCATATTCTCCTTACGTGTAATTTCAAAGTTTGAACAAGGTGAGGTGTGATCCAATTTATTAGTGCTTTTAATGTGATAAGATCCGAGTGACATCAACACAGGAGGCGTAGATTTTTTAAAACTTTCCGTCTGTCAAAGTAAATATCGACCAATCACAGCTAATTTTTATTAACCCTCATTAAAGACAAGAAAAATTTTAATGTGTAAATAGTGATATCTATAATACATCATTTAACATTCAGATTAATGTCGTCTCCAGTGCTGAACACTTAACTCCTCATTTACATTCAGTTAATGCTTCCTATGATATTTCTTTAGCAGTATGAAAGGTAGCAAGTGTTTACATAACCGTGTTATTCTTGCCGTGCATGTGACAATGTCACAATCTCGGACAATATTGTTGTATCGGACAACATAAAATTGTTGCGGGAGTTCTGGTTTAGACTGTACAATTTTCTACAATACTGTAAAGAATTGTACTCGATCCAATAAGGTGATGTTTTATATATTACTTTGTCTTATGATAAATAAAAAAGACGGCAGAGTGTAAACACTGACTCGTTTTGCGCTGTCAACCCCTTTTGCCACCTTCTCGACAGTCACCATCTCATGGCTATTGCCAAGGAGGCGACAGCAGCGCTGAGTTTATATCACTAAAACTGCCCATTATCATGCTCATTTACCTACTTGCTGCTGTACAAGTGAACTGAGTGTAATCAAGGCATAAGAGTGCGCATCGTGTTTTCTGTGCGCCCACAGGCTGTCTCCGGCCGCCGACAGCAAATCATTCTCTAAGTAGCATTCATCTACTTGCATTCAAACACGGATCTAGTTAACATGTAAGGACATTAACATGGACAACACCGATCTTTATAATTCCAGCTCTCTCACCCAAAGTGGGAACTGATCCATTTCTAGCCAGAATAACTGGATGGTTAAAAGAGAAATCCAAGATGCATTATAATTGAAATAGCTGTGATTGTACGAAGACGTGTAATATTATTATAGCGGGAGTGTTAATAAAATATGTTACAAGTAGATATAGGGCAAGTGAATCTATAATTAATGTTGAGGAGAGACTTAGTACATTGGATGGTTGCGATTGATAGACATGTCTGTAAGAAGGTGAAGCAGGCTTACCATTTGGTACGGTCGGAGGTTTCTTAGTCTGCACACGCGCCGTCGCATTATTAACCTGATTCGGAATTAAACTTTGTATCAGTTTCTATTCTCTAACTCGAGATCAATTTGTATTGGCCGACTTTATAAAAATGACTATATCGAATGGAAAAAAATAAATATTCTAAACAGCATGCTTAATCTCTTTGTATAAGTATGTTCAACGCAATGGGATTCGAACCCAATAGGCTAAAGTCATTCTGTCCGACTACAAAAATTGATAACATGAACTCATGTCGTTACAACCACTTTTAAAGAATTGGTTAGTTTAATGTCAAATTCATATTTCTTAAGCAAAATTTTAAGTACAATAAAAAAAGTCGGCCAATCCCATGTCAAATATCTATTTTTGATATAATATGAATATGTATACATATAACGCTAAATAAGGGCTAGTAATAAAAGTTCATCAAAATTATTATTTAATAATAATACATTTCACTTTTTAATTTTTAGATATTTGACATGTTTCATTAGAAATGAGTGTAGGGATAGAAAACTAAATGTGATTGAATCTATAGGAAATACGTCTGTATTAGAAAGAATATTATTTTGAATGCCAGTCAGTCGTCTAGTATTAGTTAGTGGTTTAAATAATATTTGAGAATAAATAGATAGAATGGATCTAAAAAGTGTGTTCGTAAACTTTCTTACCTCTGCGGCATTGTGACGGTACGGTTCGTTCTACATTTCTCTGTGAGACACTCTCTCTTTCGATCGGCATTTTAAATGACCGTCTAGAGAGTAAAGGGACAAAATAAATAAGGTTTGATTGTGGATTAGACTGCGGCATACTTAGTGCTAAACCCGCGCCGGAGCGCCGGGGCTCCGGGCGCCGGACGCCGGGCGGGCGCGGGGCGCGGGGCGCGGGCGCGGGCGGCGCGGGCGGCGCTAGCATGACATAACTACAGAGCAGACGAGCGCAGGTTGCGGTGGGCGGTGGGCGTAGGAGCGGGATGTTATAAGTTACATAGTGCTACGGATGGTATTCATTGAGTCATGCACACCTCTATCTTTCTGCCCTCAACCACGGTGCCGTGAAGACGCTCTCGTGCTCGCTCCGCATCACCACTATTTGCGAATGTTACAAAACCGAATCCCTGCATGCAAGACAGACAAAACATGCATTAAAAACAGCGTCGCTCAAAAAACAACGTGCAACAAAAATTAACATTTATGCATTGCATATTCTTTATTTAAATAGTCTAGTGAAATATCGAGAGGATTATATTTATTTGATTACGTTGATACTTTGAGCGTATACTAGCTGAATGGGTACACATAAGCTTTTGGATTTACAGTAAATTAATAATGTCGCTCGACCTAGTAGTCTGTACTATTGGTAGGAGAATTCGTATCACTGTGTACGGGCTCGGAGGGTTTTTTCGAAGCTATTTTGATAGACACTACTTGAATTAATAAAATGACAAGTCATTATTGTGTGGAATGTTAGCTGCAATTTGATCTATACAGAAAAATCACCGGTCATGCACATAGAGTAACTATCACAGACTAATTGAAACTATGGTAATATTACAATGGAACTTACACACGTAGAACATGTTTACACGGCCATAATAATACAGACTTCAACATAACGTTACACTTTAACATTACAGTTGAAAAGTAGTAAGTAAGGTAAACTAAATAATCACCATCCAACAATCAAGAGCGTCGCATGTAACCTAACACTAATGAATACACGTACATCATTACATAACTGGGCAAAAATTTGTAAATAAGCACTAGTGTGTACCTACTGTACATCAATAATGCTTTTGTATTGTGCATATACTGTACAGTGCTAAAACTTTCTAAGCGTCTTACTTTTGAAGCAACTTTAGTTACTTATCCAAATATCCCAAATTTTGTTAAATTTTATTACTGGTGTGGGTTACAAATAAAATTCAACAATTTATTCGAGTAAAATTGCATTCAAAACACAGGACATGATGTCATTAAAAATTACTCGTATCAATTGATCGTGCTAAGACAAAAGTATAAACTACAATTATCATTACATGGTGATAATCCATAGATACAAAAAGCAGCTAGCACAGCACACAATACAGTGGAAGAGACGAGTTGTGAAAGTGGCAAACAAGTTGCTGATTGTACGAACGCTTACACTTATAAAAGCAATGACAGCTCTATTATTACCATTCTGAGTGCAAATACTTTAAACAATAATATGGGCAGAGAGAGAGAGAGATCGAGATAGGGTGGTCGGAATTCTTTGCAATTATTAAATTATCTAAGTAGGGGTCGGTGGGGACGGGGACCGGCGGGCGTCCAGTCCACTGTAAATCGCGGACGAGGCGCGACGGCACGGGGCGCTACGGGGCGGACGCACGCGCACGCAATGCAACAAGCTATCAGTGCGATCGACAGACAAAGTTCTATCCAACAGACGAGGTAAACACATGTGACATTCGATAAAGCCAAACTATGTGATGCGCCCTAGTTACTTCTATGAAATAGAAATTATTACGAATACACTTTAATACGGATTAAACACATTGTTTAGAATCAGCGAAATATACATGCCCAAAAAAATGAAAATATGTTCCCCTGTTAGGAAGCGTATGACCGAACAAACTGTTTATTAATATTAATCGGAGTAAAAAGACTACGGATATAAAAGATTGTATTAAGTAAATAAATATTTCAGAATGATGTTCATCCAAACTACACACACGACACAATGAAATAAAAAAAAATACTTGTAACATGTACAAAAGCTAAATGTATGAAAATACTAGGAAACATAGAGGAGTAAGAACCATAGAGTGGAGTAGTTTAGACGACAACAAAAGTATTATTAGTGATGAATAATAGAGCTGTCCTGAAAATATGATTTAGGAAATCAGCTGTTATAGTGACGATGCATCATTCTCTAATACTGCATATCCCAATGTGAGGCACTGAAGAAAAAATAACTTGGAGCTATTTATTATTCCAAAAGAGTAAAATATTATATTTGACATGAGCGAGCATGGTCTACTTGAGGGGTGGAGTCACCAAACTGACACAAGGAAAGCAGTAAACACGAAAAAGCGGTCAATCCAATCAATTTAAAAATCATTTCGATAATATCTCTTTGTTCATCGCTCTTATGGGATACGTCATTTACAGTGAGTTGTTTTTTGAGTATCATTAAGAATATTTTAATTAATGTTACTATTAACAGTTTTAATACCAGTGACTTACTTTTATTAATTTTAATACATAATACTACATACTTTATATATTTTTGTAAAATTAGTAGCGCAAGTTTCAAAGCAAAAGTATGTCAAAGGTATAATAAAGATAAATTCATTTCAAATCCGAATAATAAACAATATTATTCAATGATAATATACAATGCAATTAGAGATACTGCACCAAACATTAAAACCAAGAATATGCTATGAGGAAGAAAATCTGTTTAAATCAATCAATATTATTTTAACTAAGCCCATTTGCCTGTAGACTTTTGTTAAACCAGATTAATTATTCAAATCACATGAATTGAAAGATTGTAAAATATTATTGAAAGGATATATTTAACTAAACCATTTAGTTACTTTAGTCTGGTAGTTTGGGCAGCAATGTACTAATAGAAATGTTAGTAGAACTTCGCAGCTATTGCTATAAATTATCGGTAATATAATAAAGTATAAATAAATGTAAATTTAATAGCAATAGCCATGAAGAGAAATTTTAAATATATATATATCGTTTATTTAAAATTATGGGAACAGCAAGTATGTCTTCTATATTGTTATCATAAATTTATGCAGAGACTGCAAGGCGTGGCAATATGTTATTAATAATTCCCATAATTTATAATAATCCTATGTTGTCAATGAAGCAAGAAACATAACATATTAATGAACACTAGTCCAACCGCTCGCGCCTGCATCACTTTATTATGTAACCGATTTTAATGAACAAATTAATGTGGTGGGGCAGGTCTTAAAACATTAATATAGATGACTATAAATAGTTCTGCTCCAGGATTTATTTTACAAAGATATGGACTAAATTGTTGGTCGTATAAACGAGTAGCAAATCATCATATAAGGCAATCCACTAATCCAATCTCAAACAATACATCGAAGTATAGAATTTATTTTTATTTAGATGATTATATTTCATTGGATTAGTAGACTGTCAATCTTTCTGAATTAAAGCAAAATTATATGTTTACAAATATATAATACTATTTGTATATTACACTTATAAAGAAGATATTAATTAATCTAATGAATTATCCTGCATAAAGCATGTATGTGTTCGTTTATTGCCTCATCACCATGAAATTATTACAAAATAAAAATGTGAAGTAGTAATGGCCACAATGAAATCATAAGATTTCAGAGAGCCATTCTATAGTCTTAGTTAATAAAGAACACTGCTTACCTTAGAGCCACGTTCATTGAAGATAATTTCTACATCAAGAATTGTGCCATATTGCTGAAATGCAAAATGTCGAAAATTAAAATTTAGTCTAAAATGAACAACATCGAATAGTAACATGCCGTGCTTTATTTATATAATAATATATGGGAAGATAAATTTGAAAATACGTACCCCAAACATGTTTCTGAGATCGGGGTCTCTAAACCGGAAAGGTATATTGGAGACGTGTAACCGTTTGGGTTGTGACGCTTGTGAGACGGGCACGAGGGCCTTCTCTGTGTTGGCCGTGGCGGCGACGTTGGCGCTGGCCGCGGCGGCCGCGCCGGCGGCGGCGGCGGTGAGTGCGGCGGCCGCATGCGCCGCGTGCGCCGCCGCCGCCTGCTGCGCCACCACCGCCGCCACGCTCACCGGCGTGCTCTCTTCGTTTGATTCTCCTTCGCTTTGCTGTAAATATCACACGCAGTACTCATTAAACTCAGATCTACGATACTCACAGCGGCTTCATAAGGGTTTCCTTCCGCGTACGATTAGATTGTCATATGAACTACCTGCTGAAGTCTTTTGTATGGTTATTAAGGTTTCTTAAGGGTCGACAATGCACTTTTGGTGTTTTAGGCGTCCATAGGCTACGGTAAACGTTTACTATAACAATCAAATGGGCATTATGCTCTTTTGCCACCATCGTAGTATAAAATAAAACTCGAATAGAATTAAATAATAGATCATATTTGAAATGTATCCCTACAACCCATACATTCTATCAAGACACAAAAAAGTCTAATCTAATAGACTTTTTTGTGTCTTGCACTAGAGGCGTCATAATAGTACAGATTTTAAAGTGGGATTTTAACCAAGTATATGCAAGTGTAGTTATGTATAATTTACCACCAAACAGTTTACAGACTATATTGTAGTTTGTGGAAATCCCTAATTTTACATTGCGCCAACATCGCCAAGTCATTCTAGTCATTACTAGAGTCCATAAGCAGTTGTGATCCCCAATCAGTAGTATGTTTAGTGGCATCATCTTTTATACTACATGCTTAGATATAGTCAAAGGCATTTGGAAGCAAAGTCCAGTGTGGAATATGCGGTGGTAATAAGTCCTTAACACTGAATGTAATTGCCAGCTGAACTCAACAGCAATTTTAAAAATGACATAGGGTTTTTTATTTTAATTTAGTAGGTTCTTGAGTTAAATATTATGATCAGCTACAGAATCGATATAACCTGTTTTCTGAATGGTAGTAAAATAACCCATACATTTTGCAGTTTTTAAAACTAAATATTTTAGAATAGAATATTTCTTCAATTATAAATAATGTTACGAAAAAGATAAAAGATTATATATTTTTATTATTCTTCTTATAAAAAGGAAATTGTATTCGAGTTCCACATTCTTTAATTAGGGCATACATGGAATAGCTATCATTATATCATATTTTCTGTAAGAGCGGATCCGTAAACATATTATAAAAAAATAACAATCAAGCACAATAAAAGACCGTATTAGCCCAGACGCGATCTCTATTTAGAAATCCTAGGATGTCTAAAAGAACTTGTTAACAAAACAAACGCATATATATTTAATCTTATATAATAATAATAATATTAAAAACGCGAAAGCTATAATTATGGATGTTTGTTACTCTTTCACACAAAAACTACTGAACGGATTTTGATTAAACTTTACAGTAATATAGCTTATGCATCAGAATAACACATAGGCTAAATTTTATTGCTAGTAGTAAATAATTCAACTTACTGAGCTATTATTTTGATTTTCTATTGAATTCGGTGCATGTGTCTGTGGTGGTGGCTGAGGTGAGAAGTTGGCAGGTGGTAACGGTGCCGGCTGCGGCGGACCTTCACTTTTAACCAGGGTCGGTTGGGGGGGAGCCGCGGGTCCAGCCTCAGCCTTCACGCCGGCCAGAGCGTCTCCGTTGGCGGCAAATTGCGCAGCTGCCGCCGCAGCCGCCGCCGCCGCAGGGAACGGGGCCGCCATACCCGTCCCCACCATATGCTGGAATTGATACATGCCATTTATTTATTAACACGTCACATATGTATATGGGAAATAGGATGCAGTGTGATATGTCTTGCAAGAGACCTATGTCCATAACAAAGATCGAAGATTATTGTTTCGGTGCACAGCTGTCTATTGATATACATTTATATATACATATTTAAGAAGCCGAAATAGAGAACAACGCACATGCAATATTGCTGAGTATAAAATTCTCTAAGTTAACTAATTTTTTGGATCTTGCGAGATATTAAATGAGAAAGGACTCCAAACTGACAATATAGTAACCCTAATATTAACAATTAGTAACATAACTATTAAGAAAAAATACTGACTGTGGAATAACGGTACTAATAATAATGTACTATAAATAAATTAGGTCTATTCATTTTTCGAAAACTGTTAAAGATATTGTATTATAACTATGGTACAATAAAAATATAAGTGAATTTTAGATCAAGGACTCCGGACTAGGTATAAGATGTGTTGCAATAAATACGGCCGATAATAGTTGACGGTTCTAGGCTGCGGATCGAAATATTGACGCGAGTGCTAGTGCCAAAACACGATTCCTACCGCACCGCACTCTCACCTACAATAATCATTTACCGAGCTTTACTACTTGCAAAACGTGCACGATACGCAGAGATACTGGAAACACGACAGAATAAGTTTTAACTTCTATTCAATAATTCTACATAGACATATATCATGCATCAAGCACTAGAAATAAGTACAGAATATAAAAAAATATAATCTTAAGTATTTATATAATCAATTTATTATTATTTTTCAGCGGCATTAGAGATCCTCTATATGAGCTTGACACCAAAATTTATTTGTCACAGTAAATAGAAGTTAATAAAAATAATATTGAAAACATTCTTTTTAAAAAAAGATCTCCTTAAAATAGTAAACAAGTTGAAGGCCCTGCGGAAAGTAGCAACCGTCATCCGTAGAGATAACAAATAAACCATGAATTTATTACACGGATAGGTAGATCTTATGCCTTACCCATCCACGAGCACTACTGTAATATGCTCCCATATCCTTCTTTATCTCTCTCTTTTGACTAACGTTTCATACCGGATTACAATTAGCAACAAGCTGCTTGGCAGTCAAATATCAAATATAGAGCCCACTATTTCAGTAATTAATTCTACTTCTACACTGGTCTTTCGACTTAATTCTGCTATTAAAGGTGTGCTTTTGAGCACAGGTTCTAAGTATAATCCTATACTCAGAATAGTTTTGTTAAACTTTACTCCTTCAAATCCGACATTGTTTGTGAATAGTTCAGATATTTTGAAAACTATGCAAAAGCTCTTGCTGGTTTCATAATGTTGGGTATGAAATTGTCTACGTATTTCCTACATATTTACAGGTACAAGAAGCAAGAATCTCAGAGCGCACAAGGCAATTATGGATATTTAAACAAGTTCATTATATAATTATATTATTCAACTATATAGGTACCTAATTTATTATGATAACAAGCAGTACAACTGAGCTCAGAATAATGCTAATTTCGGCTGTGTTTTATGTACAGTAATATCAGTTGTTGTGTGTGCTTAGGCGCTATCACAACATCCTTCGATATTTACTTTGTTATATATTGTTTGTTATATCAATTCATACTTTCCTTTGAATAGTATTTCTTAAGAGTTATAATATTTACAATATTCAATTTCGTATAACAGAACAGTAAATAAATATTTGAAAAATCTGCTTCTAGTATAAAATTGTCTATGATTTGTATAATTATAATTTGTGAAAGCTATGCCTATCCTGCTGCACTAGTATCATGACTAAAATAGACTTTTCTTATCAGCCAAAAAAGGAATAGCCGTTGTAAAAAATGCTCAGAACTCAGAAGATATAACCCAAAAAAAAGTATCTTGTTTTTAAATCAGATAAAAAAATTAGACAATTTAAAATAAAAAGCAGTCAATAGACATGGAACTTAAAATTATTACTCTTTTGTATACAATCTACCAAGTTTAGTTCCTATAAAAGGTAAGATCTGTCTTGCGATTAACCTACATTGGACTATACAAATAGATAAATGTAGCAATGGTATGATTTTCTACTATATGATATTATAATAGAATATTCTTTAATTCTTTAGTAATTGGTCTAATTGTGCATGTTTTTTACTTACTTATGGTCTACAAATAAGTAAAAAACATGCTATAACAGCTAGCATATTAAATTTTAATATGGTCAAAGCCACGAGTCTGATAATATAATTGTAACCGTAGGGTAAACAAAAGTTGTCTCTATGCAAAATGTCGAACATTGTTTTAAGGAAAGGGCCGCCAGCTTCTTTTTTGTATTCGTATTGGTCAGTTTAGTGTTGATATAAACTGACACTATAGAGGACTTTTTAAAATATTATTCATCTATTTTGTTATGTGACGCTTACCATTAGGTGGGTCGTCAGTTTGTTTTCTATTCAATATACTTAAAACTGCAATATCATATTAGATTTTTTTATGAAATTGGCAATCAAGCTGATTACCCACTTAATGGTAAGTGGTAATTGTCGCCGATATACATGAACAGCACAATTAAAATGGCGCTGTCATGTGACAACCCACAAGCAGTCATGTCTTGCCATTCCAGAGAACTAAGATGTCGTGCCTCTTATTCTGTAATTTCACTGCTTAACCTGGCCCTACACATATATATATAGACATATAGCATACAAAACGAGCTGCTTGGAGGCTAAAATAAAGTAGGTGAAACTGAAGTACTCACGCAGACGACTTTTTAAAGTCTATCTCAAATGGATGGATAAATACAATATCTGGATAAAAATAAATTGATTTAAATATCTATCATTGTACACAATGTGTTATTATAATGTTTCAACTAAAATTGTATATCATCAACTCTTGAAATATTTATAACATGTAGAGAAACGTTCACCATTCATCGAAATAAACGCAAATAGAAGCGCAGGACGGAAACGAGAAAATTAGGAAGTAGCTATTGGACGTAATTGCGACAAGTGCTCCCGCGTTCCTCGCAACATACTTAAAATTTTACTTGTATTATTATTGTATTGTAAAATGTGCCAATAAAATTGCACTGTAAAATTTATACACAATAAAATGCAAATATATTTATATTTAAAAATAAAATTATTAATGTAGTCCATGTATGTTTACTCAGTAAATTTATATAGAGGTACAAACTTATCAACGTAAAAGACAGTAATAATTTACCAAATAATGCTACGTGCTAGTCTAGGTAGTTCTAGATTAATCTAACATATTTCATAGACATTCTGGAATTGGTATGGGTATGTACTCCATGTGGCAAATGCAACTTCTGAATTTTCGTAGAACATACATCGCTCAGTACTTTATTAGATTACGTATGATGCTTCTACTTTATATATGGAATATGCTCTTATTATCTCCGAAGGGCATAAAAAAGTTATCCCGTATAATAATCCTTGTACAGAAGTACTAAATTTAAAATTAGTTTAGATTGTTTGCTTACAAGCAGCCGTCCCACGAAGATAGCGGAGTAAGGATTAGCGAGCTTCTACGTCTTCGCCGCTGTCGACAAGCGACGAGGGGTCACAAGATTACATTTTCGTCCGCCCAACCGCCCTATTCTGTTACCACAACGCCTAGCAGCCACCCTCTCACTATATACATCTTCTAGTTTTAAGATCAAATTCTTTAAATTATTGTAAGTGATTAGACTCATACTTAGGCATTCAGAATATTTTTTATTAACTTTGATTTCTGTTAATGTATAATGGAAATATAAAATAACTTATTAGCAAAAGGAAATTATGCAGCCCACATACCATCATTCTTTTGACAGTGTGTAACTGAAAATGTTTATTTTTCAGGAAATAAAAAAATTTAAGGTTTTGTGAACATTTGAAGCATAAGTACATACATTTGCATAAAATATTTAAAAAAGTTTATCCTACATTTTTAAATCAGCTAATTTTAATTAGTATCAAAATATAAAAATTGCCTTAAAATAACCTTACGCAGTGTTTGAACTCATTAATGATATGTGAAAATAGTAGCTATGTCCTTTTAATCCACAATTTCAGCTATTATTGTAGGCGTAGGTGGTACCTATTCCTTATTAAATTTTGAAAAAATAAAAGTTGTAAAAATTTGACGAAGTTATATTACGGACTCGGACTTAGTACACACATAATAAGTAGGTAGGTAGGTAACAGGTATATAACTTAAAAAATAAATTGATCAATATTAATACTATTCAGATTACTTAATTTAGGTTAAACGTAGGTAGACTATAAATTCAGACCGGATAACACGGTGTTTGTTAGTAGTTTCATAATTTCCTCAAGGTTTTCTCAGTAACTGCAAAATAAAATCATGCTTACTTTCTTTCTGTAATATTTATATACACGCACTTACAAATAAAATTTATCATAACTGCAATTATTATGAAAAATCACTTTAGTAGGCCCTAAACTAAACTTTAAAACTAGCATCCATATCGACAAAGAAAATAAATGTCATCCAAATTTTTAGATTCAAATATTGTAACAATAGTCATCTAACAATATAATTTATTAATAAATTCAATATTGTTTCTTAAATAATTCCTACAACAATTTTTACATGTTTGGTTCGCAGCCACAACAAGAAATAATTTATTATCCTACTCCTCTGTCCGATTCACAATTATCCATTTAATGTAGCTATTATTACATCGCTGTATCCCGCAACAAAGCCGTCGCGCCCTCACAGGAATATTAATAAAAGAGCATCAACGGAGCACAATAAAACATTGTGAGTAAACTGTAATATCTTTAAAATAGGTACGATTCATTTTCTCTATATATTTATTCTTTATAAATGAATACAATTTTCCGTGAATACTCTACTTTGTGTACCATTAACAATAGGCGGCTATGAAAAAACGTCACGAGACCTCTATTGAAGACGAGAGGGTCCGATACTAATACCGCTACAGTCAATAGTGGTGGGTCG